AAAATTAAGTACAGAGAAAAGTACTGTAAATTTACAGTATACGTATAGGTAAAACATTACTTTATTATAGTCTGTTGTTATAGAGATAAACTATAAGATCCATCTAGGATAACATAGAATAACAGAGTGGGAGACAAGCAGGAGACACTGTGCCGTTCTGGACAAGGGACTGTCCAGTCTCTTCTTGAAAACCTCCAGGGTTGGAGCACCCACAACCTCTGGAGGGAAGCTGTTCCACTGGTTAATTGTTCTAACAGTCAGAAAGTTTAGTCTAGACCAGGCAGTTCTCCAGCCATTCTTCATATGTTTTAGCCTCCAGTTCCCTCATTACCTTTATTGCTTTTCTCTGCCCAATTTTTAGGGTCTCAGCTTTTTTTTGTATTGTGGCGACCAGAACTGAACGCAGTGTTCCAAGTCTGGCCTCACCAGCGTGGTATAAAGTGGCTTTAGTTCCACTTTATATTGCACTAGTTCTATCTATGTTGGATGGAATTGTGGTTCCCATCTCTACTGTTTTATTATTTTAACTTTAACTGTGTGTTTTTTTTAATGTGGCAACTGAGAACTCAACTGGCCATGAAGAGCTGGAAGCAGCTTTGGGGGAGAGACTGTCTTTGTGTCTTACACCTTCCAGGCTGCCTCTCACGGCCATCAGGTGCAAAATGGGCTGTGCCCACTTTCTTCCCTTTGTTCAGCCAAGGCAGGCAGGTCCTGCTATTTTCAGCTGTGCCCCTTCATCCCACCTCTTCCTTTTCCCCAGCCGCTCCCTGCACCGGTGGGAAGAGCCTCTTAAATGTGCCTGGCCTTGGCAGTCAGCCACCCATGGCTTTTGGCAAAGTCAATATTTAACCAGCTCCAGCTCTCATCTTACAAAAGGACCAAAAGGTTCTTTAATGAAATTCTGTTTAGAGATGGGGTCACTGCCAAGAGGTTTCAGACTGGGCACATTTACATGGAATATTACCTGCAAAGTTGATGTATTTCAGTCATTTAGAAAAAAGTGCTTTTGAATATGAAAGCTGTAGCAGTCTATAGAGCACTCTATTGACAACAAAGAAAAAAGCTGTTAAGACTCCATCTACTCACTGTCCTTCCCTTTTCCTTCCGCTACAGTTTTTCCTTAAATGCATTCATCTTTAGCTGCTCCTTCTGGCTGCCTTCACATAGCCTTCAGAGAAGAAAACCTTAGTTCAGAAGAGCACCCAGGGGCAGCCTGTGAGACGGCCTCTGACCTCTCTGAGACCAGCAACCCTGAGTTTCATAGGTGAACATGACAAACTACTAGTAAAGACAGAGGTCTGCATCCAGACCAAACACAACAAAGAAGAAACAAGAAGCAGGACGGATAAGAGAAGAATGTCACTCAAAGTCTGGAGCTGAACAACCAATTTCACACCCTCCTCCTGGAAGGAAACATGCAGACACCTGGAGGAGAGTCTTCATCAAGTGTACCAGGGACAAAAAGTAAAGTAGCTAAGATTTCCCCCAAAAACCTGAGTCTGGTATGTCTTGGTGATTGGTCTCATTTCTCAGAGGAACAGAGTCATCATTTGTAGACCAGACAATTTTTCAAGAGATATGTGTTGTCTCCCTTGAAGATGCAAAGATTAAAAATGTGACTTACTAAAATTATCATCCCCTTCTCCTTCTTCATGTGGGGATGAATGATACAACAAAGAGCCTGAAAAAAATATGTAAGGAACAAGAAGAAAGAGACTCTGGAAAGAGTGCAGAGAAGAGCAACAAGAATGATTAAGGGGTCAGAGAAGAAGGGTAGAAGGAATTGGGTGTGTCTAGTCTAGTGAAAAGGAAGACCGGGGTGACAGGATGGCAGTGTTCCAATATTTGAGGGGCTGCCACAAAGAAGAGGAGGGGGTCAACTTATTTTCTAAAGCACCAGAAGACAAGAAAAAATGGATGGAAACTAATCAAGGAGACAAGCAACCTAGCACTAAGGAGAAATCTTCTGACAGTGAGAACAATCAAGCGGTGGAGTGGGTTGTCTTCAGAAGTTGTGGGTGCTTCATCACCGGAGGTTTTTAAGAAGAGACTAGACAACCTGAAATGGTGCAGAGTCTCCTACTTACGTGGGAGGGTTGGACTGAAGGATCTCTGTGGCTCCGTCTAACTCTATTATTCTTTTCTGTTATTTTTGATTCTTTCTATGATTGTGTATATCCATTCCATCAAGCCCAAAGAAACTCTGGAATAGTATCTCCTGCCATGGGTGGGGGAATTGGTCCAGAAGACCTCCAAGCTCTCTTACGACCCTATTATTCTATGGACAGGAATGCAGGTCAAAATAGGTAAGAAATTGCTAAAAGAACCTCTATCCACTTTCAATGAGTGGAGTAGGACTAGAAGGCCCCAGGGTCCCTTCCACCTCTTTATTCTCTATTCTCTATTCAGTTCAAATCTCTGGGATCAGATGGATTACATCCCAGGACACCGAAGGAGCTGGCAGATGTGGTCTTGGAGCCACTGGACAAAATCTTTCAGAACTCCTACAGCACAGAGAAGTGCCAGGGGGCTGGAAAAGAACTGATGTGGTTCCAATCTTTGAGAAAGGTGGAAAAAGGGGGACCAAGGAAACTATAACTGATTAGCATCAATACCTGAGAAAATCCTGTAAAAGATAATCAAGCAACGGATTTGTGAGTTCCTAGAGATGAACAACTTGTTCTGGGAAAAAAAACATCCGAAAGCAATTTCCCAGTGTTAAGGGGTTTAGCCCTCCCCCCCCCCCAGAAAAAGGCAGCGGTTTAAGTGTTTTGGAAGAAACAGAGAAGTCTACAACATCATTGTAGATATAATAGAGAGAAACAGAAAAAAGAAAAATTTGGGGAGTTTTAAATTTTTTCTTCTTTTTATATTATTTTATATTATTTTGGAGAATATTGGATCCAACTAACTGGAAAATTAGAAAATGGGCATCTGAGGACACCTAGTGGTAAGAGCAAAGAACTACACTAAACCATTTACTGAACTTATCTAATATTTTGTCTAGAAACTTAGAACTTGGCTAGATGCCCAGACATAGTTTACAATTTAAACTCTTTGATGGTTGATGTTCCTGACCTTCATAGTTCTGTGGATTATAGCTGAAAGGAGAAGACTTTTCTGGGCTGTTTTTTTTCCTGCAGGATGGAACCCAGAGCTAAACGTGAGCTGATTTAGTCCAGATCATTCATTAAGGGTTTTTTTTCTGGCAGATGTACTAATACATAATGCTTGACTACCTTGTCTAACCAAAATAGGCTAGAAACTATTCAGCTGAGCTAGGATTAGGTATAGCATGCTTAAAATGATTTTACATATCATTTCTTTCATACTGTAACTGTCACATTCTTACTCATGAGGGCTGTTTCTCAGTTCAAATGAGAACATTTAATAATGGCCAAGCAAGGGTCATGGAAAATAAACAGACGAATCACTGAAATAAACTGGCAGGCAGCCAGCCTATTTTACAATGGTTTCGTGTTCTGCATAATGAGGGTTGAGATCTTAAATTCCGCATTAGGAAATGACCTGGAGTTACAATTAAGGGATTATAAATAACTGACCTCACCTCATTTTTCCACTTGCAACTGAACACATTTGTTTCTGTTTCCTGTATTTACTACTAAATATTTTGTGGTTAAATGTTTTTTTTTCCTTTTTCCTTGACTTACAGCAAAATTGTTTCTTCCATTTTCAAATGTTATACTTATATAAACCCTGATTGTGGAGGTGGAAAAATGTTATTATACTGTGATTTATTTTAAAAATGTAATATATCCATCAAATTAAACTCCTGCAGATAAGCTTGTGATACTTTCAATCTACTGGCATTAAACACAGTTAACACAGTGCCGCAGTCTAATGAAACTGTCATCTATCCCGCTTGGTTTAATTAGCAAAGAAAGACTCCTGGTTCATTTTTTTTCCAAGAGTATACTTTACTGAGAACAAAGTGGTTATAGATTAGAGCAGACAGAATTTGTTGGCTTGGTGCAAAAATTATGCAATTAACTTCCCAAATATCCAATTAAAAATTCTCAGGTTGTTTTGGAAACAGACCCTGTGTTCATATTGGCGCCCCTCACAATCAGGGCCGGCTCTGCTCTGCTTCAAACCTGACCCCCTCCAACCACCCACATTCCAACATCTCCCCCTCCCGCCGTTGCAGGTGTCAGGCTGGCAAGATGCAATGTGAAGCAGGTAGCAGAATGGCAGTCATGACAGAAACATATAAAACTTGAATAAAATTGCCAACCATACTTATCTGATCCACCGCTAGAATAAAGAGATGGACAAACACACAACCTATGCTGGGAACACATAAAGCAGAAGGTAATTCCTTTCTTGCACGTTAATTTGTTATTACAGAGGTCAACAACTGTTGAGCAGCTCTGACGCGCACTCAGTACCCAACTGCAAGGATCATCAAACCTGGCATCCACAAAAGCTAATGTTGGGATCTGGATGCCATCAAGAGGGAGCTCACGGTTCCCACAAAGCAAAAGGCATTCTGGAGGGGGTAAAAAAGCACCCCACCCAGAAGGAGCACACCTGCCTGTCAAAGCGAAGCCTGTGTTCCTGCTGCCCTCGGTTGCATCACGGAGAAGGAGGCACCAAGAAGTCTTCAGGGTGAAGGCTTGTTCCTAGCACAGAAGCAGGAAAGGCCATTTGGAATTCAGGCATGAAGTGGCACAACTCACCACTGCCAGCTCACCGCTGCCAAGTCACTATAGGCAACTCCACACGGCCAACTCGTCATGGGACAACTTGCCATGGGCAGCCAGAGGAAGAGCTGGGTGGGCGGGCGAGGGAGTGGGTGGGTAGCATTTTCACACACTCGCTGCTGCCACTGCTGGGCCAAAGAGGCTGGGGACAATGGGGACAGAGGTGGCAGCAGTTGGGGTGGGCAGCAGGGAGGCAGCTGTGGCCAGGGGCATCCCATTTTCACACATTCCCACCACCGCCACCACCGTGCCAAACTCCAGGCCTAAGAGACGGGAATGGCAGCGGCAGGGGAATGTGAACACGGGAAGCCTCCGGCCATCACCATCACTGCTCTGCGTTCTGCCCAAACGCTCGCTCACCTGCCTGCTGGCCTCTCCCTCCAGCCACCTGTGGCAAGTTGGCCCTGTGGAGAGTTGGCCTTTGGGAGTTAGTTGGCAGAGGTGAGTTGGCAGTGGGGAGCTAGTGGCAGTGAACTGGCCGCACTAAGCTGGCTGTGGTGAATGTCTATGAAGATTCTCCATCATCCAGGTCATGGTTGTCCCGAAACGTCTTCAAAGAAAAACAAAAAAGTCCAGCTGCCTCTTGAAAAAGGCCCTGGGGAGTTATCCTAGACCCATTCAGGAGAGCCTCCTTCCTTAGCAGACTCTTTTGCATCACCCAGTCCTTGCTGTATCATTTGGCCAAATGTGTGGACCTATCAGTGCATGTGAGGTGGGGATGAGGTAGCATTTTTGGGAGATTGGGGCCTCCCTTCTTTGAGACAGATGCCATCCTTGCAGACTGAGTGGTGTCCTAGTGAAGGTGCAATGCCTAGCTTAGCTTCCATTTGGCTATCCTTAAAGAAACATCCTCTGTATCTTTGCTGAGAAGCACGTTGAGCATCAACCAGTCCAACAGCAGACTTTGTGCCTTGACCGCTCTGTACTTAGAAGTGTGCAGCAGCTCCTCCTCCCAGCCCCTCATTTGGATTGCATTTGGGCCCTGGGCCCACTGAGTGTATGTGCCAGTTCTAGATCCGTCCTGTGTAAATTGCTGGAGAAAAGTAACACTTAATTATTTCCAGAGCTCCAGCGAGGGGGATTTTTGCTGCAGAAGGTCAGTGCATGGTAAACAATATCTGGTGATTTCAAAGTTGTCCTTAGTGGATTTGATTCTCCCCAAAATAGCTCCTGAAGGTACCATCTAGAAAGTCTCTTCCCCTCCCCCTCTGTCCAAGATCTACAAGGGCAGGTGCAGATGGCAACAGAGACGACTCTCAGCTTGCTCTGGCTCACATCTGCTCCTAGCAAAGGAAGCCTCGCCTCCCCTCCCCGTCTAACAGAGGGATGACGGGCATCCTGCTTGCCTGCCCTTATCCAGCACCATCTCCACCCACACCCCAAAATGTAGCACTTGGAACTAGGACTAGGAACAGCAAGAATGGCAAAGGAAGTAGGGAACCAGAAAGACCGCCATCTTGACTGAGACGGACATCTTCATGGATTAGCACAGAATTCACCCAATGCTTGTCTGACAGTCAACCGCTTGCGACTGGCTCCACAGGAAGGTCCCACCAGCAGAGTCTGAGAAATACTAGAATGGCACTGAAGGACACCAGCCGAGTGGTGGGACATTTAACATAGGCAAAGCTGGTAAAGGCTTCCTGGAGAAGAGAAATGCAGCCCAAAGAGACAATCTAGCTGACTATGGTTTCATCAAATCGGGTGGGGCAACTTCAGCTAAACTGAGGAGCCTTTGGCAGTTCGAGGGGAGGCCGGGCAGGCTGCTTCCAGCCCAGATGGCCAGGAATGGCTCAGCCGGGCAAGCTGTCCCTCCGGCTCTGCTGCCAGGAGGCGCCTGGGCTTCCTCTGTGCCAGGAGGGCTACCCAGCTTGGAGCGGCCTCCCGTTCCCAGAACCGCTTTGCGACCGAATTCAGTTCCAATCAAACCCCACTTTCTCCACGGGTGGCGCCTCTAGTTTAGCTGCACGGCCTCTATTGCAGTCCAAAGAGGTTCTCGGGCCTGATCCGGACGGGCGGAGCCCCGACCTCGGGTGCTGGATCGGAGGACGGGAGGGGGAAATCCCACCGCCGCCCCTCCCCACCGCTCTCGCCTCTGGAGCCCAGCGGGACCCGCCGCCACGGAGGCCCCGTGGCAGAAGAGAGCCGCTCCAGACGGTCAGAAGTTAGGAGGGCGGAAAGCAACGGCCGGCGCGTCTCTGCTCGCTCGGCGGCCCCTGCAGCCCAAGCGGGGCGGGCGAGCGGCGGCGCGGCTTCCGCTCGGAGCTCCTCAAGGCAAGCGCGGCGTCCCGCCCCCCGAGGGCTCCGGAGGGGCGGCGAGCTGTCGGGCAGCAGCGGGTCCCGCCTACTCTTCCCCCTCGGCCGGCCAGAGGACGCGCCCCGGCTGCTCCCGGAGGACCCAGCCCGAGTGGAGGCGCCGCCGGGTCCGCTCCCGCCGCCGCAGCTCCCGGCGCCGGCCATGGTAAGTGCGGAGCTTCGACGGCTGCCTCTTCTGCCCGGGCGCGGCTCTGGGCCGGTGGCGCGGAGCGGAGCCTCGTTCCTCCGCGTCCGCTGCTCGGGGTCCCGGAGGCGGGTCTTGGCCGGTGACTTGCGCGGGCTCGACGGGGCGCGGGGGCGTCCGGCTGCTCCTGGCGAAGAGGCCGTCAGGCGGAGACCCCGTTGCCGGCCTTGGAGGCTCTCGGTCTCGCCGGGTATTTCTGGGCCGCGGCGAGATCTGCTCCGTGGCCTCCCTGCGTGGGCGGCCCTCGCCTCGGTTCGGCCGGCTCTGGGTGGACGGCAGGGCGGCTCCCTCCTGGCCTGTTCAGCGCGGCCTTTGGCCGGCCCTCCGGCTCCAGCGGAAGGGCAGCCGTCAGCCCAGTTCGGCCTCTAGAGGAATTTCCTGTAGGGAGCGGTAGAAAGAGCGGCTCCGCGTCTGGTCCCTGCCAGTGCCCCAATGCGGAGCTCAGCCCCTTTCGGATCCCCCCCCCCGCTCTCCTGCGGGGTGCTCAGCCTGAAGCCCTTCGTTCCTCCCTTCCAGCAAAAACTGCCTGTCCGAGTGGCTTTCGAATTGTTATGATTAAAGAGGTTATAAAAATGTGTGTCAACTATAATTAATTTTAAATGAATTTAGGTGAAATTTATTCATTCTGGCCCTACTGATTTTTCCTATTGCACACACCCCCCCCCCCGTTTCCTTGCAGTCTGAAGTGATAAAGAGGCCACTTGGTGCTTTTGAATCAGCCCTGCTGGTGGACTGATACGGAAGCTGTTAGGCACCTGGAGGGGAACCAGACTGCCTGCCCTCCCTGCCTCCCACCCCAGTCGTGTGCAGGAAAAGAGTAGCAATCCAGGCCCTGCTCCAAAACTCTGCTGCCTCAGGACAAGGCAGTTGTGGGGCCCAGCATCACTGTTGATTCAACTGCAGCGAGAGCTCAGCGTGGGAGAGAAAGAGAGGATTCAGTTTGTCTGAATGTGTTCAGAGTATGTTAGCGCTGAAGGTTAAAGCCACTAGCTGGTTCAGTTGTCCCCCAGGACATTATTAATGATCGAGTCCTGGGATCTGTGGCTGTCCTTGCTCTGGATTGGCTCTAGAGTTGGTCCCACTGGGCCCACCCTGGCAGTACCAGGCACTGACAATTCAAAGGCGCTGCGACTGGAAAAAGCCTCCAAGCAGCAACCTCAGGTTGAACTGAGTTTTCCTTCCATTGTATGAGTCCAGAGAATTGAGATATCAGCTTTCAGTCTCCACTCCTTGTCCACAGCCTGCACCTCAGGGCTGCTGCCCTGTGGAATCTGCCTCTGCCTATTTCCAGGGACTAGAGCCTGTTCAGTCAAGGAATAGAAGAGAGCTGGAAGGGACCTTGGAGGTCTTCTAGTCCAGCCCCCTGCTCACGCAGGAGAACCTATATCATCTCAGACAAGTGGCTGTCTAGCCTCTTCTTAAAAACCTCCACTGATGGAGCGCCCATGATTTCTGGAGGCCAGCTGTTCCACTGGTTGATTGTCCTCACTGTCAGGAAGTTTCTCCTTAATTCCAGGTTGCTTCTCTCTTTGATCAGTTTCCATCCATTGTTCCTCGTCTTTCCCTCTGGTGCTTTGGTGAACGTGACCCTCTCTGCCTTGTGGCAGCCCCTCAGATACTGGAACACAGCTATCATGTCTCCCCTATTTCTTCTTTTCCTTTAGAGTTGGGAAGGAGGGAAGGCAGAGAAAGGGAGCAGCTTCTGGAGGCTCTCTGGCCTTTGCCTGCTCCGCCTCCCTCGCTGTTTTCAGAAGTGAAGCTCCGAAATGCTCCTTTCAGGGGCTGCTGCTTCTCAGCTGCTCAGTTGCTTCACGGGTGCAAGTCATCTAACGGAAACATCTGGCTCCTTCAAATTAATCTCTCCTGCCCACAGGAAGCGCAGCATTTCAGACGCTGCTTCCTGGCAGAATCTCCCCAGGGCTTTCCTTGCCTCCTGTTGACCAAATGCCCGAGGAGTTGGCACTTCCTTCAGGAGGATGCTGGTTCTCAGTGGGAATATTTGAAAAATTCCCAGCAAGATTCTTGCACACACTTTAAGGCACTTTGAAATACATTCTCTGCTGTGCAGCAGAAGATGGGATAAAATTGTTAATTTGAAGCAAAGATACAAAAAAGTACTGTGACTGATAACAAAGGCAAAACCTCTTTTGGAGAGATTAGGAAGCGAGTTGGGTAGCAGGGCTGGACCAGCAAACATGCCCCACCCTATGCAAAAGTACAGGTCCCGACCTGCTTCACGGTGCTTCTCCAGCTGGGTTTCAGGTTTCTGCAGGGAAACACAAATCCTGATACAGCGATAGAATGACCAGCTACTGACCTCAAATCAATTTGGGGAAACAGATGGGAGAGCCATACACCCATGCATGCAACTCTCTCTCTTCCCACAAGCTCATCTCCACTTCAGTCCCATGAAAGAGTTTGTGCCCAGGGTAAGTGCTGCATCCAAGAGGCTACAAGCTTCAGTTGAGTTTGTGGAAACGTTGAGGTCCTGGACAACTCAAGAGACGGCCCCTCCCTGAGCTTTCCCACCCAAGGCTTCAGCTTCCTTTGAGGGGTTCCTTCCCGGGCACAGAATCTGCCCTGTGGTTCTTTGGCAGCCAGCCAAAGTTCTTTTCCTTGGAAAGCCCCAGGTCCCGGCCTGGCTCCCCCAGACTGAGCTGTGTCATCTCCTCTCCTGCTGCTGCGCTTCAGCCTTGGCTTGGCTGCCCGCTCTCCTCTGGCTCCTGTCCACAGACTGTGGAGGAAGACTTAGGGAAGGCAGGGGTGTTGGATGGCTAATGCCAGAGAAGGCTTTGATCGTCTTCCCAGAGCCCAGGCGGGTTGTCAATCACAGGCAATCAGTAAATATTTTTGGGTGTTTGCAGCAAGACAGCCAAGTGCCTGGATAAAGAGGGTTCTCAGAAGGAGCGCCATGGCAGGTGCTGCAGCAGGTTAAATGGGAACAGCAGTGGCAGGACTGGGCCAAAGCCACCCAGCTGGCTTTCATGGCTCAAGTGGGACTTGAATTCAAGGTCTCCTCTTTCTCGTCTGGTGCATTAACCACTAGAGCAAACTGGCTCTCAAATGTTAAATGTGTGGTATCTGGAGCACTCCAAGGGAAAGATAATATGCAATAAATTAGCAAGAAATGTATGTTTGAGATTTAAATGCTCTGCCTCCATTAGCTTTGTTCATCTTCTGGAAATAGAAAAATTGTGCAATGCACGGCTGGCCCTCCAACAGTTTTTCCTTTCTGGAGGAAGGTCCCTTCTGGAGGAGGTTCACCTGGGGTGCAGAAGGGCGGCTTGCACCCTGAGCAGACCTGGCTGCTCTCTCGTGAGTCACGTGGCAAAGGAGAGAATCCAGGGCCGTCACATTGGCGTGAAAAGGGCATTTTCCAGCTCATCTGTTTTAACCTCCCTGGCCCTTGGCAGCTGCGCCTTCCATCTCTCAAGAAGTGTCTTCTTGGACCAAGCTGGGGGCGTCAGCCCCAGCCCCTCCTGTCCCACCCTATGACCACCCTGTCCCCTTCTGCAGGGTGAGAACCACCTGGGGCGATGCCAGCAGGAGGCCGAGGAGGTGACGGAAATCATGCTAGACAACTACACCAAGGTGTTGGACCGCGAGGGCAAGCTTAGCGACCTGGATGAGCGGGCTGATGAGCTTTGTAAACAGGTATGGAAGGTGACGTGGGGACTGGGTGGGGCACCCAGGATGACCAGCAAGCTCTTTGTCCAGAGCCTGGCAAGGGCAGCTGGACAACCAGCTGGGCCTACCTGCCAGGTGGAATTTCTGTGGGGTCAGGCCAAAGGACCATAAACCAAGGTTGGAAAGGGCCTTGGCTTCACCCTATGGAAAGTCTTCATTATGGCCACAGTGGACCCCAAATTTCCATTGATAAGCAAAACACTTGTTAAGTACTCCACTTTTTGACCATTTTGCCACAACAGTTAAGGTAATCACTGCAGTTGTTAAGCGAATCTGGCTTCCCCCATTGACTTTGCTTGGTGTAAGCCAGCTGGGAAGGCTTCCAGTGGGGATCTCATGGGCCAGGAGTGGAGGGGAGCTGTCGTTAATACACGGCAGTTGCCAAGTGCCTGAATTTCGATCATGTGACCATGGGGATATTGCAGCAATCTGACGTGTGGAAAAGTCACTTTTTCCAGTGGCGTTGTAACTTCAGTCACTAAACAAACGGTTGTAAGTTGAGGACTACCTGAATTCACTGGAATGAGATTGCAGCCACCTCCAGCTGGTTTTTTTTCTAGAGTTCTGCCTTCACCAAGACAACAAAGACCCTGGCCCAGAAGAAACGCTGGGAGAATATGAGATTCAAGATCATCCTGTTGGCCGTGGTTGTGGTGGCTGTTCTGCTCATCGTCATCACCCTCTACTTCACTCTCTCTGGATCCGGGAACCAGGTGGCTCCAGCAAAGACCAGCACTGGTGGTGACTGATCACTGATCAAGTTCTCCCCAGGATCCTCTTCCCAACACCAAGCTTTCAGGGTGCAGGGCCTCGGGGCCTTGCTAGGATCTGGCAGTAGCCTTGACCACTTCATTTCTCATTGTGGCAAGCAAACTGAGGAAGGAGGCAAAGGACACAACCCTCTTGATGTCCACGACCTCAACACCAAAAATGACTCTGTGAGTGAGAAGGAAGGAAGGAAAGCCAGGATTAACTTCGCTGGCCCGGAGGAAGCCCCTTTCACCGAGCGGGGGCGAAGCCAGCAGCGGCCAGCCTCCCCTTGCCTACGGCCTACTCCCCCCCTCCCCGTCTTCTTCGAGAGCCGTCCTTCGCGCCCGCGGCTCTTTCGGTATCGCTGCCTGGCAAGCTCCCCCGATCCCCGAGCAGCTCCGACGAAAGAGGCCGGCCCTGCGGCCTTGGAAGGGCCTCGGGTGGACGTTGTAAGCGGAAGGGAGTCGCTCGCGCGGCGCTTCGGAGGCCGAAAGACGCGACGGTTGGCGGGATCCCGCGACGCGCGCCATCGGGTCAGTCGCGCGTCGAGGCGCCACGCTCGCATCCGGAGGGCGGCTGGCTGGGTGGCCTGGAGCCGGGTTCCTCCTCCCAGGGCCGCTCGGAGCCAGGAGGGCCGCGGGAGCTCAGCTGGGGGCGTTTCGGCGCTGCCGGCAGACTGCGGCGGGGCGGGGCGGAAGCCAGAGGCCCGCCCGGATTGGCCGCCGGCCAGGAGGGCGCGGGCGGGGCCTGCCTCCCGTCGCAGCCATGGCGTCCTACTTCGAGGAGCACAACTGCGAGCCCGGGGCCGCGCCGGGGGACCGCCTGCCGTCGCGTCGCGCCCTGCTGGAGCTGGCCAGGTGAGCCCGGGCGGGGGCGGCGGGCGGGCCGAGGAGGGGCCCGCCCGGCCGGCGGGCTCACGGGTCGTCTTCCCGCGCCTCTAGGTCTCTCTTCCACGGCCTGGAGATCGACGTGGGCGCGCTGCGGGGCGGCGACTGGGAGCACCGACTTCCCCCGCCGGCCGCCAGACGGGCCGTGGAGGGCCTGCCCGAGGTCCGCGTCAGCGCCCCGCAAGCAGGTGGGCGAGGAGCTCGGGCGGGAGCGGCTCCTGCGCGTCCCCTCCGCCGGCCTTCCGGGGAGCAGAGGCGGAGCCCCGTGGGGAGGCCCGGGCCGGATGCCCAAAAGGACCGGGGGGGGCACTTGCGGAGAGGCGCTCGGCTGACGGGGGGGGGGGAGGACGGGACGGGCGGATGCAGCCGCTTTGACGCTGTGTTGTCTCTCGATCCTCCGCGCCCGCCCGGCGCTCAGCGAAGGGGCTCCGGTGCCCGGTTTGCCTGCTGGAGTTCGAGGCGGCGGAGGCAGTGAGGACGATGCCCTGCCAGCACCTCTTCCACGCGGGCTGCCTTCTTCCCTGGCTCGGAAAGGTGAGGCGGCGGGGAGAGGGGAGGCGCCCACTCCGCTCCCCCCGCGCAGGTGCTGAGGTCTTTCTCCCTCCAGACCAATTCCTGCCCGCTGTGTCGCCACGAGCTGCCCACCGACGACCAGGAGTATGAGGAGCACAAGGAGGAGAAGGTGAGGCGGCTGCAAGGTGGCCCCCCTCGTGGAAGCCGGGGGGTGGAGCCTAGCCTGGCCTTGGCCTGCTGTTGGGCCACCAGGATGTAGCTTTGAAGGGCGGGGATCCCACTCGCCTTTGAAGGGGGGGCGACTTGGTAGCAAGCAGCCGGGACTTGCCCCCCCCCCCACTTGTAGTGTTGGCACCTTGTCTAATCTGGGTGCTGTGAGTCCAGGGCTGGCCGGGTGAGGTGCTTCAATTTGAGGTTTGCAGGATGAACTCCTCTATTTTAATCTGAAAGGCTCGGAGGCAGCAGCAAGTGCACCGACTGGAGTATCTCCATGGCGCGATGTACACGTGACCCTACAGCCTACAGCGTTGCCTTCATCTGGGACAGCAGGGATTTTCCCAGTTGCAAAGAGCAGAAGCAGCTTTCTGGGACAAGGAACGCAGCGCTCGCAAGTGGTGCCCCTATCCTTCTCCTTGGGAGTGACATGCAAACCTCAATGCTTTTTCTAAGCAAGCCCCAAAGACGCAGAGAGTTCAGAGTGATTTTTGAAAAATAAAAGTAGCAAATGTCTTTCTTTCAAAGCTGAGCTTGTTTGGCATTGTTGGGGCAGAAATGAGGGGAACTACCTCCCAAAATAGGCTATGTGAAAAAAAAATAGTATTCTGTTTCTCTCCACCCTTTCCTGTTTTTTGTTCTTATGTCACATCCAGCCATATTAATTCCCACCACTTGCAAGTGCCCAGCATAGGATTTGTGGCAGACTAGAAATTATGTCCGCCCCCCCCCCTTGACAAAACAAAGATCCACAACACAGAAATCCCCATATACACCACAGTCTTCCCCTGATAGCTCTTTTTATATTTTGTTTACATAGGAAAGATACAAAACAGTTCTACAAAATATCAAACCACTTTACCCAGGGCTGAAGAGAGAAAGGAACTCTGTATGATGTTGGGGGTTTATGAAAATAGTGGAGGAGGTCTCTTTCCCGTATTTCGGGTTTATTTTCTTGAAAGGCCTGGAACAAGAAGGGTATATTTCCACCAGCACAGGGGACACCCCCAAATAAATTTGGTTCTGCAGCTTAAGCAACTCTTGCCTCAAAAGAAAATGGGGTGGCAGTAAGGCACAATTTTGGCCAGAGGAAACTGGGTTCTTGGGTACCCTGACACGCGCAAGAGCCCCCTTCCAGCTTGGAGGCACTTCCTGAAGGGTGGCAGGAGATTTGGCAGAGAAAGTGCTTCAAGGTGACCTGACGCGAAGGTGAGCAAAGAGATCCTTGGGACATCTCTGGATGTTTGGAAAACGAAGTTTCTCAGATGGGCTAGGCAGCCACGTATTCTTTAAAAAAACATCTTGGTATAAAAAAGTGGCCAAAGAAAAGCCAGCCTGCCAGAGCAGCGGAGAGGGTGGGATGGGCCGGCCCGCCCTCCCGCCACCCTCATATCATGGCAATGCTCTCCAGAGGGCAGTTCAGGTGGGCAGAGGGGCTGCTGCTGCCCGGCGACTTGCAGCCTCGGCCGCTGGAATGCTGCAGGGCAGCAACCAGGGTCTCGTTGGAGATGGCACCAAACTCGTAGCTGAAGGTTCCATAGAAAACAAGAATGTCGACGACAAAGACCCACTCGCAGATGGCGGCCAGGTGCTGCAGGAGGAAGCTCTGGTGGGTAAAGAAGGCGCCGCCTGTAGTGGGGTCAAGGCAAGGTCGGAAGAAGGTGGCCTGGCCCGGGGGATGCCAGGTGCCCACCCCAGGGACTGAATCGGGGCAGGACACAGTTCTTCTGCATGGGGGAGAGGGGCACTTCTGAGAAAGCACAGGAGCACAAGAGGTGGGCCGATACAGAACTTCAGTTAGGGGAGAAACGGGAGAAGGGGGCTCTGGACCACAGGGCCATCTTGGCCTCTCCCCAACCAGCAGGTTGCCATAAAAGGATACTGACGACAAGAGCGATGAAGGCCGTGGTGGAGAGGAAAACACGCAGATGGGCCATCCAGAAGTCCAGGGCAGAAACAGCCGTGTGATAGGAGAGGAAGCACTGTAGGCAGATGAAAAGCAGGCCAGCTGGGAAGGCAACACCAGCTCCGATGTAGTGAAGAGATTTGGCATAATCCACCTGGAGGCAGTGGGAAGCCCAAATAGGATGGATGGTTCCTGTTGGAGCTCTGCCCAAGCCAGCTCTGCCTCAGCGGCACATTGGGCAACTCAGGCAAAGATGCCCAGGATGAATCTGGCTCCAGTGAAGCTGCCGAGGGCAAAAATCAGCCATTGCCTCTCGGGAACACAAACATCTTGCAACATCAGCATGAAAAACACAGCAATAGGTCAAACAGCTAACCCAACTGACACATCCACTCCAGCCTGGCAAAGAGGAGTTCAGGCTTGGCCATTTTCTGGCAGCTCTGCGTTTGCAAAGGCCTCCCTTGTGGCGTGTACCAGACCGGCTCTGGCTGCTAGGGCAAAGGCAGTGTTACAGCTGCAACTATTGCCTTATTCAAACCAAATGAATTAGCTGCTCAAGCTTTTGCTGAAGGATGGGAACAAATCTGCAGTGTGGTTCTCTCTGCTCCACAAAGGCCAAATAGCCACCAAGAGGTCCCACAGGGCCAGGAAGCAGAAACAGCACTCAGCAACCCTAACCTTGGAGACAATTGTCCTTTCAACCAACCTGAAAATTCCCAACCACCACCAGGCCAGCTGCATTGGTGCAACCTGTGACAAGGGCTGCTGTGTTCACCCCGGAGGCCTGTCTCTGCTCTAGGAGTTGCCCGTAGCGCAGGAAGCAGATGATGGCCACTGGGAGAGGGGAGAGAGGGAGGGGGGAGAGAGAGAGAGAGAGAGAGGCACGTCAAACCCAGCATGCAAAGCAGACGAACAAGCTGTGGCACCTCATGGGAATGGCCTTCCCAAGGACAAAAAGCCTACAGGGACATGCACAACATGGCAGTCAAAACCAAGCAAGCCATCTTAAACCTTAATATGTTGCATGAACCTAGCTGACTGACTTGTCAAGACAAACTAAAACTTGGCATGACATTGCAACCAGACCATGCAAAAAACAACTCTTCAGGTTTCATGATCATGAATTCTAGTGAGCTCAACATTCCAATGAAAAGAAAATGGGGTGGGGGGGTGGGTAGAGAAGGATATGGATGCACCAAGGGAGTGTTTGATCTATATGTTGGCAGCAACATGTATAGGAAATAGAAGGTGGGTATAACACAGGAAAAATGTTAGCAAATAATACCATTTGGAGACCTTCAGACGGACTAAAGAACAAGGGGAACCTGAGCTATTAGAGAGACTTTAAAAACAATAGAAAGCGTATTTATTTGGGGGCCATGTCAATTACAAAAGTCACAGACTGGAGCTTGGAGAACAGGTTCAGTCAAGAGGGAGCAGAGACTGAGCAGAGCTTCTTCACGTGCTAATGAAATTGGGAAAAGAGGGAAATGAATACTTACCCAAGAAAGCGCCAATGTTCCCAATAAGGCTGAAGAGGCAACTTTCAGGAGGGTAAGTGCCACATTTGCTAAAAGGAAGGAAGAGAGCATTAGCACGAGACGCAAGTCACCCTATGCACTTGCTTTAAACCCACCCATTTTGGGAACTGCCTGGCACCATTTCACAATGCCACATCTAGAGCAGCACTTGCAGCCGCTGGCTCATCCTCCATGAGCTTCTTTCCACCTCACCTGATCAAAGGGACATCTTCCAAGGTGCAGCAGCTTTTGGGGTAGCCGTGCTTGGTAGAATCAGCAGAACAAGACTCGTTGTACGACCTGCAGCCATTTGGACAGATTACGTGGTATTCTGAGATGCTCCAAGAAAAAGAGACCCAAGGCCCCCTTCTCTCCCACTAGCAGACTGTCCTCCCGCTTTCCAGCACAACTCACCAGTTCTCAACAGGGCACACGTGGTGGTTCATGACTGCCATGGCGTAGCTAGGAGCAAAAGAGATGATAAGGCAGCAATAAGTGGGTAAGTTTGAAAATAAATAGTTCCCTAATGTTTATGGAAGTCTGTGTTAGCCTCTCTCTCTTGGCTCTCCAACTGATTGCTCAAAGTTCTCAATCAAAGCAACAATATCAAATCAGTTGAACAAACACTTTAATTCCCCCGGTATGTTTTTAAATTCCACCGAAATGGCAGAGAATGCAGCTTTCCAGCAGAAGCCTCCCTGGGTGAAGGAACTCCCAAGTGGTTCACATCACCAGACCCACAAAGCCTTTAGAAGAAACCACTTTCACTCCCACGTGTCAATCTAGCTAGACTGAAGGTTTCAGAAAAGGGCCAGAATTAGGGAGTATCTCTCATTCACCTGCAACTGCCCATCAAGATTGGCTTGCCAATCTTTCCCCAAAGGCCTTTCAATCACTGGCCCACTAAAGGATACATAGGCAAGATCCAGTACAGCCCACTACCTGGAGACCGGAGACCTCTATCCCTAGAAAAACAAGCTACAGAAAATTTCCAGGAAACCACAAAACCTTAAAAGAAATTTCAGTCCCAGCTGAGCTCTGGTTGTGCCATTTGCCCAGAAAATCAGCCCAGCTGGGGGTAGCACTGAAGCCAGGACCTTTGCTTTCCAAGCAGCCTTCGGGAGATCAGGTACGAATGTGACCTTTGCCTGACACCCCACGGCCAACTCTGGTTGCTTAAGTTTGCCAGATTGGTCCTTTGAGCATGTAGGTTAACTATAAAAAGTTCCACATTCGGTTTCTGCCCAAAATGTCCTCTGAAGATTTGGGCGTGGTCCATTTGAAACCAGGGTCCAGAGGAAATACTTTTAAAAAACTGTTGCTGTAATCACCACAAAGTTTCCCACTGGGCTTGCATCCTTTTATTTCACCAATTCTGCATTTTGTCTCCCAAATGTAGAGCTGTGGAGCACCCCAAACCCATGAAGGTTTTCTTGATGGCAAACTTAATATCAAATTTTTGCAAAGAACAACTATTTTGTTTTACCTAGGGCATGTTTTCCATATGATTCAATTACATCAGTGCAAACACTTTGGACCAGCTTAGAAATAATTTGATGCCAAATAAATAGAATTGGGAGTTATCTTCTGTCTCACCTTGATCTTGGCTGACCTACTGTAGGAAACTAGGCAGTGAGTCCGAGGGAGTCCTTTCAAGCTGCTGGCTAGGCAGGATATGCAAGACAGCAATGGAAACCATTTACTGGATGGATTGTAACTTTAGACCTCCAAAGATGAGCCTCATTTTTTTTAAATATAAGTGATTTCTCACCATTTGTATTTTGGCAACTGATGTAATAAGAACTTCACGGTTAGGGTTCCTGACATCTTGTGTAAATGTTTAGTTGTGACTTAAAACAAAAAGAGACAAAGGTACTTTTCCAATGTTTTTTCTACAGAAGAATCAGTGTAAATCTACAGGTTTATTTCAGATACAATTGCAATTAATTTACAAAGAGCCACAACAAGAACTTTATGCTCCAGAAAATGTTTTATATGTTCAAATTTCACATAAGTATCTTTTTAAAAATATTTCTTCACTAAGAAATCAGTAACAATATTTAAAAGGGCTTTAACCAATGAATTTAGGAGAGCTGAATTTGGAAACTCAATACCTTGTCTAGTATTATTTAAAAAGTATACTAGAACTATTTAGGCTTTCCCCAATGCAGTCTTGGCTATTTTAGTTCCTAGACCATAGCCGGATACAAGAATTTAGTTTTTCCAAAGAATATAGCCTAAAAAGATGTAAAAAAATGAAATCTAAATATGCAAAGCATTTTTCTAATGTGATAAAAATGTCCTTAAAGATGATATTGATAGCTGCACTACAGTATATGGGAAAGATAGAGATGGGATACTCCCAATTCAGTTCCACCAACACAGAGGAAAATTGGTAAATAAATAAAACCCATATTCTTTCACTTGAACCAAGAGGTATAAATTTGTATGCTCAAAGCTATGATACGGTAACTATCAAGAAATCTGATTGGTTTACAAAATAAAACCAAGCTTCAATGATAGAATCACCTGCTAACATTACAGAGATAGAATGTGAAAATACAAAATTGGTCATGAACTGTCAGGTCCTGAAATCCTTATTGTTTTCCCTGCATATATGCTCTTGTTTTGCCATTCTGCTGGGGGGAGGGGGGAATTTGCTTTTGTTCGGGGATAACTTTCGCTTTCTCTCTTTCCTCGCCTCTCTCCACTTGGAGAAAGGAATGTGTCTTCCTTATCAGGGAGACAGTTACAGAGAAAGGAAAACTGGAGAAGACTTTGAGATGCCCGCCAACTGTGCCACACACCATGCCACCTGTGGACTGGCTGGATTTCAAATGGACGCTGTGACTCTGGTGGGAGGAGGAAGATTGCTTGCTTAACTATACCGGTTTAAGTGGGATTTTCCCCAGATCTCGCCTTGACTTCCCCACTGTCACTGAATGGAAATTTCCTCTCAGTGGCAGCAGCTGGGTAAGGCAAGGACACAACCTGTTGTGGGCTCTTTGTGGGAAACAGACCAACGCTATATTTATGATGCAAGACGGACGCCTCATGACGTGGGCCTATCAATCAGGTCATCCGCAGGAGCAGGAACCCCCCCATTCAATCTGCAGTTTGGAAGAGGCTGCAACACCACCTGTTGCAATCAGCCTGCCTGCACGTGGGATGTGTGTTTGTGTCTTGGGCCAGAGAGCCAGTAACTGCACTCACATCCTCCCAAGAGCATCACAGTAAATGTAGCCACAATGAGGGCAGGTGAGCCACATTAGGCAACCTGGCCCCGAAAGATCACCGTCTCTTTGCTGCTGGCCCACAGAAAGTGTGGGATGCTCTGGCTAAGCCAGGCTGCTGGGGCAGGAGGAGGAAGTAGCTACAAACCGTCCCCTCCAGAGGAGACATAAACGTGAGCCCTGGTGATCTGGCTTTAGGCCCCTTGTGGTCTCCGGCAGGCTCAGTACCAACTGCCATTCAAAATGCAGAGAAACACACAACCACCATGTTCCTTCATGAATCACAGCCTATATGGGTCATGATTTGGCAACACATTTGCTAAGTAACCTTTTGGGAAGTAATTCTGCAAGCAGGAGCCCAGGAAAACTGCTGACACAACTCTGCAGCAGTACTTGGAGCTCAGGGAGCAGCAGAAGGACCGGATGCTTCTCTGCAGGAGGAAGCAAAGCATGCAGGCTTCACCTCTCATGCATGACCCAGCCACAACTCACAACAGCTCTTACACAATCCATATTCCAGCGATTGAGAAGGTAGAGAGGCTGATAGGGAGGATGATCCACGCAGTCATTAGTGAGTGCAGAAGGGGGACCCTTAAGAGGGGGAGAGGGGAGAAAGGAAAAGGGAGGGGAGGGGTGGGATGGAAGTGGGGGACCCAGCCACAGCTCAAGGCCTCCAGCTGGAACCAGGTGCTCCTAGAAGAGAAGCAGGAGAAAAAGATGGGTCAGTGAGTGTCAGCCTTTCCAGGAAATGACTAAACAAATTCTACTTAAGGGAGTCTCTTTAAGTCTGACAGTACAAATCTCCCACCCCCTGCCACTTTTAACCATCCTAAGTTCCTTCTCTGGCCTTAGCCACTGGGGACTCCTGTCTCTCTGGTGGTTTCCTAGGAGCATCTCTTCCCCTCGTCTCCCAAGGTCATTTCCACATACCACCAGTCGGGACCATGCAAGTATTTTCTGAAGTTGCCTCTTCTCCAGATCCAGTTTCAAGACAAGGTCAGAAGTCACTGGCCTTATTTCAAGAATGCCACAGAACATCTTTCAGTTTTTGCCCCATGTCCCAACAGAATCCCCTCAGGCCAGTTCCCTCCTTCTTGATTTTAGAAAATGAGCAGAGATTTTAGTTAGAGGACAGGCCGTGTTATTAGGTCACCTTAAGTAACCTGTATGTGAGTCAAGAAGCAACAGTTAGAACCGGAGGTGGAACAACTGATTGGTTCCAAATTGTAGCAGGACAAGGCTGCGTATTGTTGTCCTACTTATTTAACTTATATGAAGAGTACATCATGCAAAATGCCAGGCTGGATGAATCTCAAGAAGGAATTAAAATTGCTGGGAGAAATAGCAAGAGCCACTCTAATGGCAGAAAGTGAAGAGGAACTAAGGAGCCTCTTGTTGAGGGTGAACGAGGAGAGGGCAAAAGTTGGCTTGAAGCTCAGCGTTAAGAAAACTAGAGATCCTGAAGCTGCAGCTCAAAAGCTTTGGCCACTAGAAGAGGGACTCCTCGGAAACGACGGAAGAAGACGAGGAAGGCGGCGGCGGGGAGGCTTAGACGGGGCCATCCAGGAGACCAAGAGGAGGCTGGGCAAACTCCGGGAGACGGGGGGGGGGGACGCAGACGCCGCTTGGCGACTCCACAGCAGGTTCTCCGGCGGCCGCCACTCGCCCCGGCCTGACAACGCAGACCGCCTGCGCGCTCCCAGCCCTCGGCCGAGGAAGCTCCACCGAGCTCTCCGTTTCTCAGCAGCCGCCGGAGCCAACCTGTCCGTCCCGCCTCCCTCCCACGCGCAGCGGCGGCCCGGCAGCCCCTTTCCAGCCGCGCCGGCCGAGGAGCGGAGAGCCGGCTCCCTCTTCCCGCACACCTGCCCCCGGCGGCGGCGGCGGCCACGCTCCAGCCCGGCCGGCCACGAAAAGGGGAAGGAGGACCCGACCCGACCCGCCCGCGCTCTCTCTCTCCCGCGGGGTCTCCCGAGCCACACGACCCCTAAGCAGCGGGCGCTTCCCTTACCGCTCGCCGTCGCCCTCGACGGCCGGAGCCTCGGAGGCCAGGCCGGTGCCGCCCAGCTGACCAGGAGAGGCCCGGCCTTCAGCCGGCGGGGAGGGGGCGCGCGCGGGGAAAGCTGGGAAGAGCCGGCACCGCTCGCCCTGCTGCCGCCTCAGGGCCGGCGGCGCTCGGGCCGCCCTTCTTCGCCAGGCGGCAGCTCTCGGGAGGCTCCGCGCTCGGGCATTGCGAAGCGGCCCCGGCTGAAGGACTGCAGAGGCGCCGCGCCTCTCCGGACAGAAGCCGGAGCCGACCCGCTTGGCGGGGGAGTATCGCTGAGGGTGGGTTACGCCTGCGCTCTGCAGCCCCCGGCGAGAAACGCCGGCTGGGCCCTCGGTCTTCGAGGCCGCCAGCCGCCTTCCTCTGCCCCTCCGCCTAACCTGGGAGCGGGACCCTCGGGGCCTGGAACCCGCTCGGGACAATTTCGGGTTCGAGCAAGCGAAGGTTGGAGTGCGGGAGGCTGCCCGGGCAGGTGAGCCCTCCCCGGACTCCGAGGCCAACGCCTGACTAGGCTTCATGGTGGTGGTGCTCACTCCTTCCCCGCCCCCGAAGAAGGTAGGTCGGGGAGAGAGGAAGGGGAGGGCTGGTCCCAAGCTGCCCCCCCTCCGCAGCTCCTACAGCCGAGTCAGGCGCGTTGCTGCTCACTGGGGGGTTCCCTCCCCCGCTGTGCTTTAGCCTGGTCAAAATGTGCTAAAACCGTAAGTTTATTGAATCAATTTCTGTAGCCCCCCAACTCAATCAAGTGATTGGGTGGCTTACAATTCTAAAATTATAAAGCAAAGGTGAGAGCTTATGCCTTTCTGTAAATAAATAAAAATGAAATAAACCAAATCCCCTTGGATGAGCTTTTTAAAAAAAAAAAAACGCATAAAATACTTTGTTCCAAGTCCTGAAGCTGAGGAACAGTCCTGACCCAGAAAGCACTTTGTCCGATTTCCTGGACTGATTTGAGTTGCAAAGGCTTTGGCCAAATTCTACCCTTTTGGAGATCTCCTGAGCCCCTTAGATTTCTTTTTTTCACCTTGATGTATGAATATGAATTCCTAATGAATCAGTAACTATTCTGAGGGGGCTACAGGACCTGATCCTTGACATCCACTTGTGTGTGTATATGTGTACCCTTACAGCTACTTTTTAGTCCTCATGTCCCCAAATGGCAGGAGTGCATGGAGACAGGGATGCTCATTTGCCCCATGGGAGCCCAGCCTTGTAACTGTTCTTTGGAGAAGGGCACTTGCCTTTTAAGCTGTAGTAGTCTGGGAGGTTTACCTTTTTGTAGCTCAATGTGTTGTGCGCTCCTGAAGAGGATTGTTTCTGGGAAATCTGGGAAAAAGCTGCTTAAAAAGAATGTAAAATGCAAGCCCTTTTTAATAGAAGCAGAGTTCAATTTTGGATCTTCTTTAGAGCCTCTCACGCATGTGAAAAGGAAGAACAGGGACAACAGCGCCTTCTTATTTACCAACAATGTTTAGTCAACAAAAGGGTCGGGTAGGTTTTCACAAAACCATGCAAGCATTCAGAACAAATTCCTGCACCCAAGAACTATTATGGAAGAGCAGGTTCCAGGTCTTTATCTACAACCCTGTGCTACATTTCTGAAAACCTTTGCTGTCGGGAAGAGGGCAAGGCAATGGCCTCCAAGAGGGCTAGACTGAGCCCTGCTTCTTCCCATCCTCCCCACAACCCCTCGGTCAGCCCGGCAGTCTATTTTCTGCACTTTCTGGAGGAAAAAGGTCCTTCTGGCTGATCTACCGAAAAGCTGCAAAATCTAGACTAGAGAACAGCTCTAATTCACCAATTCACCAGCAGCTGTCTCTGCCCTCAGCATAATCCAGCGCCCTGAGCAGTTGGAAAGGGCAGCTGGGAACACCCTGCTACCTCCATCCACGTCTGGTCTCCAAGCATACAGCAAGCTGGGCTTGGATATTCATTCACCAGGGGGAGAGGAGGAGGCAGACCACCAAGGGCCAGCAAGCAAGTCTGGGCTGCAGTAATCTGGCTGGCTTACTTTTCGGGCAGAGCTGTCAAAGGACGACTGCAGGGATTTGCTTCCTTCTGCCACCACTCCCGATGGTGCCCTTGAGCAGCGTAAGGGAGTCCCCCAAGCACGGTCCAGCACTGTTTCCCCTACAGTATTTCTCAATCCCTGCAATGGCTCTCAGCGCTTCGCTCGCCGCTTCTCCAATTCCTCTCGCACTCGTTGCCGAAGGGCTTCGTGCAAAGCTGGCTCCAGCTCATTCTGGGCACTGACCTTCTCCACCACTTCTTCGGGGTCATTATCCTGTACCAAGAAGGAAAAGATGATAAGCTGTAAGTGCTCAACATCTCTCTCACCCTGCCCAAGATGACAAAGTGCGCAGAAAATGTTCCTAAGCAGCTCTTTTGTCACGTGACATATATCGCGTCATATCACATATTGTGGCATATTGCAACCTTTTTTTGCCTTTGTGGAGCCGGGGTGGGCATGGCTTGCATGTGACGTGTGGGCCGCCAGTATGACACCCCTGCTCTAGGAGCTTAATACATTTCAGTCTTTTTAGAAGTAAACAGTGAGAATGGATGGTTTTGTTACCAAACCTCACTGGTATAAATTTCAGGTTGTGTTGGTCACAAAAAGGGGGATACAATTCACTTGCTTTACTGCCAGCTTGCTGCTTTTAAAAGTAAGAATAATTTAAAATGCAAAAAACAAAAACAAAAAACAAATATAGCAATAGAATAATAAATACTTGATGAACAGTAAAAAAAACATTTTCTGTCAGGAAATATATACACAGCAGCCGTGGAGCTAAATAAATCAGTTTTGTCCAAATGTTTCTTAAAACAACCAGTTCTTAGCTAAGAGTCTGAAAATTGCCATTTTTAAAACGACTCTACTCCCAAGAGGTGGACAGATGTTCAAACCAGATGCATGAGGTACATGCAGTGGAAGCTGGTTCCAAAATATTAATTTAGAAAATGGATGTCCCATTCTCTTGATGGCTGAAACAGCAAAAGTATTACTCCCTTTAAAAATCAAAAGGCACATGGCAGTGGCCTTTAAAAGGGAAAGTAGTGTTTTAATGCTCCTCTTAAAACGTAGTGAGAAAAGGGATTGCTAAATCCCCAATGCCCAGTCTTCCATGTCAAACGTATAGAAGCAGCCAGTCTGAGAAATGGGAGTACAACCCTATGTAAGTCTCTTGACTGTGTAACATTTTTTCACCATCATGAATGAAATCCTGAATTTGATTTGGAAGACTGTTCACAACCTGTGAAGTTACCTAGGCATGAGGAACCCCAGGAGTTCCACGTTATCACACTGCTGCTGTGTTCAAGGGCTGCCCCACAATTGTACCACCATAATCCAGCCTTAATCTGTGACTCTCGAAAGCCACGGTTCCACCCTGAGTTGCAAATATTCTCCTTTATCCATCATGTCAGTGCTCTTGAAAGTTGCACACTGACCATTAAACTAGACGGGGGGGGGGGGCAAGAAGAACATCCTTTATATTTAACTGTTTAATCGTTTAATATTACCCATTTTTGCAAAACATGCTTGAATAGTATGGCCATAATGCCACTGAGGACAGGAGTGTTCCAGACAATGCAGCCTTGAAAACACAAAGTGGCTATGAAAATAAAAATTTAATTTGTGTTCTGCTACTGAGTTCTCAGAGCTTTGCCAAGAGAATAGCCTTTCCATCATTCAAGCTATTTGCTTTTTAGCACAATTAGAAGCAATAACGATGCAATAAAATGATCAAAACCCAACTAGACTTGAAAAGAGACCTGCTTGTTCTAAATTAGATAGCGGGGCCAGCCACCCCCCCAAGGGAAACATTCTCCCACCAGCCCATCCGACGGGCCCGGTCATCGCACCGAAGGATAGACACAAGCGGGCAATTTTGCAGCATCCCCGGAAGAGCAGGAGGAGGAGGCCGGGGCAGGCCCAGAGCGCTTCGGGTCCGCCATTCGAGAGGAACCGGGCAGCGCCGAAACCGCAGCCCCTGCTCGGCCGGCCCGCCGCCTACCTGGTGGACCACCACCGAGGTGACCTGCCCGCCGTCGGCCTCGTACTCCAGGCAGAAGAGCGCCGGGCCGCGGGGCCGCCGCTCGCGGCTGCTGGAGCTGCTCTCGCTGGACGCCTCAGACTCGCCACCTCCGCCGCCGCCCGGGGGGGGCCCGGCTGCACCTGCAAGGCAGAGAGGGCGCCAGGGGGGGCTCGGGGGCGCCCCCTCCCTCCCTCCCTCCCTCCCTCCGAGGGGCCGGGGAGGAGGGGGCCACTCACTCCTGCGGCCGGCGCGGTAGACCTGCTGGTCGGGCCTGCGGGGCCGGGCGGGCGCGGGGGTGAGCCTCCGCCGCAGCTGCTCCTTGGCCTGCTTCACCTGGCGGTCGTAGTCGTCCCTGCGCGGAAGGGAAGGGCCGGTGGGCGCAGCCCGGGGGCTTCGAGGGGGCCGCCGAGCCCCTTGCCCCGCGGCGGGAGCCCCTCCCCATCCTGCCCGGCCCCCTCCCCCCGAGCCCCACCTCGCGATCTGGTTGCGCCGGATGTGCCGCACGAAGCCGTGGCTCAGGTCCAGGCGGCCGCCCGGGGGGCCGCGCCCCGCGTCCATCGGCGCCGCTCCCGACCGCCCCTCCCCCCGCGCCTGCAGGGCCGCGCCCACGTGGGGAGGGGGCGGGACGGGCTCGGCCTGGGCTGCAACCCCGCCGCCCGCCAGCGGGGGCGCGCGGGGGCTCCCTCGTGACGGCATAGCGGCGCGCCGCGTGGTTCTCCGCACGCGCGTCCCGCCTCGGCGCCCGCGGAGATGGCGGCGCGCATCAAGCGGGAGCCTCGCAGCCCGCAGCCGTGGTCGGGCTTTCCGACGGGCGCGCCTCGCGGAACGGCCGGCTGGGGGCGGGTGAAGCGGGAGCCCGCCGAGGAGGTCGCGGTCAAGCAGGAGCCTGAGGAGGAGGAGGAGGGCGGCGACGCGGAGCCCCCAGGTGCGAGCACGGAGGGAGGCCGCCCCCCCCCCCCGGCTTCCCCCTCAGGCCGCGATTCTCCTGCCCGGGAGCGCCGCTGAGCTCGCGTGAGACCTCGCCCTCTGGCGGTGATCCGTCCTGGTGGTCCCGGCAAGGAGAAAGTTCCCCGCTGCTGAAGCAGCCCTGAACCCCGCGTGGTTTCCCCTCTTGGCGGCAGCTGCGATTCCCCTTCTGCTGGCAGGCAGGGCCGCCCCTGAGGGGGAGCATCTTCGTAGTTTCTACGGAGAAACGCTGGGCAAAAAACCCGTTTGCCTGTTCTTGGCCCGCTGCCCTTTGCAGTCTCCCTTCAGGGGGTCTGTGTGGAGGATCTGGGCCGACCTCTCCAGGAAAGGGTGCCACGGAAAGATCTTAGGCCCCTGGAAACTGGCAGTTCTAGCCCACCATGCATTCTAGTAGTTGGAACCGTACTGTATTCATTGCCGATGTATCTACAGGGTCTCTTATTTGTTTTATGGAATTTCTTAAAACTTATTCGAACTTTAATCTGCAGCTTATATTACTTTGCAAAGAGGAAAAGGCTAGTTTTTTTAAAAAAAGTATATCAATATGAGTTGTCCTGTTGGGGAGATGGCAACATAAACATTTAACAAATGAAAATAAACAATTCATTCCACTAAGGACATTAGATTCCAGCAACTTGCTATCTATCATATTTATTTCAATCTTCATACTAAAGGTTTCTGATTTATTTCCCTTTTTCAGTAAAGTATGGTCGATTTGATCCAGAAGATCGCCGGAGCAGGCATTGTCCATACCTGGACACCATAAACAAGTCAGTGTCAAAATGAAACTATGTGTGTGTGTGTGGGGGGGGAATCAGTGAATGAATAATTGTAGAAAAAGTGAGTCAATGCAGAGACTGAACAAACACATTAGGAGACTGTAGGACAGTCAGTTGATCCTTGGTGTCCCATCTGAAGCCTCCTTTGGCAAGAGGATCCCTTAGAAAACAATTCCTGGGAAGGACTGGGAAACACCTGATGCATGATCAAGAAAAACATTCCTGGGTTCTCTTCCCCCCCCCCAGTGGAATCCCTGGGATGTTCCCTTTTCTGTGACTGAGCCTCCTCAGAAAATGAGGGAAACACCTTTGGTTTGCTCCACCCCCACCGCCCAGTATTTGCAGTTAGTTGCCTGTGGTCTCCCCCCCCCCTTTCCCTTCCTCCTCGCTGGCCTGTTGCTGCAGAACTGGGGAGAGGCTCTCTTTGCTAGAGAGTGGATCCTAAGAAGGCTGTGGCAGCCTCCTGCATGGAACACCCGTTCTGAGATGTTCTGCCTTCATCCAGGAAGTCTCTGCTGCTGGGCTGATACCAGAGGCTGAGTGTTTTATTTCCACCTTCCAAGATTTCAGAAAATCAAATGCTTGTGTAAATGGAAACAACTTCTTCTCTTAAGAGTATGTTTCTAGTGAACAAAGGTCCCTTTCTTATCCAGAAACAAAGAATCTGAAGTAGGCAAGAGTCCTTGAAAGTGGCACAAATTTATAGTATACCAGGATTATATATGGAACCTAATACTTAATATTATTTCCAGGTTTTGTTTTAAGAAAAAAGGTCCTTGGGAGAAAAATCTTTAGTTTTTGTCTCACAACTTTAAATCTTTCCTCCTAAGTCTTTAGCAGAAAAACATTGTTTTACTGTATGAAATAGTGAGACAGGAAGGGTCATCCCTAATTTAAAAGTAGTGGACCCGCCACAATGAGGTGTTGGTAGGGGGGTTTTGTTCCTCTGCATCTACTATCGGGTCCCAGAGTTTCCCTATAATGCATTACTTGAATGATATTGATAGTTGTGTGTTGTTAAGAATTCATCTTATACCACTGCAGGAGCGTCCTGGATTTTGACTTTGAGAAGCTGTGTTCAATCTCACTCTCACATATCAATGTCTATGCTTGTTTGGTGTGTGGGAAATATTTCCAGGGTAAGCCTGATTCAGCCCCTTCTACCTCTTTTTTGATAGTTGACATAGGAATATGCATGTGATTCTTGATCAACCTAGTAGAATTTTTTTGTGCATAATACCTGGGAGGAGGGGTCTTGCCTCATCTTGATGAGCTTAATCTTGAGCAGGTATTACAGCCGATCTCTGACATGGTATGTGTGAATGAGAGATCAGCACTTGAAATGCAGCCTCTCCCATTCTTTTCCATAAGGGTTGACAGGTCATAATGTTGTGGGGCTATCAGCAGCAATTGATACCCCCTCCAACACGTGACTCCCTCCCTCCCTTCCTGCTTGTAGTGCACATAGTATGCAGTTCTTGCTCATGGGGCTGCTCTGCCTCCTGTCTTCCCCACAGGCCGTGGCTTGAAGTCCCATGCTTACATTCACAGTGTCCAGTTCAGTCATCACGTGTTCCTCAACCTTCACACCTTGAAGTTTTATTGCCTGCCGGACAACTATGAGATCATTGACTCTTCTCTTGAGGACATCACTGTAGGTGGCTTTTTGGTGGAGGGGAGAGGGGAGAGGTGGGACGCCCAGCTCAGCCCAACTCATAATACTTAAAATGTTCCCTCTCAGACTTTCTCCCCACCATCTGTTGCTATGGAAATGCAGCAGAGGGGAGGTTTTTAATCACCCTCCAAATCTAGTGTTTATGTCCAGGATTGTAATGATGTATTTCTACGTTATAAGACGTAAACAAGTTGGTTATACCCATCCTTTCAGCTTTCTTTCTCTTTCTTTCTTTCTTTCTTTCTTTCTTTCTTTCTTTCTTTCTTTCTTTCTTTCTTTCTTTCTTTCTTTCTTTCTTTCTTTCTTTCTTTCTTCAGTTGAACCTGCAAATGTCTTTTTCCTGTCCAAATTCATTCGCAGAGAAAGCAATAGTCCTCCAGTTACAACCATTTGTTCAGCGACTCGTTGAAGTTATGAATGGCACTGAACAAAGTGCCTCCCCATAGCCTTTGCCCACACCCACTGCAGGTTCCTCCCTTCGCTTGCTTGCAACCATGGATGCCCCCTGGGCCTTCCTGCTCTTGTCCCCATTTGCCCACCCACCCCTTTCTCCAGCCTCCCTGGGCTCTTGTGCACACCTTCACGTGCTGCAGCACCCGCAGACTTGCATGTGGGTTGTGCGGGGCCTTCCCTGCCCGCCTGTCCTCACCCGAACTCCCCGCTCCCCTCTTTGGGTTAGGAGGACAATGTGGGCTGCCTGGCCCCAGTCCCAGTTGCCATCATAACCTGTAATAATGCTGCATTTATATGAATTATTAAGCTTAATTTATATCTTGATTGACCCTCTAAAAGCTTGAAGCTGAGAGCTTCTTGCTGGACCAAACTGACTGGTCTCTCGGGATGGCCTGGCTAAAGTTCCCAGCGGAACGTCTCCTCTCTTGCTTATTCTCTCCCGTTTTCCAGTATGTACTGAAGCCAACCTTCGCCAAGCAGCACATCACCAGTTTGGACAAGCAGGCTAAACTCTCACGCGCCTATGATGGCACCACATACCTGCCAGGCATCGTGGGATTGAATAATATCAAAGCCAACGACTACGCCAATGCAGTTCTCCAGGTACTGTGCCATCTGTGAAATGGAGAAGAGTAGAGAAATCCACTGCAGCTTCCCCTAACCTTCACTAATACAATACAGTACAGCGCAATACAATGCAATACAGTAACAGGTAGACCTTGTTTAGCAACTGCCTCATTTAATGACCATTCACAGTTAAGGCAGTGATGAAAAAGCAACTTTATGACCATTCCTTATATTTATGACCTTGACAGGTCTGGAAAACAAAGGAAAGCTGAAGGACGGTCATAAACACAGTTGTGGCTTCACTTAGTAATCACTTTGCTTAACAGAATAACAGAGTTGCAAGGGACTTTGGAGATCTTCTAGTCCAACCCCTACTCAAGCAGGAGACCCTATACCATTTCAGACAAATGGCTGTCCAGTCTCTTCTTAAAAACATCCAGTGATGGAGCACCCACAATTTCTGGAGGCAAGCAATTCCACTGATTAATTTTTCTGTCAGACAGGTTCTCCTTATTTCCAGGTTGCTTCTCTCCTTGATTAGTTTCCATCTGTTGCTTCTTATGCTGCCTTCAGCTGCTTTGGAGAATAAGTTGACCTCCACTTCTTTGTGGCAGCCCCTCAAATATTCATGTAGTCCTTCTTTTCACTAGACTAGACATACCCAATTCCTGCAACTGTTTTTCATAACAATCTTTGTTGCTCTTCTCTGCACTCTTTCCAGAGTCTCAACATCTTTTTTATATCATGGTGACCAAAACTGGATGCAGTATTGCAAGTGTGGCCTTACCAAGGGTAACAACCAAATTGCTGGTCCCAGTTGCGGTTGCTAAATATCCACAGATATTTATTCTTACAATGAAAGACAGAAATAGTGATATCCTATACAAAAACTGCTTTGATGTTCAGGAATTGCATTGCTTTAATTTTGGTTTCTAACCTGAGAGCAACCAGTAGATATTTGGAGAGGGAGAAGCTGAACATTTAAGTAAGTAAGTTTGTGTTTTGCCACTGACTGTATTTATTTATTTGTTCAATTTATTTGCTGCACATCTCTCCATGGGGCTACTCTGGACGGCTTGTGAGAATAAAAAGGAAGACAGTGAAAGAAGTGTAAAGAGAACAAAAATAAAAATAATAGAACTATAAAATAAACAGTGAAAAAGGAACACAATGCGTGCGCGCGCGCACACACACACACACACACACACACACACTGAGTGTGCAGGCCAAGCAGCAGAGCCAGGTTTTCAGGCTTCCTTGTTTCTTTGCGGATGTCATGTAGGCGTTGTCAAATGTCCCGCCCCTGCGGAATTACTTCCTGGAGGAAGAGAATTACAGGCACATCAGGCGTCCTCCGGGGGACATCATGTTCCTGCTCGTTCAGAGGTTTGGAGAGCTGATGAGGAAGCTGTGGAATCCACGGAACTTCAAAGCTCATGTCTCCCCCCATGAGATGCTGCAGGCCGTGGTCCTGTGCAGTAAGAAGACCTTCCAGATCACCAAGCAAGGTAAGAGGCCGGAGGAATTCATGATGGCTGTTCGGTGGAATCTTGGATCTGGCCATCTGGTCATAGTGAGCACATAACCGCTAGGCATCCAAATCGAGAATGTTCACCATTTGGATCCCTAGATATATGAAGGGCAGCAAAGGGCTACTGAGGCTGTTAGTAAGGGGGGGGGGACAACACTTCTCCATGCATGATCCTTTCTTGGGAAATTTTAAACCTGGAATGATCCACTTCAGGAGGAGGAGATCCTGCTTTAATCACGGAGCCCAGTGTGAGATAATCAGACGAGCCCTTCCTTTCATTGCCTCCACCTTCTCTCTCTTTGTAGGTGATGGAGTTGACTTTCTTTCCTGGTTCCTGAATGCCTTGCACTCTGCTCTCGGGGGGACAAAGAAGAAGAAAAAGAGTAAGTGAAAGGTGTCGATGCCTCTTGTAAGTTGTGGAACCCTTTGTAAGACTACGTAAAGCGCCACGTTTTTGAATCAATTCAGGGCTCTGATCAATTCTTCTCTCTTATCCACTTGAGACCACCTGACATTACTTAACCTCTTCTTTTACAATGGCTGCAGACGGGCAGTTGCTGCAGATGCCTGCCAGGAGGACAGGCAGACCAGAAGCAATGCAAGCCTCAGCTGCAGGTGCTCCTGTCTGTTCACCTTCATTTTTTTTCTTTTGGGAGCTCCATCAATAAAAACCCTCTTTATTTTTCTCTTCTTGTCTCTTTCTTACAGCTTCACATTAGTGAACTACAAATTCTTCATATAGGAAGAAAAACGTTTGGGATTCCTGTTCACTTGCTCCCTGGAACAGGCTGCCTTATATGCCTTTTTAGGGCCTTGGCTTTCTCAGCAGGAAGTAGTCCCCCCCCCGCCCCCAGTCAGTCAGGCACTCTTTGGAGTCAGCAACTGTTCAAGATGCATTTCACAATTCAGCACACAGCTTTTCAGTCATTCTTCTCTGTTCCTCCTGTTGAGCTCCCCCAGGCAAACTTTCTCTGCCCATTTAATTGAGAAGGGCACATGAACTAAGTTACCCCATTGCATTGATCAGGTTAATTACATTGATTAGTTGAAAAAGTTATCTAAAACTGACATTATTGATATGAGAAAAATGTAACAAAGATGTTGATACTCAGTTGTATATTTATTAATAACAATAAGAATTGTATTTGCCTAGTGTGGGAAAACGGGGACTGCTGGAAGAAGAGAGGAAACTTTTGATGGTGTAATATTGGATCTAGACTGAAGAAGTTAATATATGCCCTTCAGTTACTAATGGACCCAGACAATACGTTGTCTATTAAGTATTTAACTCTAAAACTAGAAAATTAATAAAATATTTATAAAAAAAATTATATTCATTTGTAATTTGAAAAGTAAGTCTCTGGCCCTTTGAATCTTTTCCTACCCTGGACAGGATTATTGTAAGAATTGCCTCTCCCTAACTCACCCTGCCTGACCTCGTCTAGGATCTGCCTGGTGGACCCGGGGCAAAGCCTTCTTTGGGGAGGTTTTGGCAACTGGGAAATACAACCTATTTCTCTCTGTTTTTTCACGTAGACTGTTGCAAATACATTTGCGCTTTTTACAACTATTCTGTAATCAGCGTAGAAAACTTTGGAAACCTGATTGAAATCATGGAATATAGGACTGTGAATAAATTGTATTCTCTTTTGTTCTCTTGTTTGCAGCCATTGTAACCGATGTCTTCCAAGGCTCCATGCGGATATTCACCAAGAAATTGCCACACCCTGATCTGGTGAGTTGAGCGAACACGGGGAGAACATCTGAAGTGAAAAAGATGAACGCTTACCTTTGCTAGGGTAGTTAAATGAGAACCTCAGCTATCCACAGGCATTTTGGAAGCTGAATCCAGTGCTTGGGCACCTGACCACTAAGAGGCCCTTTGGCTGGTCCAGCCACCCCACCCCACTTCAAGTCTCTGGGGTGGGGCCTGATGCCCTCCTCGTTTGCATGCCTGCTCAGCTCACGGTGTTGCTCTGCTTCAGCCTGCCGAAGAAAAGGAACAGCTGCTCCGGAACGAAGAGTATCAAGAAAAAATGGTGGAGTCCACTTTCATGTACTTGACCCTGGATCTCCCCACTGCTCCCCTCTACAAGGATGAGAAGGAGCAGCTCATAATCCCACAAGTTCCACTCTTCAACATACTGGCCAAGTTTAATGGAATAATGGAAAAGGTAACTCCTCTACTTTGCCATCTGTTGGATGAGTTACAGGCTCCCAGAGCCCCAACTGGGACAGAGCGCCTCCAGGATCTGCCTTTTTGGGCAGGCAGCCCCAGTTGGCTTAGTTCCACAAGCACAGGCCTTCCCTGGAGCGGACGTCGCCAGTTTCCTTGGGTGGGTGGGAAGAGCCTCGTCTGCAGGGAGCAGGTCTTTTCCACGCAAGCAGGGGGACCAAGGGTTTTTTATCCAAAGGGCTTAAGTCTGCTGGAGAGTTAGTAACTGTAGCTTATTGTTGGCAGCCAGCCCCCAATGCTTGCTGGGCATACATAAACTAAGGAAAATAATTCCAGAGAAAGGGTGTCTAAGATTGTGCTTTAACCAAAGATGTTTTGGCTTCTCTGAGAAAGTGTAAAAAAAAAAATGTTCCCCCTTTAGGAATACAAGACATACAAAGAAAACTTCCTGAAGCGCTTCCAGCTCACCAAACTGCCCCCTTACCTTATTTTCTGTATCAAGAGGTTCACCAAGAACAACTTCTTTGTGGAAAAGAATCCCACCATTGTCAACTTTCCCATCACGTATGTATGACCTTCTCCAGAAGAAACAGCTCTGCCAAAGGCCGATGTTGGGGTTTGAAAGGCCGGGGGGGGGGCACGAGACTCTGAGCCACACAGATGAGTCCTTAGAGCAGCCATCAGCATCCCAGGTCGGTCCGATGGCCGAGAGGCAGGACAAGCGCCAGCAAGGTCTAGGTGCTTCCTAGGGACTTTGCAGGGCCCTTTGAAAAGGAGGCCAGTGAGCAGTGCTGCTTTAGCCCAGCCTGCCTCTAGGAATTTCAGAGAGGAAATGGAATTTATTTCTGGGCCTTAGTCCTGCATTTTGTTGTAGCTATGAGAAATCACAGACACCAAAGAGCTTTTGTGAGCCATGATGGAAAGCTCAGTGGCAGGGAGATTCATGTTGGCTTAGTGTCAGCATGTCAGAAGCGTTTTGCCCCCTGAAGCCAATTCCACTTCCCTGGAGAGCTGTAAGAGGAGAGAATCCCTCTGAGCCTTTGCAGGGGGCGAGGGATCTGGCCCACAGAGCCTCGAGGGTGGCTTTTCTGCTGCAGGAACGTAGATCTCCGGGAATACCTCTCTGAGGAAGTGCAGGCAGTGCACAAGAACACCATCTACGATCTCATCGCAAACATTGTGCATGATGGCAAACCTACTGAAGGAGCCTACCGGATTCATGTGTTGCATCATGTGAGTTTTTGGCTTCCCTGCCAGCCTTCAGCCCTGGGCGCTCCGGGGCCTCCCTCTTGTTCTTGAGGCCAGGCTTCGGATGGTGACCTCTGACTTGGGTGGGACTCTTGCAGGGCACAGGCAAGTGGTATGAGCTGCAGGACTTGCAGGTGACCGATATCCTTCCCCAGATGATCACGCTGTCTGAGGCTTACATCCAGGTGAGTGCTTGGTGTTTCTTCTGCTGCCCACCGAAAGCCACGGGACTAGGAGGGAGCATTCTTCTTAATACGAGTTTACTTTGTTCGGTAGATCTGGAAAAGGAGAGATAGCCAAGAAGAGAGCCACCAACAAGGAACGTGAACTGGGTGTGGAACAGGCCCGGCTAGAGGCTGGAACATTGTTGCAAAGACCGGTTGTCTGGGTCGCTTGGGGGAGCCTCTCCCGGTCTTCAGTTTTCTTTCTGCATCGGGGACGTCCTTGCCGGCACTTTGGTCCTGATGCAGCACCAGCCTGTGGCTCGTCTCCACTTCTCTGGGCACCAGACTCACAAGCCTGTTTCATCCTTCGTTTGGAGAAGACCTTGCAGAGAGACGGGCACTTCTGCTCCTCTCTGTGCATTAAATATGCATGCTTGTTTTCCCCCCGAACTCTGCTGTTTTCCGGCTCTCCTTCGCTCCCTCCTCCCAGGGAACATGTGATTCAGACAAGGCATCCCATGCACAACGGGTTTGTGTTAGACACTTTCACATTGTTTAGATGATGCTTTTGGTTATAAGGGAACAAGCACTCAATGGGAATAGATTCTTTGAAGATACGCGGACACGAAAAAAATCTAAACAGCAACATAATGGATTAGTTAACAATCTAAAAAGAACTCAGTGTGTTCTTAATGACATTCACACACACCTCTCTCTCTCTCTCTCTCTCTCACACACACACACACACACACACACGGAGGGAGGGATTTTGAGAGAGAGATCAGGCATTGACAAGGGAAAATGAGAATCCTCAGATGGAGATGCGCAGGATGGATGATCTTTCAATGTCCCGGCTGCATTGCTGTCTGAGTGGCATCTGCTGTCGTCTCACAGCCAGGAGTAAGCTAAATTGCTTTGAAGACCTTGGCTTTCTGCCCAGAAATTCTGGAATATTACATAAACCTCTGGATCTGTCATCTGGCAGCAGTTCTGATGAAATCCCTCTTCCCCACCATCATGCCTATACTTTACAACAACTGGTTTTCACACACAAAATGTCAACAAAATCAGAAAAGAGATTCAGAAATCCTGCTGAGACTAAGAAGACCCTGATGCTCACTGGACGTCACCGGGCAGCCCTCTTCTCTGCCAGCCTATCTCTTCGCCAGGGGAAGGAGGCCTCCAATTGTAAAATGTGGCCCTCCTTGGCCTACCAGAAAAATAATACACACCAACTGGAAGACCCCCACTGGTTGCTTGTTATTCCGTGGGGCACAATTTAAGGGGATAGTGTTAAATGTTTCCTCTTCTGAACAATTATCGGAAGGGCTGTAACTTGAAGATGCCTGAACAGTGAGGTCAGTGGGGAACCATAGAAAGAGGCCGGCATTTTCTAAAGTTGATTTGACCAGTTCTTGGGGGAAGGAGATGGCTATAAATCAAATGATGTTTAATCATTCTCCTGCTTTCTAAGGAAGGGTGGGAGATGAGCAGATGCACAGTTTAGCCTTACATTGGGGCACCTTCGAGAGAAATTCATATTTTTATTACTAATAAATGTCTCTTGATTAGTTTCCAAGGTTCAGTAATCCCTTTTTCTTGACAATCTGATCAATGAGACCTTGGCTGTGTGCTTGGATGTTCAGGACTTGACAGTACTGAAGCACGAAGGCAGTACTTGTCTTGCAGTAGCTGTGCAATCCTAGAAAATGACACAGCTCCTTTAATGAGCCAGACGGTGCTTGGCTCATATTACTGCATGTTCCAAATTGATTCCAAGCCACTACATGGCCATACCATTTATTTCCCTCCCAAAATATTTCTAATAGCTTGGTCCTTAGGGTAAAAAAAAAAGCCTCAAGAATTCTCGTGTGATAAAAGGCATGGACGGTCTTCAATCCCAGGATTTGTCTTGTACTGGATCATTTATCTATAAATGCAAACTTAGCTTGTACAAGGAAAACACTTTGTCAGTGTGCTCTGGAGGTTAATTTTAATAGTTGAGAATATTTTCTTCATCAGCAATCAAAGGTGAGAGAAGCAGAGCTGTCCTGCCTTAAGCAGGGCCCTCCTTGCTCGTTTACAACCATGCGTGATCCTGGCAATGCTGTATAGCCTAGAGGAGGATGGGAGAGTGAGAAATTAGATCCTGGCCCCAAACGAGGGATCCCCCTCCTTGTGAGCCCCTGCAACATTCTGCCGTGAGCGGAGGAGGAGGGTCGTAGCTCCTAAGCTAATTAGAAATCCATCCTTTGGGTTCACACTGGTTCCCAATTGTGTCCTCATTGAATTGCTGGGACTAAAACAGCCCCGCAGATCTGCTGGCTGTGCAGACTGGCCGGCTTTGAGGGACGCCTGAGGAGGAAGGCCCAGTCCCCACCTTGCATTGCTTGGCTGCACTCAGGCTGGAGCACCAGTAAGTGGGTCCCTGGGCACAGGGAGTGGCGCTCGGCAAAAGCTGCTCGGCTCCGCAGGCGCCCAGTTCCTGTGGAGGGACAAGAGGAAACAGGCCCCGTTTGGGTAACTGGATAGGAGGACTGTCTCTTCTTCCTTCGTCACAAGAGGAAGGGGAAACGGTCTGACTTCAGTGGCCAACCGTTCTCGTGAAATCCAGGTGTCCACATTACCTTTTCTTAAACTAACCCATTTGCAGGCAGCTCTCTGCAAGTGGGTCAATTCCACTTCATTAATCTGGAGAAGCAGAAAAGAGCAGCAGCGCTCAGATTAAATGCCTGTTTCTTTTAAAACCTGGAAAAATGGGTCCCCATAATAGCAATGCTTGCAAGATCCCCTTTAACTGGAACAGACGGGCCTTTATCCCTTTTCACGCTTGGCTTCTTTTTCCTCATGTTGAATCACAAAGAGGTCTTTCCAAAGATATCCTTTGATTCTGTCCTTTTCCTCTGCCTTTGCTCCCCCAGTCTAGAATATGTGGCTTGGATTGTAAACACCTGCGACTTCCCGGAGCGCATGGCCTGTGTTTTGGCTCCAGTTGCTCCACCTCTTAGGATTAGCCAGAATGGCACACATCAGTTGGCTGTGCTTGAAAAGTTTCCAACCTCTTCCTACCTGGCAGGTAGCTTGGGAGTCCCAGGGCTTCATTAACAGTGCAGACAGCTTTGGCTGGTGCTGATGGATGAAGTGGTTGCACTGCAAAAGAAGAGTTGGGGTGGAGAGAAACACATTTTCTGGGCCCCTGAAATGCATATCCCCAAACCCACAACCTGAGCAGGGGGAGCGCAGGCGATAAGGACCAAGGCCGAAGAGTGGACCTCTCTGGATGGTCTGGATATTTTCCTGAATTTTTAAGAACTTTTCCAGAACATGGGAAGGTCTGCCATTGCTGAAGGTATTGAGGCTCTGTGAAGGAAATACCTCTGAAACGACGCAACGGGCCATGGATTGTCTCGCTAGACATTAAGAGGACTGGTTTGGATTAAAATAAACACTGGATACTTACTTGTCTGGATGGGCAGGAGCTGGAGCAAATAAAGGAGCTCACCCTGTCACAGGGCACTCAAACCCCCTATGTTTGCATTTGTATTAAATTTGTTAACTATTTAGGAATTTTTTTCCTATGTCACATTTCTCAATTAACTACATTAAATGTGAATAAGATACACAAAGAGATTTCCTTGCAGACTGATAGATTTAAACCTTATCCTGGTGAAGGTAGTACCCATATGATATTTTGCTGAAATTTTTCCATTTTGAAAATGTTTTCAAAAACAGTATATTGTTGCAGTCCTGAAAATATTTTTGAAAAAGACGCAGCTAACATTAAAAATGGAGGTTCTGGTTTTTATGCAGACCTAGTGACTAACACCAGAGTATTAGTGATTTGGGGACACCCTGCCTTAGTATAAACTAAGTCCCATGTGCCATCAGTATCCCATCACGTCTGCCGGTGTCATAACTACAAGAAGTAGTATTCTGCTCTCCCAGGAAAGCTGGAATGCTTGGAGCACAGCCGCATCCCTGCCCCGGGAGCCTCACCTGAGGCCAGAAGGAAAAGGAACGGCTGCAGGCCGTGGACAAGGCTGCCTCCACTGCTCTCCTGGTGCGATTTGCTCTTAGAGATGCCTTCACTTGGTCACTGACCATGAGACACATCTGACATCCCTCGGCTGTAGCCGGCAACAGGCTCTCTGCGGAGGAGAAGCACAAAGCGCTGCTGAAATTAGATGGGGGCAGGGGGCACCCCAAGAAACTCTTTTCAGCCTCTGCTTTCCCTGGAGAGGCATCGACTGCAGCAGCAAGTCCCCTGTTCTCCAAACTGTCTCCTGCGTGAGAGTTTTTCCGCAGGCGTTGCAGGCGAGCAGTATTTCTTCTCTGAAATACTCAGAGAAGCTGCTGTCTTCCAAAAACAGATTTCATGGGAACAGACCCCAAACAATGTCAGGATGATCTAGCCATGGCCTCCTAGTGTGTCTTCATTTTGATATTGAGGACTGGCTTTGCTGGAGACCAGTGAATCTTTCTCGTGCCATTAAAATATTGACAGGTGTCTCCCTTTTGAACAACAGCCTTTCCTTGCTGGAGACACAGCGTGTGTCCCCCTCTCCTCCCACCCTGTCTTTGGCCACAGCCTCTTCTGCACTGGAGTTGGCCTATTCTATTCCCCACGTGCCCGTTGCATGTTGGTCTTCTGGTGTGTCATTATGACCTGGCCTGGGAAAAAGAGAAAAAGGAAGAGCCTCATAGGCACTTTTGTACCTGGACCACAGTTTTCCTCTGAGGCACACATGAACATCATTCCACAGATCAGGCGTGGGCCCAGCTTGCTCACAATTGTGTCCACAATGATCACCGTATATTTCTCCATCAGACACTGGCACATGCCAGCCACAGCCCCTGGCAGAATGTAGCAGAGTTTGGACATGGCTTTGCCTATAGCGGCCTGGGGAAAGATGGATACGTGAGCAGGGGGGTCAACAATCTCTCCCATCTCTCATTCAAGAAATCTGGTTGGGCTTAAATGAAAGCTTCTAAACTCTGTGAGAAAGAGATTTTGGAGATTAGTATCTTCCTCACAGTGTTTGTTCATGGAACGAACAAAGTTGTATTCATAAAAGGTATGAATTACTTCCTGAGCTGCATAAATAGAATCCCAAAACAGAGAATTTCTGCCTGGCTTCTCCTGTGGCTGAGAGACTGGTTTTCCTTCCCTTGAGGGGACGTGTAGCTCTGCTACCTGAGACCGCTCTCCCCCTCCCCCCACCTCTTCCCCAGCCCTCTTTAGTCTAGCCTGATGGCTAAGGCAAGAGACTCTGAGTTCAAGTCCCACCTTAGCCAAGAAAGTCAGCTGGATGATCTCGAGCCAGTCACTCCCTCTCAGCCCAGCCCACCTCAGCAGGGTTGTTGTTGTGGGGAAAGTAGGAGGAGGGAGAAGGATTAGATGTAAAAATAATAAAGGCAGGATGTAAACAAACAAATAAAACGACTTCAGCTCTTGACCACTGCAAGCAACTCACGGTGAGTTGTGCAAAGTACACTTCCTGTGATCTGCTCTGAATTGTCTTTGCATTAGATCCCCCCACTTCCAACCGACTCAAGCTCAGCTGGTAAGAGGCAACAAGGCAGGATAAGAGAGCTGGAAGGGATCTTGCGGGTCATCTACTCCAACCCCCTGCTCAGGCAGGAGGCCTTAGAGACCATTCCGGACAAATGGCCGTCCAGTCTCTTCCTGAAAACCTCCCATTTCAGAGCAGGACAGTTGCTTTAGTTATACAGTGTCAGAGATGTACAGGGTCAGGAGAAGCCTTGGTGGCTCTCTAGACCAAAAAGCAGATTCTACAAAGATGACCGCTTCCCTTATCAAGGGACCACACAGCCCCCGTTTGACATGCCCTTACAAAGAAGCCACCGGATCCATTCATGTCCGTAAAGACAGCGTTTATGAACCCACCGCTTCAATTAGTCCCTTTCCAGGCACGCTCTCCCTGCCGCTCACAGGCTCTGCTAGCATAAATACACACCCACCACCCCTTACGTGCTGCACGCTCCATCTTGCTCCCCTGGGACTGAATTCTGCAGCCGATTGCTCAAGGAGACAGACTTCGTGATGCCGTACCTTGGGGATGACAGACTCAGCCTTGCCAATAAACGTCCTGCACAACCAGCAGAGAGGCAGGGGGATGGGCAGCAGTTCTTGGGGGGACTCCTAGCAAAAGAAGAGCCTGTCACTCCCACGCCACATGGAGCCTTTGGCCGAGAGGTTTCGTGTGGGACCTTGATGGCTGCTCAACCATTTTCTAGCAACAGCAGCAGCAGCAAAACCCGTCCCTCCCCAGTTCCTCACCACATGGACCTCATGGTGGAACACAGGTCCTCTCCTCCTGCCTGCTCTTTCTTCACTCACCTGCCTGGGGTGATCCACTGTGCCTCTCAGTCTTTGTAAAGGGTTTAAAAGACAACGTTTGGAGTTTGGAAGGCAAAGGTGCTTCAGTAGAAGGGCATCTTGCTCTTCCATTTTTCCAGGCCTCCTCTCCCCCTCCCCTACATTGCTGAGAAAGGAGGGGCCCCACAAACCCTTACTGTGGAGCTGTGGGCACTTTACCTGAGTGTGGCCACTGGGCAGGATGGGCATCTGGCCTGGCAGTAGTAGAAGGAGCTGCTCTAGCCCTGTGAGCAGCTGCATCAACCCATCTTTGCTTCCCAGAAGGTCAGCTGGACAGGCTCCCAACTGAGCACAAATGATGCTGGGGTCCTGATGGGGAGAAAGGGCATGACCTATGTAATGGCCAGCAGAGGCAGCTGGGTGGTTGGACCCTGAGTGGGAACCTAGAGAAGGGCTCTTGCATAAGCTCCACCGGAATCAGGAGTGGTGCAAAAGTCTTATGCAGAAAGCCTTCCCAGGACAGCTCAAATGGCTGTCGGATGCTGCCCAGCCATTCCGGGAACTCCCAACCTAATCCGTACATATCTTGAGATAAGCCATCCATCCTCCCCAGCCCAGAGACTGTTTTCCCTGTGAGATTGGAAGAAGAGGTTGTGATCATGACATCTGCCCATTCACAGGAAGTAACTACTTACAAACTGTTCTTCCAGGCTGGCAATTAAACGGGCAAAGAAGTCCTTCACCAAGGCCTGGCACTGTGGGATAAGTGTTTGAAGTGGCAAATTGGTACATTCATGCTCTAAATACTTCTGGAGAGTTTCCTGTTGAGAGATGATTATATGAAGAGGATTGAGCAAGATGGGTTGGGACAAGAGTGAGACGCCGGCCTCCAACTTCAGCTGGGAGCTACTCAGACCACTTGGCTCTGCCCACAGCTTCAAAGTTAGAAAAACTTTTATGCAATGGAATAGCAGAATAACAACAGAGCTGGAAGGGAAGTCTTCTACTCCAATCTCCTGCTCAAGCAGGAGACTCTATACTATTCTAGACAAAGGGCTATTCAACACCCATAACCTCTGGAGTCTGTGACAAGTCGCCACGGCCAACTCATTGCCAGACAACTCGCTTCAGGACAACTCACTATGGGACAAGAGTTACACTAATATCAAAGAAATAGTGGAACAGAATCATTAAAGAAAGAATGCAAAAGGAGGGACAGAATGAAATGTGAATGGCAATTTTTAAAAAATAATTAAATAGAATTATTAAATTGTCCCACAGTAAGTTGTTTCGCAGTGGGTTGACTGTGGCAAGTTATCCCATTCTGTAACTTCTGGAGACAAGAAGAACAAATAAACTGCACATCTGAGTCTGGAAAAACGTAAGAAGAATAGCAGGCCCTCAAACAATGTTGTTAGATTCTACCCAGAGAGCTGGTAAATGAATGAACTGCTTTGTCACCTTAAAGGTTGATTCCTTGGCCATGCGCACAAGGATGGAGATAAGCTGTTTGCAGTCTGCACACATGTCGTCCTGGAAGAAAAGAGAATTCACCCTCTGAGAACCGCTTCCACAAAGCCTTCACTCACCCATCCCGAAGTATTTCCTCTTCTCTGGGCTTCAGCATGTTGACTTCTGAGCCCTGGCAGTCCAGGAGTCCACAGATACCTTTATTCATTTGAGGTAGTCCAGCTAAGAACCACCAACCATACAGTTACTGTAAGATTCCATTAACAGAATCTTTCAAGACCGAGAGTATCTCTTTTTAGTCTCTGGAAAACTAGGGAGGATCCCTTCAGAATGGGTCTGTGCCTCCCCATGGTCATTCCTACATATTGATGGCAACAGCAGAAGGAGGGAGGAGCTCTTTGATTAATGTTTTCAGTAACTAGACGTTTCTTAGATTAATGTTACTTGAATGAGAGATGGGAGAGATTGTTGACCCCCCTGCTCACGTATCCATCTTTCCCCAGGCCGCTATAGGCAAAGCCATGTCCAAACTCTACTACATTCTGCCAGGGGCTGTGGCTGGCATGTGCCAGTGTCTGATGGAGAAATATACAGTGATCATTGTGGACACAATTGTGAGCAAGCTGGGCCCACGCCTGATCTGTGGAATGATGCTTTTGAATTAACAAACAAGCTCACCACGAGGAATGTAAAGTCCGATTAAGAACTGGTTCGAATTGCCAAGAGCAAGGAATCTCTTTTACTGTATATAGACTTGAACTGTAGTAACTTGCACATTAATTATAATGTGGGAAATACGCTTCCTGAATATGAGGACGAGCCTTAACAAGATGACACTAAGAATATTAAGGGATACTATGAAATGTCACATGCTACCTACTGAAGCTATTGACCATTCATGCTACATCACAGATGGGTCAAATGATGTTATGCAATGAAAGAACTCATTACAAACCCAACCTGTTTAAACTGAATATAAAGCGATTCTCCCTCTTTTTAAGACTGCCCTTTTTCCTCTTTTGGGTGAAGTGACTCTCCTTACTTGTTTACATAACAAACATGTTTTGTCTGCATTTTTGGCTCAGGTGCCGTTTGGGCAAAGCAGATCTGGGCTAGCAGATCGGCTGATGTTTATGGCTAACAGTAACATCACAATACCTACATTGCTGATTCTGTTCCAGACACTCTCATTGCTGGCTTGATTCCACCCATTCTGGACACAGTGATCCAAAGCACCACACTTGATAGCTGTCATTAAGTTGCTGCACCAGTATGCTGCCCCCTTGGCACATTCATTCTGGACCTTGCTGGTTAGGACTGGAAAGGGAAGGCCAGGTTGTTACTGATTGTATCCAGTGAGGACAGAAAAAAACAGAATGCATTAAAAACCATTTTAGCCTGCCCTTCTGTTCAGGGCAAATATATATTCTTTACATAGCACTTCTCTAAAATAAGTTAAGTACGAAGATGTTGATTGGCTCAAGGTTGTCCAGTTCATTTCATAGGAGACTAAGCTGTTACACTTTGAGTCATTTCCCACCAATGATGTATAACATTTGTTCATGTCGCTCTGCTGTGGCTTGCCAAAATAGCACTGCAGGTGGTCCTCAACATACGGCCAAAATTGGCACCAGACTTTCCATTGCTAAGCATTACAGTCATAAAACATGACACCACGTGACCACATTGGTTAGCCAAGGCAATTCCAGCAGCCCCAGTTGCCACTGTGACTTCAGGCAGGGAGGCCATTAAGTGGGAAGCGAAGGGAGTCCCAGGTAAGGAGTGCAGGGATGCTGCAGAAGGGAGAGATCCTGAGAGTCCCTGCGCAGGCTGCGTGAATTGGTGAAGGTGTTGCATGTTTGTGTTCAGTTTGAAAGGGTTCATCATAACCACCAAATGTTTTTAAGGAAGCAAAGCTTTTGAAAAAAATTGTCGTATGTAATGTTCCCACTCAAGTTGTTTGCTCAGGTTAGCTCAATATTTAAAATACAAATCAACTGGCAGGCCAAAAACACCAAGTTGACTTACGGTTATTTATTTGAAGTATATAAATGGAAATGCAGTGTGCTGTAGCTGCCAAAAAACCTAATTCTAGGCTGCATCAACAGAGGAACAGTATCAAGATCATGTGAAGTACCACTATATACTGCTTTGGTAAAAGCACACTTGGAGTACTGTGTCCAGTTCTGGTTACTATGATACAAAAAAGATGTTGAGACTCTAGAGGCAATGGTGGAAACTAATCAAGGAGAGAAGCAACCTAGAACTAAGGAGAAATTTCCTGACAGTGAGAACAATTAATCAATGGAACAACCTGCCTCCAGACATTGTGGGTACTCCGTTCCTGGAGGTTTTTAAAAAAAGATTGGACAGCCATTTGTCCAGATAGACTAGGCACACTAGAAGCATGCGAATTATTTTGAATGACACACACAAATTCTTCAGTGACTTTATAATCAGGATCCTCTCTCTGTCCTCTCTAAGAGATCCCTTCATGATGGCCATTGATCCTTTAGCTAGTCTGAAAGCAAAGGTTTAACAATCTTATCGCACATGCGTAAGTGAAATAGATCAAGAGCCTTTACAGGTATTTTGTCACTCGCGTATAATGGAGTAGTTTGCCATTCATTTTTTTCTTTGCAAATATAAAAGCAAGTAATAAAGACCTTGAGGCATGGAATCAAGGGTGAATTCTATTGACCTAGAGAACCTAATGGCTGCTGGGTAAAATGGTGAAGGCAAAACCTGGAGATGGAGAGGAGGCCGGAAGCAATGGGCCAAACTGCTATGGGCTCAGGGGCCCCTCTGCCTGTCTCCTGGCTGGCCTCTTGGGGTGTCTCAGAAGTCAGAAAACCATCCATTTGCTCTCCTGAATTAAATCTTCTACTGAGGGGTCACGGATTAGAAAATGTTGGGGGTAATATAAAACAAACGTCACTTGCCCCACTACCTCTCAATCTTTCATGAAGCCCAGCAGGATGTCCTGACTGATTGATTCTCCCCCCCCCCCCATTGCTTTGTAAGTAACTCAAGGCAGGGAACCGATCCCCCTTCCTCCTCCTCCTCCTCCTCCTCCTCCTCCTCCTCCTCGTTTTCCCCATCCCAACAGCCCCTTTGAGGTGGTCGGGTGGAGAGGGAGGGACGGCCCAAATGTCACCCGGGTGGCTTCTAAGGGCCGGGACTTCCTCAGGCCCAGGAGCCTTTTCCTCCATTTTGGGGTTTCTTACTAAGCAGCCCGCCCACGTGGTGGCAGGCCGGGGGGGGGGGCTATGGTGCTTCTCCTCACTCAATGCCCCACCACCCGCCTACCCCGTTACTTACCCAGGCCTCCAGAGAGCAGGCTGAGCAGGAGCAGGGGCCACATGGCGAACTGTCCGGCAGGCATGCCAGGGCTCAGACAGGGCCCTTTTTATTCTTCACTGAGCGGGCAAAGGCAGCCAATGGAGAGGCTGATGGAGAAGCATCGCCTGCTTGGCACTTCCCAATTCATTCCCAGCCCTGCACGACTCCCCCAGGAGGGTGGCTGCCAGGCCCTCAAGATTAGGCGTCTTCAGAGGACGTGGGTTTTGCAACTTGGGACGGGCGCTTCAGATGTGCCGTCCCCTGGCACTCTCTTTCAGCCTGTGCTTCAACAGCAACGGAGCACATTCACCCCAATATCTTCAGGAAGTCCTAAGGAACCTGATGGGGGGAACTGGCAGATGCTGGCCTGGCTCTCCCTCAGCCCGGGCATGTCCTGGAGCGTGTTGTGGTCTCTGGGTGTGTCACACACGAACCTGGTCACTTAGTGCACGCGCCATAACTCAGCTGGGACCCCTTGGTAGGAGACCCCCCCCTTGGCCTTTCCATAGAACTGAAAACATTTATTGAAAACTACCACTGTTCCTCTATTTACATGTAATCAATGTTATTTATTAGTGCAATTTTGTTAAAATAAATGTAATTTTAATACTGTATTCACTAAAATGTAGAAAAAAATATTTTTCTGAAATCCTGCTCCAGTTTCTTTTGTGCCAGTATAGTGTATTCAATGAAAGTATTAGTTTTGGGAAGAACAATATCCCAGGAGTTCCTTTTTTGGATTCGCTAGCTGGAAATCTGACATTTGCTAGGGGAGTGAGGGGCTCCCAAGGCCCCTCCCGACCAAGAGGAGGAACGGCTGGACCTCCGTTTTGTGGGTTGTCAACCTCGCAAAAGGTCCAGGCTGTCCGGTTGGGGGCTGAGGAGGATCTGCTCCCCTCTCAGGATGGCTTTTTGTGGCAGGATTAATTGCTTTTCAGTCAGGAGGGTGCGTTGGGCCTGGCCTCCCTCTTCATTAAATAGTGAGGCAACTCTTAAAATGGGTTAAGTCCCCTTGAAGTGGGCTGATGCAGCTGAGCAAACAACTTCTGAATAGACCAGCTCAAGGAGAGAGCGAGAGGGTCCTCCTTGAGAAAAGTGGAGGCACTAGAGGAAGAGAGGCCTTTCTCCTCTCCTCACATCTAACTCTTTTCTTTACCTTCCAGATTTTTCTTTTCCAAAATAGAGATAATTAAGCAGTTCATGTGAAGCAAAAAGAAAAGCACAGACTTTACGCATAGGGATACTCCAGACACACTCAACACAGGAGAAAATGCCAAGGGTGGGGAGAAACTGTGAGACAAAGGTTTAGTTTTTAAGCATTTAGTTACATCAATATACTTGCATTTAACTGAACAGATGGTCTTCGAGTTGTGATGGCAATTGGGACTGGGATTGTTGTTGTTAAGTGATACAATGAGTATGTTGCTTAGCAATGACAATCCCAGTGGCTCTCATAATCCCATGAATGTGGGTTGTTAAAGGGGAAATGATCCCAGCTAAGGAGTCTGAGGGTGCTCCGGGGGTGGTGGTGTTTGCCACAGGGAATCGGAGGCCCTGGGAGGTCGGGTGCAGCTGCACATTGAGTTGGGGGAGGCCGAGGCAGGGCTGGGGAGGCCCAGTATGGGCTACGCACAAGTGCAGGGAGGCCAAAAGTTGGGCGGCTCAGTGGGGCATGAATGCAGGAAGGCTAGCAGGATTTATCAGAGTGACTTGTCACCTTTCCTTCTGGTCCTCACTGATTTTGCTTGTGGGAAGCCGGCAGGGAAGGTCACAAATGGAGATCATGTGAATGCAGGTCACTGCACCCATCAGAAGTGCGAGCCGCACCCGAATCGCAATCACGTGACTGCAGGGGCATTGCAACAGCCAGGATCTGCCCTAAGTACCACTTGCTTAGAGCTGACATAAATTAGATTGCTGAACAAGTGATTGGTAACGAGGGTAACTGATTCATACTTGTCAAAAAGTTGCAAAAGGTGATCACATGACTAATCAAATTGTTGTTAAGTTGAGGACTATCTGTACTTTATCATTTTTTCCCTTTTTTTGGGTCATCAAGTTTTTGACACCTTGCTAAGCAACTGGTGGTATTTGAATATTGCCGTATCCTAAAAGTGGTACAATCGGTGAAAAGGTTGAAAAGCCCTGGTCTATGTCACCTTTTTCTAGCTTACCAAGGAGTAGGTTGTGGTCTACTTTATCAAATGCCTTTCTGAAATGTAAGCATACTATGTCCACAGTGTTTCACTGGTCTACTAATTTGGTCACTTTATCGAAGAATAAAATAAGATTGGTTTGGCATGATCTGTTTTTGAGAAACCCGTGCTGGCTACCTGTTATAACTTTGTTTGCTTCTAGTTGTTCGCAGATCTGTTTTTGATTATCTTTTCCAGAATCTTCGCAGGTATTGATGTTAGACTGATTGATCTGTAGTTTCCTGGGTCTGTTTTTTTCCCTTTTCCAATCCTCAGGTACTTCCCCGGTGCTCCAGGATTTTTGAAAGACGTGGTGCCATGGTTCTGAGGCAACATCTGCCAGCTTCTTCGGAATTCTGGGATGTAATCTGTGGGGTTCTCGTGATTCATACTCATCAAGGTCGAATAGCTGTTCCCTTACCATTTTCTTGCTTATATTAATTTTTGTTTCTAGACAAAAAAAAAATTGTTTCTAGACTGATGGTCTGTTACTTCCTTGCCATCTTCTCTCTTTAGTGGACCGACTGTATAATAAATAATGTGAACGTGATAAATAGGGACTTTCTCAGTAGCAGCCTCCACTCTTGGGCCCAGCTGGGCTTTCAGATTGCGCATTAAAGGGTCTCGGATGACAGAAACGGCCCCTCGGAGAGGAAGAAGCGGGCAGGAAACGCGCCGCTGACAGAAGCCCCCCCCCCGGCACCCCCCCTCCCGGCTCCCACTCGGCGCTCTCGCGAGACTCCCCGAAGTTGGACTTGGAAGCGCCGATCAAGCCAGAGTCGGGCACGTGATGGAGGAGAGGGGGGGGCAGGGGGACTCGCAGGAGAAACTCCGCCCAATCCGACAGCCGCCTAGAGCCAAACAACAGAAACCAGACCGAGGGCTGCTCGCGGCTCCGCCTCGATTGGCCGGCCGCGGCGGGGGCGGGGATAAAGGCGGCCAATGGCAGCGCGCGCGGGCGGTTGGAGCGGCGATGGTGGCCTGGGCGTTGAGCCGCGCCGTGCAGTGAGTCCCGGGCCGGGGGCGGCGGAGGTGCTGGCGGGGCTGGTCCCGGGCGGGGAAGGAGGAGCGGCGGCTCCCGGGAAAACCGGCTCGCCCGCCCGCCCTCCGCACCTCCGCCGGCCATGGTGCTGGGCGCCCTGAAGGCCGCGACGCTGCGCTGCGGGCGGCGGGCCTGGCTAGCTCTGTTGGCGGGCGCCTACCGAACCTGGCCGGTCTGCCTGACGCCGCCCTTCCGTTACAGGCTCCTGCTGGGGACGCTGTACCCGGCCTACGCCTCGTACAAGGCCGTGAGGAACAAGGACGTCCGGGAGTACGTGAGTGAGAGCCCGCGCGGGGGTGGCAGCCCCGGAGGAGCCCGCCGGGTCTCCGCTCCCCTTTTCCTCGGGGACCCGGGCGGGGGGGGGGAAGCGGTCCCTGCTGCCGGGGGCCAGCCCGACTCACCTCGTGGCTCCCCAGGTGCGGTGGATGATGTACTGGATCGTCTTCGCGCTCTTCATGGCCACGGAGACCGTCACGGACACCTTCTTTTCCTGGTGGGTCGCTTCTCGCAAGGCCGGACGAGGCGGAACAAGTCGAGGCTTTAGTTTAGCCGGACCCGGCTGCCAGCGCGCACGCGTACACACACCTGCTGCGAAGTGCTGTGCAGCAGTTTGAATTCTACAGCAAAAAGTAGCACTTAAAGCTCCCCCCTCCCGTGCCCTTCCCCCATCCTTGACCATTAATCACCTCCTGCATTGGGGAGGGGCTTTGTCCTCCCCCCCCCGGTTTTTCCAACCAGTGGCTTGCCCTTTCTTCACATCTGTCTGTAACTCAGACTGACATTAGTCTTTTGTTCTTCCCATTTTGCTTGACCTACTGTCGGAACTAGTTGGCTCTAGCTGCCTATTCCATATTGTTTTTTACAAAAATCTTGACGGTTCTAAGTATATCATTCACCTCTTTATTTCATTACATTTGTTACTCCCCTTTCATGGTTTTCCCAATTTATACTTGCAGTAAGCTTTTTGAGTAAATGAGACAGGAAGAAAATGTCAGTATGGTTTAAATAAGCCACAGTTGGTTGGGTTACCACCCTCTTAAATCCTAAACTGACATTTTTCTGCTTAATGTAATGCAGCCGGTGAGTTTGGTGGGCAGAGCTGAAACATTTTAACTGGTTCTGAGCACGTCTAGAGGAAAATTGGATCCAGCCCTCCTTGTTGGGAAGATTCAGTTGGGCGATGGCCTTCACAGCCAACCCATCTGAGGGATGTTGTTTATCGTCTTGCTCTGGCTTTTCTTGTTTGGGAGAGATCACTTGATTGGGCCAGAGTCAAAACAGCAGCTTTAATTGCTAGCTGATTGTTGCCAGGGGCAAAAGGTAGTCACATGATCGTAGGATGCTGCAACCAGTCATACATGTGAACCATTTGCCAAGTGCCCGGATCACGATCACATGCCGGGGGGGGGGGGAGATTTCTGGGACTGCCAGGACTCCAAAGGCCAGTTGTAACCACCATTCAGTGCCATTATAACTGGTCATTGAACAAATGGTTGTAGGCAGAGAACTACCTACAATAATTGAAATGGCTCTGGACAGACAGCAGATCTGTTCTCGGGGCTAGCAAAGGAGTGCTGGGATTGCTTTTGTTCCCTGATCATCTCTGGGTTCGCTGGAAAGGCTTCTTCTAACCCTCCTTAGTTCTGAAAGTAGCCCATTTGCCAGGATAGCCATTGCTGAAGTCAGCAATCTGTTGGGCACTGCTGGCTCCATAGGTATCTTTTTGGTTGCAGGTTTCCCTTCTACTATGAGATCAAAATGGCCTTTGTGGTATGGCTCCTGTCTCCTTACACAAAGGGGGCCAGCCTATTGTATCGCAAGTTTGTGCATCCTACACTGTCCAGCAAAGAAAAGGTAATGCTCTTTCTAGCCCAGGTCACAGTTGTTGGCGAGTGGGCAGCAGGTGCCCATTGTCCTGTTCTCCCCCTTTTTCTCAATGAAAATAAAGCAGAACATTTCCTGACTGCACCTTTGAAGGCTCTGAGCCTGCATGAAATTATGCCTATGCCAATTTAGAACGGCTGCCTGCATTTCACCAAGGCAGAACAGAGTCTCAGAGCTGGAAGCGGCCTTTGGGAAATGGGTACAGGCAGAAGATTGGGGTCTCTAGTTGCCTCGCCACCCATGGCAAGAAATGGGAGGGAGGGAAAGATAAACAGTTTTTTGGGTGCCAGACCTCCACTCCTCCCCCCCCCTTTCCTGAAGTTGAGTGGCAGGAGCACTTCCTTATCCTGTGGCAGGAGATGCATGGGGACAACCTGGAGGGGATTTTTTTTTTTTGGGGGGTGCTCTTCCTCTGATCCTGTCAATTGTATGTGAATTCCTGCAGGAGATTGACCACTTCATCTGCCAAGCCAAAGAGCGTGGCTATGAGAGTCTTGTGAACTTTGGGAAGAAGAGCATCAATGTGGCAGCCACAGCAGCTATCCAGGTGGCTGCAAAAGTAACCTCTGATGTTTCCTTTGCTCTAATCTCTTGGCGGGACTGGTCTGGAGGCAAGCTTGGGCCTTGTGGAGCGAAGGGAAGGGGGGTACTGCCATTGGCATATTCCATCCTGTAGTAGCAGGTTTCTCACCCCCAAATCATCTTTGGTAACTAGGCGGTATTGGGCTGCTTTCCCCCTAATTCTATGCCGTTTTCAGCTTATACCACATGGGTAACTAATTTCCTTCCTCACCTACTACTTCCTCCTATGTTTCCTCTCTGGCTTATAAAGGCTTCTCACGTAGGTACTTTGGCTTAAGTATCAGGAACTGTGTGCTGATCTTTCTCCTCTGAAATACTATTTCCCGTTTCTGAAGTAACCTCTTCCTTGATTCCCAAATAAATCCCTTTAACTCTCTTGTCTCCCTGTTAGGGCCAGGGTGCCCTGGCAGGTCGTTTACGCAGCTTCAGTATGCAGGATTTGCGTTCCATCCCAGAGACAGCCATGGTGCATTATTCAGATCCCCTCTATCTGGAGGAACAGGGGCTATGCCGGCAACCGATTGGTAAGGAAACCTTCATTGTGGAGCAAGATACAAAACCATCGAGAGTTTTTAAAATCCTCCAAGGTTAGGTTCAGATGACTACCTTAACATGGCATTAACATGGCATTTGGTCACTTTTGTAGTTCAGCATTTTGTGTCTTTTTAAAAAAAAGTTGTATTGATTTTCTAGTTTTACATTTAAGTATTTAAAAAGCAATGTGGCAGCTGGGTTAATAATTCAATAACATACAAGTGTCTTTAGTACAAATCTCAAACTACCACATTAAATATTTCTTTTCTTTTTCCCTTAGTATTTACTGTCTCATGTTTAAGCTAATACAATTCTTATATCAATTAAGTAAAAATAACATTCTTACATTTATCAATAGTTTTTAGCTTATACATATCCTAATTACTTTAACATTCAATCTTTATAGACAATGTCCTGTAATTAGTTTTTCCCAATTTTTAGTTTCCCATCAATATTTAACTTTTAATGTTTATAATTTCCAAATTTTAGGTAACCAAAGTTTCCTTTACCACAATTCATCACAAAATCTAATATTCAAGATACGTCCTATCTATTTGAATATATTCTATTTCTCACCATCTTACATCATCTAATTGATAGTACAGTATAACATTATTTTCTATTAATTTCCAAATGTCTTAAATTTAATGACCAAAAATCAAATACTTCCTCTCCTTTTCTCTTAATATCTACTATCATATTTAAACTAGTAGTAATTTTATCAACTATGTAAAGACATGTTTATTACATTTATATATATGTATATATATTATAAAATTTGGATTGCTAACAAAGAATTAAGGGAGAATGGGATAGCTATTTCAAGTTTCTTAACTCTCTTCAGCCAAACTTACCCTTCTGAGATTCGAGCCTGGGTTGTGTGCATGTTAGGCAGCTGTACTAACCTCTAGGCCACAGGCTCCTTCTCACTTTGTCAGCTGTATCGGGGAGGGAAGAGACAGGGGGAGGAGATTTACCTTGAGTGTTTCTTGATGCACCCTGTCGGCCCAAATATGGGAGATATTACTTTTACATTCAATCTTTATAGACAATCAATCTCCTATTTATAGGGATAAGAAATCTTGGTCCCCCAATTTTAAAAACATATAAATCCAGTTAAAATAAGGTTATTCTTTCAGCGTTTTAAACTCCTCTGGATAGTCAGTCGCCACTGCTTTTACAGGGTGGGCTAGGATTTCCCTTCCCTCTCTCCACAGGGGGGAAAATACTTTGGGCAGCTTACACAGGTAAAAAAGATAATTAGGATTGAAGAGAGGATCCGATCTCACCCAGTCTCATCCGCGCTGCTTTAGAAGTGCTTGGTGGTAAGTTTGACTTTGGCTGTCTGCAGCCTAGTGATGGGTCATATTTCTGTGGCCGCTTTTTAATCCGCCAGTTTGGAGGGCTGCCCGGATCAAGCGGAAGGGCTACTGCCCTCCTGCAATCAAGCGGGGATCCCCTCCTTGCTTGTCACTCTTACAGGGTGACTTTCAACCCTTTCCAGGGTCCCCTAGTGGTGCGAAATCAAATGCGGAAGACGGAGCTCGCCTTCCAGCGTCCACGACGGCTGCAGTGGCAAACTGGAAGTCTGCATTTTGTGTCTTAGTATCTTCTCTAGATCAAGTTAAACCATCCTATGGATGTTTGTTCAGGTATCACAGGTTATGCCACCAGTTTTACTGTGGGGCAATCCCTTTTGGGTGAACCCAGCCTATTGGAGCAAGTTTGGCTTAGTGGTTAAGACGCCAAGCTTGGAACCAGGAATCTGAGTTCTAGTCCCGGCTTAGCCATGAAAAACCAGCTGGGGGACCCTGGGTCAGTCATACATTTTCAGCACACCTCATGGGGTAGTGATTGTTGGGAAAATAGGAGGAATGAGTTAGATATGTTATCCCCCCCTTGAGTTATTTACAAAAAATAAAGGTGGGGTATAAAATAATAAATCACTTGGTCAAATGTTATAGCCAGTTTGATGGTGTCTAAGGGCCATACATGCAATACAGGATTAAGACTTCAGATGAGGGAGGGAATTCTTCTGCAATCGGAATCTTCCTGTACATTTGACATTTCTGCTGTGCATATCTTGAGATGATGTACATACTTGTTGTGCATAGCTTTCCAGGGAGCCCAATTGATTTGAATACAGTCCTACCAATACTGAGAGGCTGTGGATGTTGAGGTCCCCTAGGTCTGCATATCTTCCATCTTTACTCCTAGGTGGGATCACTTCTCCATTCAGGAGTGTAGTACACAATCTGGGGATTTTCATTCCTTCAGCCCAGCTTGATTTTTGACGTGTCCTTTTCTGCACCAAGTGCTTTGCTTTTAATCAAGAACCCAACATAAATTTTGTAGTTTCTTTTTCTAATCAAAAGGGACGAGAGATCTCAAATGTCAATCAAGCCAGATTTTTTTAAAAAATGTTTTCTACAGTTGGAGATGCTAGTTTGCGCATGTATTCAGTCAACACAGGGATCTTGTTGAAAGTAAATAGGGTACGACGAATCCTAGTCTCAGTTTCATTCATGGGGGGTGGGGGGGTCACATTCCTTTATCAAGTCCAGGGTGCCTCGCATCCAGCTTCACTCTGGACAGACACCCAGCTTTCTGAGTCTTCCTTCGGCCTGTGTTTGCCCAGGGCGCAGGCCAGGAGCGCAGCAGCCGGGCTCCGATAGCGAGGAGGAGGAGGAGGACTGCTGGACAGACTCTGAAGTCTCTGCCCCCTCCAGAGGCCGCTGCAGGGACCCCGCCCTCCCGAAGCCGTTGGCCAGAAGCCAAAGCTTCCGGCAGGCGAAGAAGCGGCCGCCACCTAAAGAGGTCAGGAGGCAATGGGGGGGGGGCGGCAGGTGGCGGGGAAGCCCCTGGCTTGCTCCGGCGAGGAGGGGGAAGTCCTGCCTCTCCCTCGCCCTCCCCAAACGCTGCTGGGCTCCTTCTTTTCGCAGATTTCTTCTCGGGGCCTCCGAACTCGTTCCCGGAAGCAGAGGCCGGACCAAGAGCCCTAGGCTCCTCCGGAGGCGCGGCGGGCAAGGCCTCCGGCCGGGTCAGCACCCCATCAGCTCTTCGGAGTCTCCCCAGAGCCAGAGCAGCCCTGCCTGCGGAGTGCGGGCCGAGGAGGAGCCGGTGCACCGCTGCGGGCTGCCGACGAGCCTCTCCTGACCCGGCGCTGCCGCCGCGTTTGCGCGCCGTCCTCGCCCGGGGCCACGAAGCGAAGCTTCCTCCGGGGCCGCCACCCCTTTTAACGTCTTCCAATAAACGCCTTTTCTCCGCCCGCGCCGCCTCCAGCCCGTCTCTTCCGGGGGGCGGCGGGGGCGGGGCTTCCGCGCGGGCGACGCAACGGGCGGCGGGATGGCGGCCGAGGAGCTGCGGGCGCTGCTCGGCGGGAAAGGCTGGCCGGTGCCGGAGGCGGAAGCCTGCGGCCCCGGCGCCCCCGAGCCGGCGCGCCTGCGGGGCAACGTCTGCTACGTGGTGCTGGCGGTGCTGCTCAACGAGAAGGTCCGCGGAGGCCGCCCCCCTCCCTCCCTCCCGCGCGGCGCCCGCGGGCCACCCATTAACGACCCCTTCTCTCTCCCCCTCCTCCCCCCCCCGGGCGCAGAACGAGGTGCTGGTGATGCAGGAGGCCAAGCGCGAGTGCTACGGGAGCTGGTACCTGCCGGCCGGCCGGATGGAGCCCCGCGAGACCGTGGTGGAGGCCGTGCGGCGGGAGGTGCAGGAGGAGACGGGGCTGCAGTGCCGGCCGCTCACGCTGCTGGCGGTGGAGGAGCGCGGCCCCGCCTGGATCCGCTTCGTCTTCCTCGCCCGGCCCACCGGTGGGGGCGCCCGGCCCGGGGACGCGCGAGGGGGCGGGCTCACCGGCTCCGCTGGAGGTCGCTCCCCTGGGGGCGGCGGAAAGGGAGTGGGAGGGGGCGATCCGCCGGCTGGAGCGAACGCACGAGCCGCCCCCCCCCGGACTGGCGGGGTGGGAGGTTTGCGGCCCCTGGGTGGTTTTTAGTTGCTCCCAAGCCCTGGAAGGCGGCGTCTCCTTCGAGTCCGCGGGCTCGCATAACGCTCCTCCGTTTGAGGGGTTCCCCCTCCTTAGCTGCATAAAGGTTGGCGCGCCTCCTCCCGCCGCAGCTCCCGCTTTGCTTCCCCGCCCTGGCCTCGACCTCCCGCCGCGCCCGAGCGCGCCCCGGCCCTTGGAACCAGCCCGGCCGGGCGCAGCTCCCTAGCGTCGGTGTTCCTCTCTCTAGGCGGGACGCTGAAGAGCCTGCAGCAGGCGGACGCGGAGTCCCTGCAGGCGCTGTGGTGGGACCGGGAGAGCCCCGCCCTGCCGCTCCGTTCGCGGGACATCCTGCCCTTAATGGACCTGGCATTGCAGTACCGCGCCAGCCCCCGCCACCCCCCCGTCCTGCCGCTGGAGCTGCCCTGCGCCTCGGTTTGCCAGAGGCTCCTGCTCGTCTTCACCGGCAGCGACGACTCCTTGTGGGTGCTGCTGGAAACGACTGGGGCGCCGCATCTGCCCGTGGCGATCAGCAGCCTGTCTCCCTCGGAGCCGGGCAAGAGGCTTCGGGCGGCCGTCCAGCCGCTGCTCCAGAAATGCACGGCCCGGCCGGAGGCGGCCGTGCACCTCCAGGGCCTACTTGGCTTGCAGCACCTTGGCAAGGATCCGGGGCAAAGCGACGGCATCTGCTTCAACGTGGTGGCCACGGTCGGAAGCGACGGCTCGCAGCAGCAGGAGCCGGCCCCACCGGCGTTGCAGGAGCCGGCTTTCACCTGGTGGGAAGTGGAAGACGCAGCTCTTAAGAGCCAGGTGCTCCAAAGGCTTCGCACATGTTCTTTTCTCCCCATTTACAGCTAACTCCTCCCAGCCGAGGGCTGCGCCAGAAATGGAAGCCGCCCCCCCCCCCCCAGGCCACCGGACGCAGAGCAGGTCTGGGACACTCTTTTCCAAATGATGCTATCCTACGCACCCCTGCTGAAAGCAAGGTGGGCAGGGAAGACCAAGCAGTCCTGGCAGCCTTTGGTACATTTACAGCTATTAATACATAGCTGAATTAATAAATACATTTATTTCATTGTGGCTCTGCTGTTTCTTGAAGGAAGAATGTAAGATCGGAAAAGGTTCCCAGACATTCATTTATTAAAGCACAAGCCGACTTTCCTCCGGGGGCTCAAACCGATGTTGCCACAGGCTCTGCTCAGCAAGTATGGCAAAGGCAGGTTTGTTCCATCTTTATTTTGGGCCAAAGATCAGCTCACCGCAGAGACCTAGGCAATATGCCAAGATAGAACAGCACCTCCAGACCTACTTCCTCAAACTATTTATAGACTAGGAGAACTTTGCAACAGTCCTAGGAATGAGATGGTAGGAGAGGCTTCCATTATCTCACCACAGAAAGCTCTGGGTACAAAAGAAAACCAGGGATTAAGTAGCATGGCAGGATTCATCTTTAGACCGATGGAACATATTGCAAAAATTAAGTCCTGGTACAGAACGTTCAGCTGAGTACATACGCCAAAAAAAGAGGGCGAGAAGAGGGTCACTTAGCTTAGTGGTTCTCAACCTGTGGGTCGGGACCCCATTTGGGGTCGAACGACCATTTCATGGGGGTCGCCAAACAACGCAGTCTGCCATTTTTTTCCCCTTTTCCTTAGCTGTGCTACTCCCTTTTATTCTATTGGCTTTTGAAAGTCAATAGAATAGACTCTCTTGAACAGAGTCTAATTCTATTGGCTTTCAAAAGCCAGTAGGAATTGTCCAGGCTGTCTCTGCCCTGATGAGCCCGCCAAAAGTCCCATTCTGCAAACGGTGCTGCACCAGTTGAGTAGTCCACGACTTACAACTGGTTGAATAGTCCTCGACTTACGACCAGTTGGGGGTCGTGGCATTAAAAAGGTTGAGAACCACTGACTTAGCTAGACAGCCCCACGGAGAGAACTCAGTACAGGCTCTGGACAGGAGCCTTCCTCTTTTGGCCTGGGCTGCATTTAGAGATACCATGACTGGAATAAGAGTAGCAAACATAAAAGGAGGCAAAGTTATAGCAACAGATTCCCAAATCCATGCACCACAGAAAACTCCTCTTTTACAAGGACCTCCATGATTTAATCCCAACGGCTAAAATAAGCTGAAAACAGCCCTATCTTGCTAGTATTTTTTAGAAGATAAAATCCAGATGCTTTATCTGGATCTTTTTGTTCTTGGCATTCGGCATTAGGCCAAGAAAAAGGACAAGGCTCTGGATGGCAAGCTGGGTCAGGCACCAGAAGGCAGGCAGCAGGCCGCTGGCTCAACAAGGTCCCAGCATAATCAAGGGAGACGCATGCATTTCTCGGGAGGCCTGTGTCGGAGCTGGCTGCTGACAAAGCAATCAACTGCTTCTCATCCCAGCCGTCCCTCCTTATTTGAAGCCACTTTTATGCCACGAACAAGGTGCTGCTGCTTTTCTCTACACACAGGAAGTCAGCAAGGGTGTTGCTCTCAACTACTGAAGGCCTCAAAGAGGCAGGGGAGCCAACAGGCCAGAGACCCAGACCTTTCAGCTGGGGGAAGGAGCGCACTGCTGACTCTGCCCAGGGGGGCCCTTAAGGGCAGACTTGACAAAGACGATGGCAGCCAGTTCTTTGCAGAATTCCTCCAGCACGATCACTCCCTCCAAGAACATCTGGTGGCCAATCCTATAAAGAGATTGCATGCAAGACAAAAAAGGCAGTTTTCCTCTTCTTATTAGCTGCCTTTCCCTCCCCAGGCTGATTCTAGATAAGGCTTACAAAGGCCCATCTGGTTATCATTACTGCTCTTGCGTTTGCATAAGAGGCCTCGGGCAGGTCACTGCTGTTTGATCACAACTGCTGCCATCGAGATCAAAATAATAAGCCACAGTGGTTATAACGATCTCTGTACAGCGTGCGGGTGGGGCAGCTTTGACTTGGGCACAATGCCATCAACTTCGGAAGTTGTGCAGGCAAGTGCCCGGAGGGGGCCTGAAAATGCTCCAGCCAAGCAAAAGCTGAGCTGTGACACGAACCAAAGGAAGAACCGCCCCATCCTCTCTGCCCCACTTACGGGGGGTCATCTGGCACCAGCCCCATTAGCTTTTTCCGGACCAGCAGCAAGTTGGTGGAGAAGTCTGTGATCCGATGGGCTCTGTGCATCAGGCTGCTGATCACCTGGCAAAGGAGAAAGGGTAAAGAGGCTGGCAGAGGGAGCAGAGCTTCTTGGTTGCAGCAATAGCAGCCAGAGAGGACAGGGCTGGGCACCCCTTGAATCACCCGCGGAAGCGCACAGCACCCCGAGTTTCCCACCCTGGGCTTGGCACCAAGCCAAATGTTACCCTAATTAGCACCGAGAAGAGGGTCCTGCAGCCAGGGGCCAATGGGAGGTAGGGGTCCAGAAGGTACTCGTGGAGATGAGGGTGAGGGAAGAGGGCCAAGCGAGACAGCACCGATGTCACCTGCAGATTCACTGCATAGGGCTGCCATGAGGGAGGGAGGGAGAGAGAGAAATGCAGTGTTTCATTCATAATCTGCCACTGGTAGCAGGTTCCATCAACCGCCCATGAGAAAAGGGAGCAGCTGCACTGTGCCATGATCCTCAACTAGGAAAGGCAGGAGGACAGGCCTGGAGTGTCCCAGGATCCCTTGAAGCTCCCTCCCTGCAACCAACGGGGGCCTCTTCCTGCCTTGCTGTCACTAGGGCATCCTCTCCCAGGCTGCTTCCCTCAGGATCCCACCTGGTGTAAGATCTGGGCCAGCCGATCAAAGAGCACCTGCAGGAAAGGACCCTCGTAAAACTGGGGTCCCGCAGGGCTGCTCTTCTGGGGCAGTTGAGCCTCGGGCCACGTCCAGCACGCAACATTCGCACAGCATTCTTGAAACTGCAAGAAGAGAGAATTGGTTTATTTGATGATATAATAGTTTATCTCTGGTGATAATGGTTTTGACTGAGATTGGATGATAATAGTTCTTCTGGAAATGTTTAATTGGGTGTCATTGATTAATTTGTAATCTTATCTTTTACAATGCTTAAATTTTTACTTGGGATTGGGGTTTGATTATTTGAAGAGAGATTGGAAGAATTTGCTTAAACGGAAATGAGATATATTTAAGTATGTTTTTCGATTAACCTCTGTTGGACTGGAGATGTTAATATTAACTACACTTGCTGGAGATGGGGAGGGAGAGTTTCTTCTTCTGGTTTTTAATTCATATAGTTTTATGGGGTTCTGTATGTTTTAAAACATTATATGTATATATGTAATAGTTCTGTATTAGGCTTCTGTATTATTGTTCAATTTTATTAACTCTTTATAAAATTATTGGGGAAAGACCTGGAATGACAATACACAGGTGAGTGTCGTCAACATACCAAGTACACCTCACACCCAACAGGTAGCCTCTCCCAGAGGTTTTGCATAGACATAAAATGGTACAGCGGGAAGACTGAGGCTGCAGCACCCCAAGTCAGCTAGACTAAAACATAACAAGAAACATACATGACAAGAGCTGCCTGCTAAGAAAGAGCAGAGCTGCTGTTAAGATTGTGCCTTACTGCCCAACCTTTGCAGGTCCTCCTCAGAAGTCAGAGGGACTGTGACTGCCATCAGGGGACACCCGCCCTCCAAAGGCCAACCAAGACAATCGCCACTTATATTTCTGTCTCCTGCCCAGGCCTGAAAGGATCTAGGAAGTTCATTTCCGCTAGAGCCCTCAGCTGATAGAGCACACACATCCTCTCTTTTTAAAAGGTTGCTGCGCCATTTTAAAAAAAGAAACAGGTACAAGAAAGGAACCAGGAGACACAGTGTGTTTCAGTCGTCGTTGGACAGGACATCAAGTTCTAAGATGGCGGCACCTGGATCGGCTGCGGCTGCATTGGCTCTCGAAGGTGAAACGTTTGGGGAGGGATATTAAGGGATATAGGCCACATGATCAGGAAGGTTTTAATGTTTGAGCAACGTGGTGCAACTAAGGTGACATACGACTGACAATCTTTGCTGGCATGGCGAGTTTCTAGCTGTTTCGGAACTGTTGGTGAGACCGCTAAAAGTCGTTGGTGCTGTTTAAATTGTTCTGCCAGCAGCAAGATCTGACTGCTGGCCCAGCGACAGATTCTATTGCAAATAAGGGCTGTTTCCAAAGGAGGCCGAGGAGGAGGAGAGGTCCCGGGGCTTATGGAGCCAAGGAACTGGATGAGGCTGTCGGCAGGCCCAGAGGATGGGAGAGAGGCTTTTGGAGGAGTTGGTGGCAGCGGCAGCGTTCTCCAGGGGCGGAAAGAAGCGAGGCCTCTTTAAGGAAAAAGTGGAAGAGACAGGATCAGAAAAAGGAAAGGAGGCGAGGTTGTCGTGCAGGAATACAAGCTAATTTAAGGGCTAATCCACATGGAGCTCCGTTTCCATCTGTCCTGTTTGCCATCATTCACTCCCTGGAGACTACAATGGAAGATCTGTAACTTGAGCTGGCCACGAACAAGGTGTGTATATTGGAGGTGGTGACCCCTTGAGAGCTGTATGCAATGAAATTTCATTTTGATGTATGCCGATTGGTGTACATTCAAAGTGACAATAAAGTTGTTGTTATTATTATTATCATCATCGTTATAATTAACACTGGACCACTGGAGTTCAGAAAAACAAATCAACTGCTTATTTAGGTTGCAGGATAGGAGGGTATCAAAGGACTCACCAGTACTTTAGCATCATGGACGTAAGTGTCATATCCCGCCTCCTCCAGATAAGCTGAGGTCTTCACCTCACTTGGTACTAGGCAAAGGAAGCTGGGTAAAAAAAAAACACAAAGAAACTGGAGGTCGGAGCTCTGCAGAATTGTGTTTTCTGCCTGGTCGCCCTTCATCCTTTCTGGCCAAGTAGAGAAGCCCATTTTGACCTGAGCTATGTTCCCACCATGCCCCGAAGATGGCTTGCTTTGGGCTCCCTGTTCCCTGATCCCGCACCTCTGTTCATTTCCCCCTGGATAAACTCTCCAGGCTGAATGACAACCAAGCCATGTGACACGCATGCCATAGGTGCTTTGCCTTAGTCAGCTCTACAGAAGAGGCTGGGTTTCCTGCCTGCCTTCCGCCTTCAGTCCTTTTGGCTGCCAAGCAATTTGCAGCTGCCCTCCACAGAGTTGCTTGCAAGCCCCAGGGAGTCGACCCAGATTTTGAGAAACGCTGGCTTCGACGAATGGTTACAAAAGCTGATGGAGTTAGCAGAGATGGCTAAACTGACTGTTCTGATAAAAGAATGTAAGTACTTTTGTTTCTACTTGGAAACCACTTCTGGACTTTGTGCTTGAGGTGGAAAAAACTGATACTATGATATTGGGTATTACTGATTAGACTGATTTGTTGATATAGAAATGGCTAGTTCATACTGCTATAGAAATGTAAAAAGTTGAGATTCAATCTTAATTTCTTATTTTATTGCAACAGGAGTCGGAAGTCAACGCCTTTTGTTTCTTTCCCTCCCCTTCTCCACACTTTTTCATTTTCCCTTCCCCTACTGTTGTCCCTTACTATTTGCTTTTGTATTTTCATATTTTATGTTATAAATGAATAACTAAGATGATCCAAGGCCTGGAGATTAAAACATGTAACCGCTCCAGGACTTGGGTTTGGCTAGTGAAATCTAAAGAAAAGAAGAAACGGGCGACATGATAGCAGTATTCCAATATCTGAGGTGCTGCCACAATTATTCAAACTATTCTCCAAAGCACCAGAGGGCAGGACAAGAAACGAGGGTTGGAAACTGACCCAAGAGAGAAGCAACCTGGAATTAAGGAGAAACTTCCTAACAGTGAGGACAATTAACCAGTGGAACAGCTGGCCTCCAGAAATCATGGGTGCTCCATCACTGGAGGTTTTTAAGAGGAGACTAGACGGTCACTTTTCTGAAATGGTATAGGTTCTGCTGCTTGAACGGGGGGCTGGACTAGAAGACCTCCAAGGTCCTATTCTACCAGACATAGGTTAAGAACTATCTGTAGACCAAATTGGCTCTTTCACAAGCTTATGCATAATACACTCTTACACAACACTCTTCCGATGTTCATAGAGGCAGAGCCCCAAACTCAGTAACTTGGGCAGTACATCTCAGCCATCTTGTATATAGTGGTCCTGCATCTTCCTAACCCAAACAGGGATGCAAGCAACTGCTACTCCCTGCTGCTGCTGCTCTACCGAAACCGTACCTGCTGACTGCCTCCTTCGCATCCACAGGCCCTGCTGGCTGGCCAGGCCCTTCCTTTGGAGCCAAGGTGACTGGCTTGCTTGGCCTCTGGGGCTCGGCCGCTGGGAGCCCATCTGCAAAGTAAGGATCTTCTTCTAGGTCTCTGCAGAGACAGGAACAGGCCAGCCTTGACCATGTTTTCAAAGTTACAGGCTATACTTTCACTTAAAAGAGCAAAAACATGATATTTAATGCCAAAGACCAACTTCAATACTGCTGCCTCAGGAAAGGGGGACTGACAGGTAACATGCCGGTTTGTGAATCAGCCCTGGGATCCAGGCCCATCAGCTGCTGCTGGAGCACAAAGACGATGAGATCAGCCCAATCCAACAGGATCAAAGGAGGTCCTCCCTCCCTCCCCTTCTCTTCCCTTCCGCCCCTGCCCCACTGCCTTAGACTGTAAGCGAGAGGGAAGGCTCTGCGCTTCTTGTGGGGAACTGTAAACAAATGCCAACACTGTATCACAGGAACCAAAAAATGATTTCAATCCATCAAAAGCGGCTCATCTTAATAAAGAGGGTCAGCCTGGTGCTAAGAAGAGACTTTTTCTCATCACTTGCGAACGTAGAGGACACCAAGGGCCATCTGCTCCTTCCCCAGGTCACTTACAGCCCCTCTTCACAAAACTCTTGTTCAGGGGTGGCAAGATCTTCCTGACCAGCTGGACTTCTCAAGATGTAGCTGCGCTCCTCCAGATGGCACAGCACCAGGCTCTGCAAGATGCGCTGGTCAGGAAGCCAAAGCAGCTCCTCAAACAACCGTAGGGTGGCCATGCTGATCTGCAGCAAGGAGGAGAGTGTGAACAGCTGGACTTGGTGAAAATGCCCCGGTGGCTTCCAACAGCCAAGCCAAGAGACTTGGGCCGCAGAGACCACAGTTCCCAATTCTCAAGCAAAAGGTACAGTAGACTACCGTTAGGACACCCCCCCCACTCCCCCGCAGAAGGGCTTCCATTTCCTTGCTGATCCTGGGAACTTTGAAGCTGCCACAGAACTCAAATGGAAAATTCAGCTCCCATTTCAAAGTATCAGGGCCTCAGTGAGGAGGAAAGGCTGCTCTGCAGGTGCCATCAGGTACCTGTGGCAGAGCTAACTCCAGGTGTTCAAACTATCGATGGCTTACGCTGCAGTTCTTGCGGAAGGGACACAGGATTGGCAGGAGGCTCACCTCATCAGACGGATGGCTGCAGTTCTCAATCAGCCATGAGCAGAGGCTGGGGCTCTGTGGCCGCCAGGCTGAATCACTGGGCCTGATGGGATCCATTTCTGTTCCCAGCAGAAACCCAGCCAGCTGCTGGAGGAGGGCAGGAGCGTGAATCCGTCTCGCCAGGCCCGTCAGGATAGCCACTGAAAAGAGAATCCCAGAGTCTGACCTGCCAAGAAAGGACCCACTGAGCAAAAGAGGGCTGTGCTTGGCTGTGCTTCCCGTCGGAATCCCCTGGCGATGCGACACATGCAGTCAAGAGTCCACTCAGCCCACACTCACCTCTGCAAGAGTTGAGGCCGCAAGGTTTCTAGGAAGAGCCTCCGCCCCACAGTTGTGCTCAGGGCATCTCCAACAACCTGATGGGGTGCACGGCCACTATTAGTCACTCCTCCCATTCCACCACACCCCAGCTAGGCGTCCCCAGCCCTGGAACCAAGGAAGAAGAGGAAAAGGGCAGGGAGAGAAGAGGGGAAAAGGTTTCTTACAGGATGAGCCTGTTTCACGAGACAGTCACAAAACTCCAGCCAATCAAAGAAAGCCTCTAGGCTGTGCTCTCCTGGGAAGGAGCTTTCCTCCACTGAGGCGTCACTCTGGAGCCTGCAAGTTCAAAAGAGAGGAGGCTCAACCCAAGGACACCTGATCACCCTGGCATCCTTGTGCTGCGAAGGGGAGGAGAGGAACCAAACTCAGAGAAATGGAGGACAGAAAGGGGTTTTCATACTCACGTTTGCCATGCTTACCAATATATTCCTCCCTATACGTGCATTTGTGTGGCTAACGCTCAGTCATTCTACTAAGGTATCTTTGCACTCCCTGTCTGATCTCAAACCATTGCATTACACAACTGGTCCAAGTAGCCCTTCCTTCAAATCCGGGGCCCTCCTGCTTGGATTTGCAGCACGGATAAGCTGCAAGAGGCAAACCGGAAAGACCGGAACACCTTGAGCGGGTGACAAGTGAAATCTGTCTCCCAACGTGATGCTGCAGGTCTTTGTAAGCAGCGTGCATCTATTTGTTATCCCGCCTCTTGAACAGGAAAAAACAAAAACCAATCGGGTCAGTTATTATTTCATGGAGCCACAGGTAGCCTTAAAGAAAGTGGGCACAACTAGCGTATGTATAGGTAGTCCTCAACCTATGACAGCAATTGGCACCAGAATTTCTGTTGCTTAGCGATGCAGTCATAAAGTGCAAACACCTCACTTAGCAGCACTAATCCCTGCACTCCGGGTTGCTGTCATTAACTGAATTCCACACTCAGATGAGGCAACTTCTTGCCAGTTTCCCACAACCACAGTCAGTGGGGAAACCGGCAGGAAGTTGCAAGTCCAAGGCAGGCACAAAGGTAAGTGGTTGCTGCTGCTGGGTTAGGGACAGAGCCAGGGGAGGCATCCCGAGGGCCAAGGGGGTAGATAAGAGTGTGCAAGAGTCACAGGGAGGGTCAGGGAGAGTAGGCAACTGTGCAGCGAGGATCAGGAAAGGAATAGATGAAAGGTGGGGCACAGGCTGGAGAGGGCATGAGTGTGGAAGGGGTGCAACATGGGTCACGGAGGGTGCACAGGGTTAGGCCAGGACACAGCATGAATTGGGAAGGGTGTGCAAGGAGGTACAGAGGGTGTCACACAGATCAGGCAGGAGCCAAGAGGATGCAAGGTGGTGCGAGTTGGGGAGAAGGTGCGAGAGTGCAGGGTTGGGGAACACGCAGGGAGGGCTTGGGTCAGGGAGGATGTGTGGGGAGGGTGTGTGGGGTGTACAAGAGGTGCGGTGAGAGGTTGGGAGGGCTGAGTGAGCAGCAGAAGTGTGAAAATCTCAGGGGCAGAGATTGTGGGCTCAACATGTCAACAGCCTTGTACCTGCACGGGACGGGTGGAAGCCTGGTAACATCAGCAGGCTTGATGGTAACAGGGATGGCCTTGTACAGGGAGCAGAGATAGTCGGGTAGCAGAAGGCACAGCATGCTATCTTGGGCCAAGGCCTGGGCAGCGGTTGGATGGTCCACCCTGGTAAGAAGCAGTAGGTTCTCTTGGGCTTTTAGCACAACCTTCTTGTTCTGCAAGGAGGAAAAATAACACCATTCCTGTCAAATGTCCCCCTCCTATACTCCGTGTGTGGAAGGGAAGAGTCAGGCAGAGACAAGCTCATCCCCTCTGCTCTTCACGTGCCCCAGGGCTCTCGGCACCGGTTATTTCATACCTTGCTCTTACATAAGCCAATGAGAGCAGTCACCAAATTCAGCATGGAGGCAGCAGGGTCCCTGAGTGGTTTCTCTGGACACAGCCCTCCACCCTGTTCTTCAAAGGAGGGCAGGGTCTGGCCAGAGGTCATGCTTGGCTCGGCTGCCAATCCCAGGGAATCAACATTCTGGCCCTTGAAGGCAAAGAGGAGAGGAAGGAGAGTTCAGGCCAGATCAATTTCCACTGATAAATCAATATTGGTTCTAATTTTATATAACTCTTATAGTTGTTTTTATATTTAACTTTTTATCATTAGTAAGCCGCTCAGAGGCGCCTTAACAGTGAGATGAATGGCATATACATTTAATAAATAAATGAATACAAATAAGCTCAGCAAGATATATCATCCAGGTTTTGCAAGAATAATTGGACATAACAAACCCTCCAAACAAAAGGACCAGTTCTATTTCCTAAGACAAATTACTCAGTAATCTTGAATCCCTACAACCAAAGGGGGAAAAAAAGCAGGCAATTTGAGACAGAATGCATAGGCTGAGAAAACATCTAGTTATTCCTGCACAGAAGAGTCAGGGGACACAAAAATCCAGTACAAGTCTTTTCAGAACTTTTCATAAAGCAGGCAGCAACAGTTAAAAAGCCTTTCTAATCCCATTCTCAGTGGCACAGCTGTTATGCCCTCTGAAGTGCATCATTTGGCGCTGCCTAAGGCTGCCGCTGCAGGAACAGGAGGAGCTAAACAGGGAATTAGAAAGACAGGACAAGAGAGAGAAAGAAACAAATGCTTTGCCTTGACTCTCTTTGGTATAGGAGCGAGGGAAGAGGAAATGCTGTCAGGCATTCTAAATTCAGTTGTTACAACCTGTTTCAATAAAATACAACTCTAGTTATTTCTTGTGATGTTTGTTTCCTGACCCGCCCTAGCCTGGCAAGGCTACACACAGTGTGAAAAGGATTGGCATACCCAGCAATCCCTTACCTCTAGGACGTGTGGTAGGAGAGCAGGTTCCTGCCTGATTTTGGTACATAGAACAGCAACAAACTGCAGCGCTTCCTTCTCCAGCTCAGGGCCTAATGCATCCCCCTGAAGCTGAATAAGTTTCTGCAAAAAGATCGAAAGGTGTGGCAAAATCAGCAAATACAGAGATGCTTTAGAAATATTTTAAACTGGACACATTTTCAAGTCACTAAGAAGTAGCTCCCTTGGTAGAACGGTGCTTTTGCTTTATCTTCAAAATGCATGCAAATTGTTGAGCTCCTTAAAAAGGCCCTCACCTGAACAGGCCGGTAAACACTGAAGTAATGCAAGAGAGGGCTCTGCATCTGCCCCAGCAGGCGACTGAAAAAGAGAAGCACCTGTGACCTCATTCCCGGAGGATACTGTAGGAAGCAGAGAAACAAGGCTCACATTAGGAAAAGTTCCTTAAAGCTTTCCATTAAAAATGTCCATCAAAGACTACATTACTTGACTATCTTGAATGCTAATGGAACACAGTGATAGTCTGAACATTAAACTGAAAAAGCATCAGAATGTAGGTACGGGTCAAGTACAATCTATTGCAGAATAATTGTTATTAGTCCTATGGTTCTGAAGTAATTTCTTGTCTGTTTCCCAATATATGATTTAGGGGCCATCTTGCACAAATATGAATTGTTAAGACCTGCTCCAACTTAAGACTTTTAAGAAAGACCTCAACTCCATTTGGCTGAAGTGATAGGCTCTGTTACTAAAGTTAAGTAGTTGCAGTGAAATTGAAGCAAGATCTGAGTATTCCCATGCAAAGTTTACACTTTTTCCCCCTTTCCCTGGCTGTCTCCTCTGACTAGTCCATCAGTGCCCAATAGTATGCCCTTTTGATGTTTTGGGAACCACTTTGATGCTTAGCACTGCTCGATATAGTTTCCAATTCTGTTTCCAGGACAGGTGTCCCTGGCGGTCGGCTTATTCTAGTTTAGCACCTCTGGTTCTTGTCAGCCTGTCTCTCCCCTCTCCATTTATCTTCCCATTCCCACGCCCTAACTTTACTTCCTAAATTCCTGCCCCCTCCTCACGTTTTATAGCAGGAAGGGGAACTCATCAAATTTGCAGATGACACCAAGCTGGCAGGAATAGCCAACGCTCCAGAAGATTGGCTTAAGATACAGAAGGATCTTGAACATTGGGCCTTATCTAACAAAATGAAATTCAATGGTGAAAAAAGCAAGGATCTACATTTGGGCAAGAAAAAACAGTATAGTATCCATGGTACCTGGCTCAATAGTAGTAACTGTGAGAGGGATCTTGGAGTCATTTAAATATGAGCGAGCAGTGTTCTGCAGCTGCCAAAAAAGCCAACACAGTGCTAGGCTGCATTAACAAAGGGATAGAATCAAGATCACGTGAAGTGTTAATACCACTTTACAATGCCTTGGTAAGGCCACACTTGGAATACTACATCCAGTTTTGACCACAATGATGTAAAAAAGATGTTGAGACTCTAGAAAGAATGTAGAGAAGAGCAACAAAGATACTTAGGGGACTGGAGGCTAAAACAAGAACGGTTGCTGGAATTGGGCATGTTTAGTTTAATGAAAAGAAGACTTAGGGGTGACATGTTAGCAGTGTTCCACTATCTCAGGGGTTGCCACAAAGAAGGGGGTCAACATGTTCTCCTAAGCAACTGAAGGCAGGACAAGAAGTAACGGATGGGAACTAATCAAGGAGAGAAGCAACCTAGAACTAAGGAGAAATTTCCTGACAGAACAATTAATCAGTGGAACAACTTGCATCCAGAAGTTGTGAATACTCCAACACTTAGTTTTTAAGAAGAGATTGCATAATCATTTGTCCGAAATGGTATAGCATTTCCTGGACTAGAAGACCTCCAAGGTTCCTTCCAACTCTGTTATTCATCTGACTCAAAGGATGCTAGTGAAACAAAGACGCTGAAGATGGCAGACCTGACATTATCTTACTTTGATAAATGAAATTAATACAAATAAGACTTTTTAAAGCAAACAGACAAAAATGCAAATGAAGCCATAGTAAAAGATTTATCTTCATGATTTATTTGGAAGAAGAATGACCGATATTTAGGTATAGAATCTCTAAAGCAGCGGTTCTCAACCTATGGGTCGCGACCCCATTTGGGGTCGATTGACCATTTTTCGGGGGTCGCCAAAGAAGGCGATCCGCCATTTTCTCCCCTCAGGGGGCGCCGCTGCGCATGGGCACACCACCGCGCACGCGCGCCACGCATGGGGCGGCGGCGCCCCCATGCGCGCGGCGCCACGCATGCGCAGAACGTTTGTGTGACGGGGGTCGCCGTCACACAAATGTTGAGAACCACTGCTCTAAAGAGAAATGAATTTGGAAATTATGCCAAAGAGGCCAGAATAAGAAAGGGGTATTTCCAATTAGGTAAAGGAATGTCTGAGTTATGACTGGAAAAATCTTCAGGAAAGACCTTGAACCCCCCAAATTGTGCCGCTCTCATTCCTGAGAAAAGGGAGGCACCACAAGAGGAACCACCTCTGCTTTCCCCAGAGTGCTGAGTGTCTCCAGGATTTTGTGCTGCAGCAAGTATTCCAGGCAGGGTCCCGTCTCCCCTTCCTGCTGTTGCTTCTCCTCGTAGACCAGGATGTCCAGCATCTGTTTTAAGCGCCAGGGAATGTCCGTCTGCTTCGCCGACTTGTTTTCATCTTGGGGAAAGACGGAACATCAGCATCAGCATCAGCAGCCAAATACTCGGCAGCACAGCCCCCCGCCCCCCCGCCTTTCGGACCGCTAGGAAGTCGCAGGGCCGGAGCCAGAACTTCCTACCTGGGGCCTCCAGGTAATGGTGGGTGACGCCCTTCCAGTGCTCCGTGAAGGCGGCCGGGAGATCGAGGCGCGGCTCCTCCTGCAGCGGGCGAGAAGGCCCGGTCAGGCGACCCCCGCCGCACCTCGCCCATCCCACCCGGCCCCCCGGCCCGGCCCGGCCCCGCAGAGCCACCCACCGCCTCCACGGCCCGCCGCAGCAGATCGCCCAGCCGGCCCAGCAGCGCCATGGCGGCGACGCCCTCCGCCCGCGCCCGCTACGTCATCTGCGCGCGACCGGGCGCAGGGGCTGAGTCTTGTCCCCGCTGCCCGGCTGTCATGTCCTTGGCTGCGGTGCTCCGCGCGGGCCGCGCCCGGGGACGACTCCCCGCCGGGGGGCTGCTGGTGAGGAGGGGGCCGCGGGGGGAGGCGGGGCCGGCTCGGCGGCCCCTCAAGGGCCTGGACCGCGTCGAAGGAGCGGCCGGAAGCGCCTTTCCGCCCGCCCGCCCCTCGCTGCCCTTCGGTTACTGGGGCTATTCGCGTCCCGGCGGCCCCGGGCGGCTTTGAACCGTTGGAAAGGAGGAAGACCACAGCGGGCGGGAAGAAGGGCCGACCGCCGCGCATCGTCCGGGGGAGTGGGGGCTTTCTCTGGGGCGGCAGCGGCGGCGGCGGCCTTGGTCTTGTTTACTCCGAGGTATCCGGAGCAGTTGCGCCTCGCTCGAGGGGGAGACCGAGGCAGGCCCGTCCCTCCCCAGCCGCCCCATCCTCGAACGGTTTGGGGATTTAAAGTGCGGTCCTGTGCAGAGCGCACTGTAGTAGTCCAGCCATGCTGATCCCCTAAGGGCTCAGCCCCCCAGGTGGCTCCAAGGAGAACAGGCCAAGCATTGGGGGTCTTGGACGGTTTCAAGCCCCAGCAGGGGAGGTCGCAGCGCTTCCTCCCACAGCCCCGTCCTTAAGACGCTCCTGGGGGGCCGCTTTACGAAGGTGAAAAGGTCAAGGGGACCCCACTCCATATAGACCGACCCAGCCATCGCCCCCCCCCCCATTCCCTCTAAGCTAATAATGTGACGAGTGAGAAACCAGACCACCCAGTTTGCCACTTCAACAGCACCACAGGGGTTGGTCTTGAAGTGGCAGGACTTAAGAGTAGCCCTGTCCAGTCTTGGTCCCTGTAGACCCAATGCAATGTCTCCCTCCCTCAAAGTCCAGCTCCCCTGCCAATTCTGCCACATGGCCCTCTGTTACCTCCTCAGCCTCCACATCCCTGGTAGCCAGCAGCTCTTATGCCTGATAGTAAGGTTTGTACCCTGTAACATAATTGCTTGCCCTTGACAGGCACAATAAAGGCCTTTTTGTATCTGAAGTGAAGATTCAAGCACATGCTTAGATCCTAAAAACTGACAAAGATGTCACTCTCTCAGCCCAGCTCTCCTCACTGTGTTGTGGGGGAAATGGCAGGAGGAGAGAGTATTAGCAATGTACCACCACCTTGAGTTATTTAGAAATTAATAAAGGCAGGATAAAGATCTAATAAATAAATACATTTGGTGTGTCATTTCAGAGTGTTAGTGAGAATTATGCTGTCAGTTACTGATCTTTATTCCTCCCAGTGTGATGGCAGTTTAAATTGATCAGGCCATTTATTTTAAATGCTTATAATGTGCCTCTTTTGAAACTATTTTGTGAGGGTGAAGGTTCATTCTCCAAGCTTATGGGTTGTTTTCCCAGCGTTTCGTTACCAGGCTAGGTAACATTTTCAGCGGACTTTCCACAACATTCGGAAACCAACCCACAAGTTCAGAGAATCTTCACCCTTATCCTACACTCGAGCTACAGATATTCACCACTATTGCAGACTATTTTGTATTTGAAGACAGAAGTCTGGTGACTATCTTTTATCATTCAGGGCGTTCAATCGCTCTCACCTTTTATGAATTGTTATGTTCCTTCTGTTTATGTTTTTGATTCAACTATTATATCTAAACCTCTGCTTGATAGATAATTTTCCCCTCTCCAAAATGTCTATGTGGAATATTGTAAATAATTATATAGAACATAGATGTGTGTTTGACAGATATTCTCTCACCAGGGAAAGCTTCATGTCAGTTCCCACAGGAACCTTCAGTATGGCTGGACAGCGTATATATTGGGAGATAAAGCTAGTGCAAAGTTCACTGAATACAGCAAAGTCTTCACAGTGGATGGTAATCTGCATGCTGGCACAGCAAAACTTTCCCAACAAGTGGCAGAAATATTGGGTATGTAATGGGCCGTTGTATATTGCTAAATTGTGCAGTTTAGTCACTGAATATCAAGAATGTAGCACTAGTATAAGAGATACAAATAAGAATGCTGCCAACAAAATGATACCTTCTTTAATTTCTTGTCTATCGTGTTAGCTTCGGGTCAGCTGCAAATCTCACTTTGAGGCAAGCTGTAGTTGTTATCCTTCGGTGAATAAGAGAGAGAAATTGCCTAAGGCTCCCAAGTAGCTCATGCAAGCCTGTTATATTTAGAATTGAGAAGAAAGAAAATTGTACGTGTGTGTGTGTGTATATATGTATATGTGTGTATATGTATACACATACACATATACATACACATGGCTATTGCTTTCATAATGAAATAATAATTGCTTGTGCACATAGTCATTGAGTTTTGTGTGTGTGTGTGTGTGTGTGTATGTGTGTGAATGCAAGGACATAAATTCTACTTGTGTTTAGGTGATGCACAAATGTGTCACAATGAGTACAGGTAGAGCTCAACTTACGACCATAGTTGAGCCAAAACATTTTTTTGTTAAGTGATTGTTAAGTGAATTTTGCTCAATTTTATGACCTGTCTTAACAAGTTGTCAAGTGAATCACTGCTGTTGTTGAATTAATAAGTGAATGTGGCTTCCCCATTGACTTTGCTGGTCAAAAGTTCGCAAAAGGTGATCCCGTGACCCTGGGGGTGGTGCAACGGGCATAAGTGTGAAAATCAACCATAAGTCACTTTTTTCAGTGATGTTGTAAGTTTGAACGATCACTAAATGAACTGTTGTAAGTCGAGGACTATCTGTACTCTTTTCAGAAGAGGTTTTCCCTCTGTACAAGAAGAGGACCGTCTCTTCAAAGAAGATAATTTCACTAGAATCTGGGAAGAATTTAATTTTCTGCATCAGAAAAATATTTCGCCTTTTTAATGTCCTTTGCAGGTTTGCGATATTTCCCAGAAGCCAATATTCATTTGTTAGACAGTCTCACGGGAGATGGAAAAAAACTGGATTTAAAATATAATGGCAGTTGCTGTCTGGAGACATTTTACAATGAGCCTAAGCATCCAAATGGAAACTCTTACCGGCTTCAAGCTTGGATGTACTGTTCCCGCTTTCTACAGTATGCAGATGCTCTCAGCCATCTCTTGAGTACAGGTGATTAGCAACATTTTATTAACGTAACCAAGTGAAACAACAATTGGGATTCCTGCTGTGTAGCAGTGTCACTGCCTGAGCACCTCAATGGGTGGCCAGATTGGTGATGGGGTTCTCCAAGCTTATGGTCCCAGGGGACTTCAACCTGCCTTCTCCGGGAAGGGGGTCAGAGGTCGCTCTGGCGTTCATGGCCACCATGACCATCACGAGACTGTCCCAGATCACCTAGATGCTGATCATCTGGCGATCATGGATTTAGGGGAGATAGTATTTCTCCCCTATCATGGTCAGATCACTCCTTAGCAAGCTTGCGGTTCTCTGGAATCAGCCCCTGCTGTAGGGAGGCTAGATTGGTTAGGTTGGACCACCTCAGGACTTGGAAGGTTTCAGAGGAGCTTGCAGTTGGTCTGGGCGTGGTCATACCTGTGGACATGCTGCACGGTCTGACAAAACTCTGGTAGCTATTTGTGACTTTGAACTGGATTGCACTGAGCAGCCTCTCTGCAGCCGTGGATCCTGGAAGGTCTCCTAGTTTACAGAAGAGCAGAGGGAGATGAAGCAGGTGAACCGATGCCTAGAGCTCTGCTGGCAGACAACAAGGAGTGGACCAGTGCAGTCTAAAGCTGCTTTTAGAACCTGCCTCTTGATACTAAGAGAGGCAAAATATAATGCATCTCTGCACTCTTTCTTCATCCATAAATTACCATCTTACACCTTCATTCGGGTAACCCAGACCATCTTAGGAAGAAGTAGTAGTTATGGAGTTCAGCTGCACGGTTGTTGTGAGGAGTGTGCTGGGCACCTGACAGATGAAATCACTTGGATTTGCTCTGCATTGGACTCCAGCCTTGAAGCAGGTTCAGTGGAGGCTGCCAAACCTAGATCTTGCAAAGTTGTTTGTGAGAGTTTAATGCTTTGGGGGCCACCTCACCTCAGCTTGGCCCCCTCTGTGGTAGCTCCATGGTTCTCCTGGCTGGTTCAGGCTGCCTGGGGAGGGACTTGCGATTCGGTTTGGGCGATGGTTTATTCCTCTTTCCTCTTAAGGAGGCAGTGGTAGGCCTCTTGCTCAAGGGGTCATCCCTCAGCCAACCTTGCCTGGACAATTTTCATCCTTTCCCTTTTAGGGCAGGTGTAGAGAAATGGCCACACTGCAGCTTCAGTGGACTCTGGATGAAACTGTTTATTCGGAGATTAGGTTAACCCAACTGGCTGGCCTTTCTCAGAGCCCCAAAGATCTGATTTTGAGCCTAGGTCTCGGGCTCCGAGTGTGTTGGGTCTGTCTCCTGGTTATACTAATGATTAATGATTATTGTGTTTTATTTTTTGTTGTTTTATTTTTATATTGTTCACCAGTCAGAGTTACTTGTTGAGATGGACACCCATATAAATTGATTAAATAAGTAAAAAACCTTAGGAAACCTGCTTTTCTAAAAGCGGATTTTCCTAAAAAGAAACTGGGAAATGAAAGAAATGCACAGAGGGGTAAATGAGCCACCTCAGCAAACTAGGGAGTGCAAAATGTTTAAAACACGAAACTAGTCCAGACTGAAATGCCCTCTAGTAAATTTTATGGCTGTGATGCTCCCTTCGTTTCAGGACAAGGAGTCGTGCTGGAACGCTCCCCCTACAGTGACTTTGTTTTCCTGGAGGCCATGTCAAAGCAAAACTACATTCACCCAAGGTGTAAGTAATGCTCTCTTTGATCAAGAAGTGAAGATTGCTGGTGATCTTCCTAACCTTCTATTCCCCCAAATTTTTACAATTCTACATTCAAATTCCCCATCCCATTCTTAGAGCTATATTTCTATTCCCACTGAAATTTCCACTGGGGTTTATTTTATGGTCAGTGACAAAGTTGTGTAGTAGCTTTTCAACATGGACGTTAGGTTGGGGTGATGCGATTGGATCCTCAGTGCAAGAAAAGATTGTGAGTTTTCATTCTTGGTATAACTTTAGTGCAAAGCTGACCTAAACCTGATGAACATGTAGAAATAACACAAAATATTTAAAACAGGATTCTTTAGTTAGAAAAACCATCATTTCTACTTCATAAGTGTTGCCTTACTTATGAAACATATTTGTATGCAATCATAATGACTCTTGGAAGCTCACATTGAATCAGTACAAATAACAAAGCTCCCTGCAGAACAAACAACAAAGATATTTTTCTCAAGAAAACAGAAGAGATTTCTTCAAGGAAGGGATGGGGTATTTAGTTTCTTTCTCAAGGTCTTCAACCTCTGATTTTCATCTTTTATTTATTCCATCTTCTGATCAATCTCTACTGACTTGTCTTCTATTTTCTGAATTCTTTGTTCATTCTTTGTAACCATCTGTCAGAGGCTTTCTAGTTGAGAATTTATGTTATTAATTTCTTGATTCATTTTATCAAAGTTGTCTTTTGTCTCATTATTTTTCCTTGTATCTTCTTTGTGAGAGGAGATTGCCTCTTGGATTGCTTGTAATGCCACTTGCATTTCCTTCTGAAAAGTGTTAGATTTTTCTTGTTAAAGCATTGATTTGATTGATCTCTGATACACAGGGCTTGCAAAGGTGGAGAATGAGGCTGAGGGCGTTTTCTTGCCAGTTTTAGCTAAATTCAGAATACTCATTTTTGTTTCTACCCCCCCAAATCTTTTATCAGCTCTAATACTTTTCCCAAACGCCCGCCTTAAACAAAACCATTCAATACCATAATATATCATTTAAATTTGTCTTAAATATCTCTTATAGTTCTTGTCTGTAGTCTCTGTCATCCAATACACTCCCTGAAAGAAAAGGGAGCACAAAGAAAAAAGATTAGTAATCTACTTCTATTTGTGAGGCTCACTTCCACAGCAATTGTCCAAAATCCAAGGTTATAGCTCAGTCAGAATTTATAATTCGCAAGGTCCTACTATTCAAAGTTAATAGTCCATAGAACCTTCTCCAAGGGAAATCACCAACAGTTGAGCTTCCACTGTCCTTTCTGAGATTAAAAATCTATAATCCAATGGGCTCCCCAGGCAACAAGAAGAAAAAGAAAAAAAAAACAAAAGGAAAAAAAATGGGGAGAGGGAAAAAAAGTTTATAATCTTCTGACACCAACTCTAACCAATTGTCCCAAAATCCAGAGTTGCAATCTACCAAGGTTATAATCCCAAATGTCTTACTGTTGATAGTTCCTTACCATTCACTCTGTCTCTGAACGGTTTGTAAAATTACAGGTCAAACAGTATTTGTAATCCAAAGAAGGTTGACTCAGCCTTCCATCAAGGTTGAGTCAGCCTTCCATCCTTCCGGGGTAGGTAAAATGAGGACCCAGATTGTTGGGGGCAATGTAAATATATATATACATTGCTTACAGGTGTACACCGCTTAGAGAGTGCTTGCACTTAAAGCGGTATATAAGTCTCATAAATAAATAAATAAATAAAGAAGCCAGATGGCTTCAAAATAGTTTGTAGTTTTAGTTGTAATCCATCCTGCAGAAAAGACAACCCAAGAAGTTTTTCTCTTTTCCCAGCTGCAATCTACAAGGCTACTGAGTTCAGAGATATCAGAGGATTTGGTCTGTATCTGTGTCTGGGCTTCAGGCCAAGTTCCCTCACTACAGACAAAATATAAACAGAACTTAGTGTGGTTCTTTTTTCTCGCCAGATGTCATCAGGTGTTTGTTTTGTAACTTTCCAGCCAGGATTTTTTTCTTAAAGCTTTACTCTGATACTCTCCAAGGAAGGTAAAAATTTTTTTAAAGTAAAGTATTTTAACTCCCCAAACTTTTTTCTCTCTGCTGTGTCCAAGTTAATTTTATAGTATTCTCTATTTTCCCCCAAGAAAGCTTAAACCACCACTTTTATTCTGGGAGAAGGGGTAAAAAAAAGGAAACCTCCCTCCTTCCTTTAGTTCTGGGAGTTTCCTTTTTTCCAAGAACAAGTTTTTAAATCGTAGAGGAAGGAAAATAATCTCATCCAGATTCAAATGCTCATGCTTGTTAGAAGCCGCTTTTTTCTCTGGAGGTCAGCAGCTTCTGACTGGCTGCATAGGTGTGGCCAGTCTTTCTCCTGTTGTTCTGAGAGCTTCCTTGGAGCAAGTGGGTCAGCCGCCGTCTCCCCACGATCTAGAAGGGTCCCCTCTTGCTTTGTCACCTCTCTGGGGTGACTTCAGGCCCTTTTCAGGCCCCCAGCAGGAAGAAACCGGGCGTGGGAGGCAGAGCCCTGCTTCCTTGCGTCCATCTTACCATAATGTCAAAACCGGAAGTCAAAGCTTACTGCTTTTTTGACAAAGTGACTAAATTAGTAGATAAGGATAATGCTGTGGACATAGTTTACTTAGACTTCACTAGGCATTTGACAAAGTAGACAGCTTGTTTGTTGGTAAGATAGAACAATATGGGATAGACAGCATCACCACCAGATGGATCCGCAGTTGGCTGACCAACTGCACTCAACATGTAGTCCTCAATGGTATTACCTCTACATGGAAGGAAGCATGAGGGAAACATGGGGGCCAGACAAGAAGTAATGGGTGGAAGATTATTAAAGAGAGATCCAGCCTAGAAGTAAGGAGAAATTTCCTGACCATGAGAACAATTAATCAGTAGAACTGATTGCCTCCAGAGGTTGTGGGTGCTCCATCCCTGAAGGTTTTTAAGAAGAGATTGGGCAACTATTTATCTGGAGTGGTATAGGACAGGGGTGTCAAACTGGCAGCCTGCGGGCCGAACGTGTCACCCTGGCACCGCAAAGGCAAAAACCATCATGATACGTCACGATACATCATGTGACGCGATCGAGTTTGACACCCATGGCATAGGATCTCCTGCTCGAGTAGGGGCCTTGAAGGTCTCTTCCAACCCTCTTATTCTAAGTAAGGAAGCCCAATGCTTCTGCTTGCTTTCCTTAAAACACGTTGCATGGTTAGGTGAATAAATCATTTGCATACGTATGCTGCTTTTTTTGTAGGTGTGAAACACTACTATAGGATGAAGCATCTTAGTATTTGTGAAATTTTGCCTCCTCACCTGGTCCTTTATATTGATGTTCCTGTCTCAGAAGTTAAGAAAAGGATTGACAAGATAGGAGAGGTAAAGTTGCATTTGTGTCTCAGTTTGTGACCAGGACAATTTGTGCTGTTGGGGGTTTTGGCTGTTTCTCTGTTGCTTAAAGCTGAAGTTGAAGCTATTTGGCAGGGACAAATTAACTTTAAATATAGGCTAAGTCTTCCAATATCTATTGCTCCTTGTTTTTAATCCAGCAGCTCTGAGATGGATTGACTCTTAGTTTCTCTGAGGAAGAAGCTCCCTGCATGTAGTAAATAGATCCCTTTCAGATCCAGCTGATCTCACCTGAAGGGAGTGGTCAGCTGGTGATGAACCTCCTAGAATCCACCAGGATTGAGGTGGTGGGTCCATGGAGGGAAGGAAAGAAGTTTGCTCAAAGATGCTTGGTTTTTCCATAAATATTTTAAATTCAAGAGCTAAAGCGTAAAGCCATACAAATCTGATCAAGTCAGCTAACAGAATTATTCTCATGAATCGCATTTTGTTTTTAGCCCTATGAAAAAAACGTATCAACAGCATATCTTCAAAGCATTGAAGATGCCTATAAGAACTCTTTCCTGCCACAGATGAGGTAAGTGGAATGTGGGACGTGCCTCTTTTAAATGGTCAGAATTCTGTGGAATACTCTGAGCTTTTTAACCAGATTATGCTTTTTAAACTTTTTAATAATAACTGTTTTTTTTACTTATATTGCTTTATATTTGTTGTGTACCACTCAGTTACTTCTAGCGAAGTGTGTGTGTTGGGGGAGGGTGTATAGCATTCTGACAAAAGACTACCAAGTGATTCCAGCAAGATTTGTTTTAGATAAATTCATGCTGAGGTCTGATTATTACATTTGGTCTTCAAGTTGGTTGTAGACTGATCAGTTATTTGCGCTCCAGGCTCCCCAGGGCCAAACACTGGTGATCTGCCCTTTCTTGGATCCTTCTCTCTCTTCGTTGACCCTTAGGATTTCTTTCTTTATTTGTGCCAGAGCACCTTCAAATTATAGACATATAACATTCCACACTGAACAGGTAAAATAAGTAAAATAACATAAGTATAAAATAGATCATAGAGCACATATAAAAAGTATATAAAATAAATAGGATTAAAAGTAGATGACATCCACCCAGTATCAGGCCACATCAGCAATCCTTTCTCTTGCCTGCATGAGGTCTTCCTCTGTGCATTTGAAGGCCATTGTGTGCACTGTAGTATGTGTGAGATGGATTGTTCTTCTGCACATTCACTCAGAGTATCTTCTGTAGAAAAGCCCCATTTTCTTAGATTGTCCTTTGACCTTCTATTTAGCAGTTTCCATACAGGCCAAGGTTGTTCTTGACCAGGCGGAAAGCGGCTGTGTGGTTGTGGCCAGTGGCCTGATAGCTTCTTACTCACCTTCCAAAATTCCAGGGCGTTTTGTGGCAGCTGCTTGTTGAAGAAGCTCTTCCTTGATTTCAATCTTAACCTTGCAGGTTGTTGGCGTATAATAGGTGTGTTTCTGCAGAGGTCACTTTAACCCATGTTTTCTGGATCTCTTACTCCAGTTTTAGATTTAATGATCTTGTATTTTCTAAATCAAATGGCTTATTGCTATTCTTTTCTTTCTAGTGAGACCTCGGAGATCTTGCAATATACAGCCAGTGAACTTGACAGCATGGAGAGAGTAAGTGGTAGGAGCCAACACTCCTCCCTTGTGTAGAAGGCTTTCTAGTAATATATTAGACATCACTTGCTGGCTTTAGGTCACAAAGAAATCAGACTAAAACAGGCCAAAAGAAGTACAGTTATTGTAAGCGAAAGGAGGGATTTAAAAAAAAAAAAAGTTGAAGGAACTAGCATTTAAACAAATAAAAGATGGAATGTGTTACGAAGGTAAAAAGTTGTGTAACCATTTAACATTAATGCGAGAAGCAACAGTAGAATATTTTTTTTGTTTCTTTGAAATCAGATTAAATTTGCAAAAGACAGAAGCAGAATTTTTCCACTTTTTATGTTGAGAAAGTTGGACAGGTGGGAGCTTTGTACCATGAAGGAATTGGGGTCAACTCTTCCCTCACCAATTAAAAGATTTCAGTTTGTAGGGTTATAGGAATTGATTCCCATCTTTTAATTTACAGATTATTGAAGACATTGAAATGCTGAAATTTGATAAAGGACCTTGGCTTGTACAAGATGATCTTACCTTGCATTACTTGAGGTGTTGGTAAGTTCAGCACTCACGGTTGAGAGACATGCTGATTTTTGGAATTTAAGACAGGAAGCAGCCCGTAAGAAAGTGGCCTTCTTCCCAAGAAGCATTTGTGGTGTTTAGTCTGACTGGTGTAATCCAGAGCTGTGACTCCAGAGGGATTTTGTACCAAAGCCTCCTCCAGAGAGCAGGCTGAGGTATTTCTCTTGTGAAGCTGAGGTAGGAGGCAAATCCTAGAAGAGGCTCCAGGGTTTCCATGAGTACCTTACTCTGGGCTTCGAGAACTATTTACATATTTCATTTTACATACAGTATCTACACCTCTCTAACCATAGCATAAAATGTGGAGATTATGGCTGTCAGAAAGATTAAAACAATTTCCAGGGTTGACAGTACATATGTGGATCAGTTTATAAATGTTATAACTGATGCTTGTTTTCCATTCTTTGACACACAAACCCCAATCATTTACCCTTCTCCCCGCTCCCCGCATCCTGCCACGTAGGGAAACTACAGTGGAGCAGATTTGGTGAAAGCTTTTCTGTTGCTCCCCAGTAAGAAAAAATGTGTCGGGATTGACTGTAAAGCTTGAAGAGGCACAATCGGAATAGAGAAAGCTTGCCTGCCCCCCTTTGTGGAAAGTGTTGGGGTGATTAGGTGGCCCTGCAGTGCTTGTCTCCTTTAGGGCTCTTGATGGGGGGGGGCAGATCCACTCTGCCATTTCTTTCCCAGCAGGGAAGGGAGAAACTTTCTTTCCCCCGTGCAAATCGTACAGCTCCGATGGAGACGCCAGGAGGCCTCTGTGCAGGAAAGGGGGCAGGCCGGGTCCTCCCATGCTTTTTGTTAGGAATCTCCATGCTGGCTCACAGCAGCAACAGTTTCTCTTATGCTTTTTCAAGTTATATCCAGCAAAGCCAGCCATCATTTGTCCCCAGCACCTAATCCTCAGGAATTAGTCTGCTTGTACCCGGTGCAGGCTTCATTTTATCATCAGAGACAATTTAACTTGTGTTATTCTTTCTTTCTACCCTTGTGCAAGTTATACATCTGCAAAATCTTCCAGGCTGAGAGTGAGTGACAGCCCGGGTAGGTTGTGGCTTCCTTTCTGTGGGATGGTGGAGAAGTCATGGAGATGTGCTCCATCCCTTTAGCTAGAGGAAGAGATTGCTTTCTATATTCACCAACCCAAAATCTGACCTCAGATACTTTGCCGAGTGAGGAAGTCCACAATTCATACTTGGCTAGCTTCATAGTATGTCTGTTTCTCCTACTTGCTTCTTGATTTCTTTGGATCAATCACCGTTACAAGCTTTCTTTTCCTTTCAGTGTTAATGACAAATCCAAACTACTGAGTCCTCTGACGGTTCCCGACTACATTCCTGAAGTCACAGTAGGAGGCCTCGATGCTGACACAATCTACCACAGCTACAGGGAGGTAAGAGGACATTCTCTGGAGAAAATCCGTGTGGCCATTAAGTGTGAAGCCTGAACCAAGGCTGGTCCTCGGTCAAGAAGACCTTCGGCTGCCTGTGGAGAGACTGGCCATCGGCCGCTTTGGCCGACCACAGCTCGTTTTTCTTGGGGTGAGCCTGCTGCCAGTCAAGTACTCCCGTTTGAAGGTCACTGATTTGTTTTGTTACTGGATCTTAGACTGGTAGAGTTAAAGACGAAATACATTTTATTAATAAATTATTTTGATTATTTTATTTAATAATTTGAAATTTCAAATCAACTGATGCTGGACCAGTTCTTCTCACAAAGCCTTGGAAACGCCACTTGGAAGAAAGCAGAGACTTCCCTGCCAAGTGTCAGTTCCCAGGACTTCCTGAGGAGAAAGATCATTGGATCAAGGATACGGGACGGACCAGCTCAGAGAAGCAGAAGCAGAAGCAAATGTTTACTTAAAGCTGAGGGATCTTCCCTGCTTTCCTTTCATTGCAGCTTCCTGGACGCATGTTTGCACCAGGTTACAATGCTGATGTGGGAGACAAGTGGATCTGGCTAAAATAGCCCATTTCCTTGGAAGAATGAAGTTGGCCACAGAAGGACGATGAAGCGCCTGTTAAGCTGCCAGCTGTAAATAGGTGACATCTTTAGCAAAGGTGGCAGGTCTTCAGCTGGAAGAACCAGCCAAAAAGGAAGTTATCTTCACGCTCAATCAATATTCGTCTGAGCAGAATCCCACTAAGACAAAGAAGGGACACTGTGGCAAGCTTGGTGAATAAAATGGCATCTAGTCCAACCTGGAGCTTCCTATATTCCTGGCTGAAAACATGAAGTCCCTCAATATGGTTTTTGTCCGTATCTTTTGTCTTAGCCCCCGTGCTTTATTTCCATCAGAAGGCCCTGCAGACACAGCTTTTCTTTCCCAAAGGCCTGCTTGTCCAAGGCAACACATTCCTCTCTGGGAAACAGCAGAAGTCTCGGCTCTGCTCGGCTGGCAGAGGCCACTTCTGCTCAACACGGGGCACCAGAGCAGAGGTCCTGCCTTTCGGACAGGACTCCACGGCCATTTGCAGTAAATAAAGTCTCAGAAACAGCCCAATTAGATTGAATGTTTCAGAACAGAGTTCCCCAACCTTTTCGGCTTTGAGGACTGCTGGAGGGGGAGGGGGAATGGTTCCACACAAGCGGTGGGCAAGCGTGCGCATGTGCTCACCTGCTTTTTGCACAAGTGGGGAGGTGCACGCTCGCCCGCCACTTCCGCAACCTGGTTCTGAATAGCTCAAGGCCGGGAGGTGGGCCACGGCCCGGGGACTGGGAGCCCCCACTTTAGAATTCCACCACCCGAGGGAATTGAGCCACCCACCAACCCCAGTTCCAAGGAAACACCAGCCCAAAACGAAGCTTTTTGAATAAAGCTGCTTCACATTTAATTAAAAAGGGGGAAATTGTCACAGATTTTGACATCAGCAAAAGTAGGTTGGTGGGACTGAACTACAGTAAGAGGCCCACATTTAACAACAATCATAAAAGTAGCGCTCTACATTTGCACAGAGTGGAATGACAGGAAAGGGAACGGCAGGGTGGGCCGAAACTGTAGGAAAGTGGATGAGCGGAGTTCCAGGCTCTCGCGGCAGAGCCTCTGAAGGCAGTTCCCACCAATTTGTGGCACAGCTTTGTTCTCGCGCAGCTGTATTTCAGGTGGGGCACTCGTCCCACATCAGGATTTGCCACTTTGGGGCGTTGGAATGCAAGAGAAGCCTTCCGCTTTCTTCACGGCTCATCCTAAAGTGCCAGGTTCCTCAAGAGCCGATCGGGCAGCAGCCTCCTTTCTGCTGAGCATGACATCCTTGGGAGATTGTTTGCCATGAGGGTTGGAGAGCCCCCCCCCGCCCCCCCTTTGGATCTGCGTAGCTCGGAGTTCCTATTTGCAAATGAACTTTGGGCAGGACTCTTCCATCACTTGATTCTTCTTTGGGGCTTTCCTGTTCATGGGTGAGTGGAGATTCCACACCCACCTCTAGGCCTGCAGTGAGGATCTCAGCCTTGTGCCTGTTAGCGTAACTGGAATGAGGAGATGCCTCCTGATCCCCATCACCCCCCCCCCCGCAGCCAGCAGCTGTCAGGGTGGCGCTCTCCCAGGCCCTCCTGCCACCCAGCTCTCGTGGCCCAGCAGCAGCCATTATGCCTGTGTCCACCTCTACACAATCAGATGCCCGTTTGGTGGGTGATGGAGGGAACAGGGTCTCTGCACACTCTTGCCTCTGCTGTGTGAGAAGGTTCATGCGCAGACCCCTCCTCTGAAGGACTTAAACTGTCCCAGAAAGAGTGAAGTTGCAGGGCAATCTTAAAAAGATGTGTTTCTGGGGAAGGGGATTCAGAATGAGTGCTGTGGGGCCTCATGCACCTCCCCGTTTGTGGGGGAGCAATCCTCCACCCTCCAGGGACAGGGCAGTGGGAAGCCAGCTGCAGCCAGGACAAAGACCCGCACAGGCAGTTGCACCGCTGCCCAGAGCCCCACCTGGAAGCCCAGCCCAAGTCTGGGCACTAAGAAGGCCCATGACGAGAGGAGGGCAAGCTGGGGCAATCCAAGGTCCCAACTGCCTGGGGAGGAGAATGAAGGCAGCTAGGAGGGAGACTGGCCCTTTTGAGGTGCCTCTGGTTAGGGGTGCCTGCTCCACAAAGCTTGCCATTTGGCCACGGGGGACAACCAAGGCAGTGACGACGTCCCTCCTGCTGAATGGTGGTTGAGGAGGTGCCTCTCAGATGCCAGGGAAGCAGAGGTGCCCCCCTTTCTCACCCAACTATTCCAGGTTCTGGCTCATGCTCGGGGGGGGGCTACACACTCCTAGGCAGCTCCTTTTCTCTTGCCCGACTGGGGCCCGCCGGCCGGCTTCCTCATGGCTGGGAGGGGGGGAGGAATGTTCCTTGGCGCCTGCTCAAGAGGTGCTCTAAAGCCTCTGCGATGCACAACACACGCGGAGCTCACGCTGGGCAGGGAGGCTGCAAGAGACTCAGAAGAGAAAGGCTTTCTTCTTCAGCTCGTTCCGCTTCCACAGGGCCAATCGGGAGAACTCCTCCGGGGGCATCTCAAAGACCTTCTGGAAGTCCTCGGGCGACAGGTGCCGCTGAGGGGGGAGAAAGAGGATGCTGCTTGGCCTAGCCCACAGCTGCTAAGCCAGGTCTGTCCCTGTCTGCCTGGGCAGGAGGGGAGGCACCATACCTCAAGTCGCGTTCGGTCCACTCCCGGGGGCAGTTTGACTCGCCCTCGGTTGGTCACCATCAGCACCTCATACGGATAAATCTTTGGCGAGGGAGAAACAAACAGCCAGCTGGTCATCAGGCCTGGCCTGTGGAGGAAGGCCTTGCTTTGCGGCCACCCTGTGCCCCCCAGGTGGGTTCTCACCTTCTGCTCCAGCATGCTGGGGAGGGAGCTGCCTCTGTCCATGCGGCTTCTCTGGCCATTCTGCAGGGGAAGAGGCACAGGTGGCCCTCAGCTGAAGGCAGGGCTTCCCATCCATCCCATGGGATCAGGGTGGGCAGCCCCTGCCCCCTCCTCAGGCCTGCCCCTCCCGAGTCTGGGGGTGCTGGGTATGGGCAGGCGTCAGTGCGTGCGGCCTCTGTGCTGCTCTCTTCCCCCATCAGGGTGCCTGCTCACCTGCAGACCTGCAAGATAGAAAGGAGAATATGGCCGGGCCATGAGTGGAGAGGAACAGAAAGACTCCAGGGGCCCAAAGGGGGGGGGGGACTGCCTCTGCTCCAAGCCTGCAATGGACAGGAGTTTCTCTTACCTGGACTGCCTTTCTCACTGCTGCCAGTTCCAAACTCTGTCGACTGCAGCTAGGGAAAGAGAGTAGCAGAGCAGCGTCATCCACGGGGCAAGGCGCCTTCTCTCGCCTCCCGCCAGGTTGACTACGAACAAGGCAAGGCTTGAGCAGCTGTGAAAATGCTGCTGTCCAGGCAGGGCTGGAACCTGAAGCGTGCAACCCGGGTGAGGCAGGCAGGGCAGGACAGGCACCCCACGGGCTTGTTCAGTGCAAACCTAGCTGGAGGAATTGGGGCAGGATGGCTGGCTGAAGAGAGGGAAGGGCAGGGCAATTTGAAAAGGGGGGGAGCCACTACCCAGAACATGCTCTGTTCTCTTTGAAAGCTGAGGCCTTCCTTCCACCCTCCCCCATCTATCCTTCCCTCCCCTTCAATTTCATTTCATTTCCATCTTCGGACAACCAAGAGCAAGAACTTATTTGAAAGTGGAAATCCAGAAACATCAATGCAAGGAAGTCTTCCACAACCTGCCTGCCCCTTTTCCTTGCTTGCCTTCTGAGCCCCCCAGGCCCCACCTTGCTCCAGAGGGTCTCCCCTTACCCTGGCAAGCGTATTTCTCCCAGAGGCAGGAAGCGAGGCTGATTTTGAGCTCCCTCCATGCAGAGCTGGAAGAGAAGAAGCTGGTCAATGTGGGGCAATGAAGGCTACAGAGGACGGACTGCTTGGGGGGGGGTGGAGCAGGAGCACCTTTTGCTGTGACAGGCCAGGAGATCTGGCAATGGGGGGGGAGCCAAGCAGCAGATGGGAGTCCGTTAGCTGGGGACCCAGAGGGCTTCAAAACACCAGAACCCACCACTTTATTTATTCCTGCTCTTAAGGAGCAGCACAAGGACAAGAAAGGCCCAAACACTTCTGTGGTTAATTTCTAAACTATGAATGGCCGGCATTGGGATTAAAGGTTTTACAAACCCAAACTTCCCAGTCTTCCTAGCCTCTTTGGGGAATTGAATGAATCACAGTTCTAGTGTAAACTTTTTCCATCACCCTGTCCCGAGGGCAAGCCCGCTTCCTTCTCTCGTGGGAAAGGGCAGATATGCAGCACTCAGGGCGGAAATGCCAATTCACGGCAGCGCCAACCGCAGCTGCTCTCAAAAACGGGAGTGCCCTTAATGGCGATCCATGCCAAAGGGCCGCCTCGCCCTCCAGAACAACGGCCCCTTGACCATCTCCAGTCCAATGAAGAGACAACCTTCACACTCAAGCTGTCATTGTAAGAGAGTGTCATGCAGCTACACAAAAAAGGGAAGGCCGTGCTAGACCTTGTTAACGGAAGGACCACCCCAAGATCAGGAGTCCCCTGCACTGCACTGGTCGTCCTGCACCGACACTGTAGCATCAGCTCCGCACACGGCGTTTGAGGGAGAGTTTGAGAAACATTTCTAGAGGAGAGCAGCCAGGTGGAGGGCAGATGACGATGACACTCAAGTATCCCAAAGGCCACCATATGGGGTGGGCCTAGTCTGTAGTAGCTTAAAGACAGGGCAAGAAACATTGGGTTTTAATCACAAGAAAGCAGATTTGGTTGGCCATCAGGATGAATGTCCCCATAGTATGAGCCAGTGTATTCTTGGATGCAGCTGTTTCAATAGACTTTTTAGAGCCCACTCATCTGTTGGTGCAGATTCCTGCTCTATCAGGGGGGTGGATTAGATCATCTCCAAAGTCCCTTCCAAGGCTGATATTACACTCTAGGATTCCATGCAAACAGCCCACCCTCCCCATGCTCCTCCTCAGCACTGACAGGGGGGGGGCATCACTCACAGGCATGGAAGGGAGTTCGATCTGGAAGTGAGCGGGTCTTCCTCCGGACTGGGAGAGATTTCTCCATCTCCTCCTTCAGAATGAGTTTGCCCAGATTGGAGGCCACCTAAGGTGGTGAGAAGGAAGAGTGCCGAAAGGAACCCCCAACTGACCCGCCCCCTCCCCACGGTGCTTCCCGCTACCTTGCTCAGCTCCTGTTCCTGCAGCTCCTGGAGACTTTTCATCTCTTCTGAGTCCTCATCCACATCCTCACCTCTCTTGGACGCCTTTTGCCTCCGCCACTCAGTCTCTGGGAGGGTGCAACCAGGATTTACTAACTGCAGTTTGTGTGTGTGTGTGTGCGCGCGTGCATGCGTGTGTGCCTGTGCCCACAGAAGGCCTAGAAACCAAAGGTTTTTGTCTTGCAATACTTGAATGAGCAGGTCCTTTAAGAGCGATCTTAAAGTTCTCCACATTTCAAAGGAAACTTGATCTGGAACTGGGACCTTTGTGCTTCATTAAGCAACCCTTCAGAATTTGGGGAGTCCATCAGCTTTGAGGAAGATACAGAGTCTCCTATTTGAGCAGGGGGTTGGACTAGAAAACCTCCAAGGTCCCTTCCAACTCTGCTATTCTGTTCTGTTAAGGAGAGGCAGAGAGGGCCCTGGACACAGCTGAGGGGCTCCTGAGAGAAGAGAACCTGGGCTCACACCAGGTGGCATCCTCCTCTCTTCTGCCTTTCAGATCGCCCTGCTTTTTCTTGGGTAGCCTTCTGACTCAGCCTAACAAAACCAACTGTGGCTTTTCCATTTTTTCTGTGGATCAACACCGATAATTGTCCTTCTTTTATAAAATGAAAGGACCCCGAGGGAAGACAGAGGAGGAGAACATTCCCTGGAGCCTGAGCGGTTTGGTTGCTGCCCAGAGCAGCAGATCTACAGCGAGGGCTGCCGGGGAAGAGTACCTACCCATGACTGCCAGGGAGGGCGGGCAGGGCCAGTAGTCGGTCTCGATCTTGGCCGGCTGGCTGGGATCCGGTGGCTGAGCAGCAGGGAATTTGGAGGATTCAATAATCAGGCCCTCAATCGGCCGTTTGCTCTCGGGAGTTGGTGCCAGCCCAGCGTCTGGAAGAAATCAACAGTCCTGAGTCCCAGATAACGCTACCACCCCCCTACCCCCCTCACAGGAGCAGCTCCTACCTCTCTGCTTGTAGATGGGGGGCTTCTTGTAGATGTTCATCTCCGCTGTGTTGGTCTCTGGGGAAGGAATAGAAATGGGTGAGCACCTCCATGAAAAGAGGATGCCCAGGTCCACCCTGTTCCCTCTCCCTCCCTCGATGGTGTATTTGCAGAGTAACTCCACTTTTTTGGGGGGGGGGGCTGCACCCTGCTGACCCAGAGGCTGGAATAAAACCAGCATGTTAGACCACCTGCAAACCACCCAGAGGAGAAAAACCAAAAGGGTGGGCTTGGACAAGGGGGGGCTCGAAGAGGCAAATGGGTGGCCCCCGTGCCCCTTCAAAAATGGCCCCAAACGTTAGGGAAATGAGCCTCTCTGCAGCTCTTGGACCAGACTCAGAACGATGCGGTGCAGAAGTCCTGGCAGTTGGAGCAGGAGGGGCTCACTTGCCCCGAGGAAGGCCGTACCAGGATGATGGAAGTGCTGGACTCCAGAGCGGTTTCTGCTGCCGGCCCGGCGCCCGGAGGCCTTGCCAACACTTCCTGGGGATTTGGCCTCTGCCCAGTCATGGCTGACCTGAAAGCAGAGAGCGCATCGACAGAGGGACACCAAGGAGTGGCTGCTGGGCTTTGTATCCCCTCCTCCCGAGAGTGGCTCCTTTCTTCAAAGCTTCCTTGCCAAGGACAGCAAGTCTACCATATAAGCAGACCTAGTCTGAGCCCCCCCACCCAAGTGCCAGCAACTCCCTGCCCATCCAACCGTCCATCGGAGGAGCACTTACTTCTGGCGATGGGGGAGGAGAGAGAGACGTGGGTGAGAGCGAAGGCTGCAAGAAGAACAGCCGGGAGAGGCGTACGTTACTCGACCTAATGTTACTCCGCTAAAGCCCCTCACGGTTGCCCTAACATTGCCAAGCTGCTGCTGTGATCACTGCAGGAAACTCGTCTGGGAGCAGTGCGATAGCCTGGCCGTCCTCCACTCCCCCAGTAGGACAGACCAGCCCCACCGACTGCAGGCCTCACCTCTCGGCTCCCTGGCCGGTCCACGTGGTCGAGGAGGGAGTAGGTGAAGTGGGGCTCGTAGATCATTAGGTCAGGACGCTCGATGTCCAGGATCGCCTTGTCCCTGGGGATGGCTGCCAAGTCCTTGTAGCCAAGGACTTCGTCGTCCATTTTGGCCTGGGAACAGGAGAGAAGAGGCCGGGGGGAGGGGCCATCTTATGAGGTTGGCACAGAAAGAGAAAAGCAAGGTGCTTCCACAAGGCCGCCCCATTCTTCCAAGCCTAGATTGGGACCCCCCCCGGGGAGCTGCCCACATTCTGTTGGGACTTAGGGAGCATAAGCCAGAGCCAAGGTTGCGTAGCACCTCCCCAGTGATGGGAGAGCTGGTTTGATCATGTGGTTAAGGTAAAGCAGGAAAACTCAAGTTCGAGACCCACCATGGCCACAAAGCCAGCCCGGGAGGGGGTGTCTGCTTCTGCCCTCTCGAGAGGACCCCAACCCTTCACACACTAAATTTCCTCCTTGGGAAGCGAAAGCTTTCAGAGGGACTGGAATATGCCTTGAGGGCCAGATGAGTCTGTGAGATGCTGAGGGACTCCTGTGCCTCAACTCCACACACACCACCACCCCCACCCCCACCCCCACCCCCGGTTTCCTTTGTCTGAAGGTCCCAGTATCCCCTCTGGCTTCCCCATGCTCTTTTGCCCCTCCCTCAGAGCCGCTGTATCTGGGGGTGAGGGGCAGACAGGGCAGCCCCACTCCTGCCCAGCACTGCATGCGCCTGTCTCTTCCTGGCTCAGGCCAAGGAAGCTTTGCTCATCCCTCCCTCCAAGAGCAACTTTCTTCCCTCAAACTCTGGTGAGAAAAAGGCATTTTCTCTGCTCCCTCCTCAGAGCACCTTCCTTTGCCCTCTGCTCTCCTTGTTCTGTTTTTAAGCTCGCCAAAGTTTGCTAAAAGCAGGATAAGTGGACTCAAGGCATCTGCAGGCTCTCACCACAATGCTGGAGGGAGATCCGGGGATCCCTGAGCCCCGAGTCGAGACAATGATGCTCCTCGGGGAAGTCAGATGCTGCAAGGAAAAAGGAGGAGGCTAATTAGGAAGGCTCAAGCAGGCCTCTCGCTGCCTTTGGCCTCCTTCAGGAGCGTGGCCTCTTCAAACACTCACAGGCCTGAGAGCGATCAGCTCCCTTGGTGGGAGGTCAAAGTGCCCTCTTGTGTGAGGCAACAACAAATTGGCTACCAGTTCTGCCAAAGTGGTGCAAACTGGCTGAATCCCACCACTGCCTGCATCCTCCCTCCCCTTTCTCTGTCCACCCCCAACAGCAGGAAGGACCCGGCACCAGCCCGCTTCCACCTTTGGGGGCTCTTCCACAACTGTGAATAGGGGGCCTTTGGTATCACCACAGCAGTCATGACTGAGTCTTTTTTGCAGTTGTTCTGCCAACAACTGATTAACCTTCACCCTTTTCTTTTCTGTCTGAGCTGTGGGGAAGATGGAAGTCTTGCAACAGCCACTTACTGGCAGTGCCAGGGCCTCCTCTGCTTCCTCTGCTGCATTGCTGCCAATACCTCTGTGCAGAGAGGAGTAGCCTAAAGGAGAACGTTTGTAGCCCAGGCTTGAAATGGAGGCTCCCTGGTGGTTCTCTGAGCCGGGTCGTTTCCTTTCAGACGTTTCATTACCCAGACAAGGTAACACCAGTGCTACCTAGAAAGGAGTGGGCTCTGCTCACGAGTGCCCCCTACTAGCACTGATGATGTTGCCTAGTTTGGTAATGAAATGTTTGCAAGAAAACCACCAAACTCAGAGAGCACCAAGGACCTTCAGAAAGGAACACTGGGCACGTTTTCCAAACTGCTGAACAAACAATCCCCCACCCCCACCCCCAGAAGTTACCTTCTGCAACTTTTCCATTCAGCTTCCACGATAGCAGCTTCAGCTCACTCTGGGAATTCTGAAGGGGGGAAAGAGGAGACAGAGAGTTTAACAGAGGGATGCTCAGAGAAGGTGTGTGTGTGTGTGTGTGTGTGTGTGTGTGTGTGTGTGTAGATGTGCTGGCAGATTGCAGCCCCGGAAAGGGCCCTCAACCTGAGCCGGGCTGCGGCTGAAACCCCAGGGAGGGGGAAGCCTTTTCCCACTTGTGCAATGGAAGAGCAGCATCTCCACAAGAAGCCCCTATTTAACATATGGTAAAAAAAGGGAGGGGGTCTCTGCTTTTATATCAACAGCTATTGGTGCAAAAATGTAACTACACTAAAGAAATTCTGTGATGTGGACTTAGAGTCATTAATTATCAATTGCAAACCATTTTATTCTCCACAAGAGAGTTCTCCTCATTCCTTCTATTTGCAGTGTATGTATGTTTCAGCAGAAGCTTGCATAAACAATGCATTAGGAACTCTAGCTGACCAGATTATGTGGGCTGGAGAAAAATATCCTGATTCACCCCTCATTGTGTTAGGAGATTTCAACTTAACTTAAGCCAAGAGCTACCAAAATACTTCCAGCATGTCAACTGCCTCACTAGAGGCAAGAATACTTTAGACCACTGCTACACAATATTAAAAGATGCTTATCGGGCTTTCCCACGAACATCTGTGGGACACTTTGATCACTGTATGATTCACCTTGTACATGTTTATAGAGGAAGGCTTAAAACCACAAAACCAACAATTAAATCAGTGAAGTCTTGGACTGAGGAGGCAAAGTTAAAGCTACAGGCTTGCCTTGACTGCACAGGTAGGAAAGTTTTCAAAAACACCTCTGCAGACCTGGATGAACTCACAAATACTGTAACGTCATGTTAGTTTTTGTGAAGACCTATGTGTGCCAACAGAAACCTGCAAATATACAGTAACAACAAGACTTGGTTCACAGCTAAACTCAAGCAGCTAGGTCGTGCCAAAGAGGAAGCCTACAGGAAAGGAGATAGAATGCTGTACAATCCGGCCAGGAATGTATTAACGAGGGAGACCGGAGCAGGAAAAAGAAGCTACTCTGAAAAACTAAGGAATCGGCTCTCAACAAATGAACCAGAAAATATGTGGAAAACTCTCAAAAATATCATTGGTTACAGCAAATCTCCTCTCCATGCCAAAGGGAATCGACAACCGGCAGATAACCTGAATGTGTTTAACTGTAGGTTTGAGAGGAAACCACTGTCACCTATCTCCACCACCTCCAACTCAGATACAACAGCCAAACCTCCTACAACCGACCCCATCCCCCTGGGCCCCCTACCTCTGGTGATCACAGAAAATGATGTGCAAGGTCCATTTCACAGATAAAAGCCTGGAAAAGTACCAGGCCCGGACAAGGTAACACTTTCTTGCTTGAAAGTTTGTGCTGACACCAATTGGCCCCTGTCTTCACCCGCATCTTTAATATATCACTAGAGATGTGCTATGCTCCTTTTGCTTCAAATGCTCTTATCATCCCAGTGCCAAAGAAACCCTCTATCAAAGAACTGAATGATTACCAACCGGTTGCTCTGACACCTGTAGTTATGAAAGCCTTTGAAAGGTTAGCGCTGGCCCACCTGAAAGCCATCACGGATCTGCTGTTAGACCCCCTTGCAATTTGCCTACCGAGCAAATAGATTGGCAGATGATGCTGTTAATACGGCTCTGCACTTTATCCTACAACATCTTGACTCTCCAAAGACCTATGCAAGGGTCCTTTTTGTAGACTTCACCTTGGCATTCAATACCATCATTCCAGATATTCTTCTCACTAACCTAAATCAGGTAGCTGTGTCTGACCACACCTGAAAGTGGATCATAAGCTTTCTAACAGACAACAAGCAACAAGTGAAGCTAGGCAAAATCACATCAGATACCTGTACAATTAGCACAGAAGCCCCCAGGTCTGTGTGCTCTCTCCACTTCTCTCTATGTACCAATGACTGCATCTCTTAAAGGCCCCTCTGTTAAAGTACAGACGTTTGCAGATGATACAACAGTGATTGGTCTCATTCCAGACGAGGAATCTGCATACAGACAGGAGGTTGAACAACTAGCCTTGTGGTGTGGCTGGAAAAACCTGGAACTGAACACACTCAAAACTGTAGAAATAGTAGATTTTAGGAGAAACCCTACTATTGTACCACTTCTTATAATACTAGAAAACACAATATTAATGGTAGAAACCTTCAAGTTTCTAGGTTCTATAATATCTCAAGATTTAAAATGGATACCTAACATCAAAAATGTCATCAAAAAAGCACAACAAAGAATATTTTTCCTGCGCCAACTCAGAGAGCTCAGACTGCCCAAGGAGCTGCTGATACAAGACAGAAGAATTATTGAGTCTGTTATTTGCACCTTTTTAATGTCTGGTTTGGCACTGCGACCAAGCAAGACAGACACAGACTTCAACGGATAGTTAGAACTGCGGAAAAAACAATTGTTACCGCCTGCCTTCCATCGAGGACCCACATACTGCAGAGTCAGAAAGAGGGCTGTGAAAATATCTGCAGACCCCTCACTTCCTGGAGATGGACTGCTTCAACTCCTCCCCTCAGGTCTGCTATAGGGCACTGAACGCCAAAACAACCAGACACAAGGAGTTTCTCCCTCCCCCCCCCCCAGTCATCACTCTGTTTAGAAAACTAATTCCCCAAAACATTATCAAACTACCTAGTAAGGCTGTATTACTATTATTCTGCTCACCTTTCTTATTACCTATCTCCTTATGACTATATCTTTGTTGCTTGTATCTCACGATTTATATTGTTTTATTTAGTATCCTAGTATGATTTATGTTGATTGTTTATTTAATATCCTTTGACTATCACTATTGTATCGTATGATTCATGATGAATGTATTTTTGTTGTTTATGATCATGATTTATACTATTACTTCTATGTACACGGAGAGCTTATGCACCAGAGACAAATTTCTTGTGTATCCAATCACACTTGGCCAATAAAGAATTATATTCTATTTGGGGAGAGAAAAAACCCATTCAGAACCAGAATGCCCCCCCCCCCAGTCCCCACTCAACTTGCTTGGGGTTTCAAGCTAAAGCTCTCTGTCTTTGAACCTTTCCTTGGAGACCCAGGTCAAAATGTGGGAGTAAGAAAATAAAAAGTTAGTTTTCCCCAGGGCACTTGAAAGGGCCAGCAGGATCTCCCCCCCCCCCCAGTCAATCACTGGTAATTCTCCAGAGCCCGACCCGGGAAGAAGACAGGAAATCTCTCTTCAGCCAGTGAAATATTTTCACCTACAGCATGATCCAGAACTCAAAAGGCATTGTGAATGCGCACTGAAGGAAAAGGCATCCCTAGAGGCGCATAGGGTCTGTTCAGGGGCCCCGCTTCCGACGGCAAGCCCTCAGCCAGGCCCAGCTGGGAGACCCTGCAACCCCTCCCAAGCCTTGTGCCTGGGGGATGAGCTGATGGGTGGCTGGGGAGGTGGGCAAGAGGGGGCGGGGGCTTCCCAGTTTTAACAATGAAAGAGAACCGCTCTGGGGAGAAGGAGGGAGACCTTGTACATCAGCCGGTTCCCTGCATCTCCGCAGCAGAAGCCCTTCAGCCTCTCTCGGCCTGCCCTCCATCGCTTCTGAGGCTGGAGAACTTGCCTGCGTTGAAGGGCAGCGATTTCCTTCCTGGAGGGAAAGGGGGAGGAAGGGGGAGAGAAATGGGGGAGGGACAAATGTTTCCCACGGCTGTGTTGACACTCAATACATGAGCAGGAAACCCCAGCTCTGAGTGGCCGTGCCGACAGCGCCCTCTCCTCAGCCTGGCCAAGCGGCTGCCGCTCTTCCCCCAGACCCACCTGGAGCTCGGCAGCCCCCCCCCCCCAGCACATGGCTGATGGGCCTGTGTCCCCCCCCCCGTCGATTGGCTGGGCTGGTTGGCTCCTGCTCCGAAGGGTTAAGCGAACTTTACGGGAAGCGGCGCAGGCCGGGGAAGGCTCCGGAGGCAATCCTAGCAACGGAGCAGCTGCGGCTCCTGCAAAGGGACGGCGCTGCGGCAGCCCCGAGGGGGAGGCGTCGGGGCCGTTGCCGCAAACCGCTCCAGAGCAATGGATTTCGCCCTCTGGGAACCCGCCCCCCCCCGCACGGAGCAGGGCTTCCGGCCTCGCCTCCCTTGATCTGCTCTTGGTTTCTCTTGTTGCTTCCACAGTGAAATGCCGAGGGAGAACCGTTAATCCTCCTCCTCCCCGGGTGCCGCCTGTCTGATGCCGGATTGTTGACTTAAGCCGAGCACTGGGGCTGAAGCGGCGCTACGTATGAAAAATAATAAAGCTGGTGGTGCTGTTAGGTGGCCCCGCTTATCCCTTTGGGATTTCTTCTGAATCAACAAGCAGGGCGCTGACTCCGGGAGGAGAAAGCTAAAGGGTAGCCCCCATTTCAGGTAGGCAGTGTTTCAAAGCCCTCACACACACACACACACACAACAGTCCTTTTCTATGACCAGACGGAGGCTGCAGAGTTCATGGCTCAGCTCTTTAAAATAGCCCTCAAGCCTTGCTCCCATCTTCCCTATTTCACCCTAGATGTAAATTCAGAATTTTTGACCTCTGACGGCAAGTAACCACCTGTAATCCTTCAAGAATTATAGGAAATTAGCATCAAAGGAGTAGAGTCAAGAAAAGCATCTGGGCGCTGAACAACCCTGCACATTTTCTGGATTTCAGCCCATGCATCAGGGATTGGGTCCATCTCTGTACTTCCCGAGGCCCAACAATGAAGCCAGGAGCGTTCCTTGGGGAGAGGAAGGGACCCGGCGTCTTCCACTGAGCCCTTGTAGGAGGAGCAAAGGCAGGAGGAGGGCGAAGAGGGACTTCGCCTCTCTCACCCTGCTGCAGTTGGGGTGCCATGGGTCTGATCTTTGGGGTGCAGCTGAAGCCCCCCCAGAACAGATGGGGGCACTGCTCCTCCCCCTCCCCCCAAAGCCTGGTCTACAGGCAGTAGGGAATATGAAGAGCACCAGATAGGCATTGCCTGAG